AGTTCAAAGTTTCGAACATCATATCCTGAAGATCATGTAGTCAGGGGTGCAGACTCTGGAAAGTACAATACCCATGGTAATAAAAAAAAACCTTTCACGGCCGAAGACGGAGATCACCGGTGCCCATCAAAGTATGAGGTGCGAGAGAAGCAGTGGAGTCTAGACGGCGAACCATAAACCGCTTAATCTTGAAGGATTGCAATACCCGCATTTGTAGATTTTTCTCTCGCGCAAAAACAATAAATAAATCTGGACCATTACCTGAATGGGGAAATGAGACCTCAGTATCTTCGGAAATATTACGGAAAATCCCGTGAAGAAGTGTAGGATGTGACATCAATTTCGAAGCAACACAACCTACGCACTTACACAGACCCCTACGTAGAAATTGCCCCAAGTAGAATGTTGTCGACACACAGGCTGCCTTAGTTCCGCGCTAATGTCCCGATGACATGTCCGCGGTGTGATATGGCTGTACGTGAAGCATTAGTCTCTGGCCATCACACGTTGATTGGACCGCTCGTGGAAAGAGGTTGGCCACGCATGGTCGTGAGACATCATTGATCTCCCAACATTTCACGGGTTTCGCGGCGCGTACACCTGCGCTCATGACTATGAGGTATTGCAACCCACCTGGATTCTTATGATTAGTGGACTAATTCTGATTCGCATGGGACTTGGGCAAGTGGTCGTGATCCCTGTCTCACCGAAACCGGGTTCGGATTTTACGGGATATGACTTCTTCGCTTATGGATTTATAATTATAGTCACAGTCCTGCACGGCAACATAGATCAGGCCGTATCACATCATTGCCCCCGCTACGTGCAAAGTACATTACTCCCGTGTACATGTACTGGTGGATCAGCAAATCTTGAATCTACAGAAATAAACCGGGGGCCGGTGGCTCCATTATATATTTCTGGGGTGTATCCACGGTCCCTAAACATGGGGCTAAAATTTACGAACCAGCGAATGGAAAGCCACCTTACCACTTCCAATTCGGGTTAGTGTGAGGCGTGAAGCCCGCAACGGCAGCACTTGAATGTTTTCGTGTCTAGTAACTTCCACCCGAAGTTAATCATACACCGATCCCGACCTAATGAGAGGAGCTCTGAACTCCTTTTCAGTCTATCAGTAATACCAATCCAATCAAATATATTTCCGACCCAGTCTACGTATCAGAGACAACTTTCTTAGACCCACACTTGAGGCGCGGAACATCTGTGACTGTTAGCGGGGCAACAAATTGGTGGCGTGAGACTCGGCCGCATCTTCTCCAGTAGATCATGGTTCATCTGACACCTAAGGGACAAAAGGTAGGAACACTAATCCCTTATGAAAGATCCCCCCGACGTTGCTCTTGTCCTTCGGTCTTCATGTCGATCGAAATCCTCTAGGGACGGAAGGGTCAAAGAAACCCTAAATGGAGATATGATTCAATGTCCATTGTCATTCCTTCATCCCAATCTCTAGTAAAATATGACGATGGATACGACGATCGCGGCAATCCAGGTGATCCAAGCTTCTGCAATCAGGCAATCCCTCACCCGAAACCCACGTGTCCTTAGTGCCCTACTAGAACGGTGGTCGAAGCGCAGCCTCTTAGGAGCCAAGGAATTCGGGCTGAGTTAGTTTAGTGAATGCACCTAGTAAATAGGGTCATTTAAAATGCCGAAAGTATGTTGGCGCCTGTGTTACCTTAAGGTAAAGCGTCGGCCTCACCTTCAACACATGTGTTTTGCTTGTAAATGACGTAAAACCCTTCCTTCGGCCATAAACAGCCCACAGTACACAAGACAAGTGGGCCGGGAACTACCAGCCACTCCGTGTGAAGAAGATCAAATACTGAAGAGAACCAATGGCAATATCCGGATTAGGGCTCCTACTGAGTTTACTGAACAGTGGTCCTTAAGCTCTCGGAAGCTATGACCTTTCTCCGTTCTACTCCATAATTACGCCGTATTTTCTCCTTTTCTCCGTATTGAAAACATGAATTCCATCGTAATCATTGGTCAGCGGGGAGGAATACGGGATTAAATCACACCCGTTTTTTTTTGCTTTTGGCTTTCATCATTTGAGACATATACCCGTGCGCTTAGCCTAGCTAGGTAAGAAACGAGAAATGGTCTATGGAAGAATGGCCAGATTTAATTTAGAAAATGTAATTTCACACTTAATTACCCGGGTCCAATTTTTGATTTGCTTGCTCGCTTATCATTTTCCGGACTGATTTGCGCCGTCGATCGATTCCCTGACTTGTGCCGGAATCCGGAGTCTGAGGCCTAGTGCAACTCCTGGCTTCATGTCATTTCTTCCCCCCGAGATCTAGGCTAGAAGAAGTATCATGCAAAGTTAATCAGGTGCTAGCTGCCCTGAGCTAACGCAGTACGTGATTTCCTTTGTTTGGCCATTGTCTAGACTCGGACTTTTGTCTCTTCTTTTCCGTTCTGGAGATTTCCTTTTGCTGAGAACAATGCCCTGTCTTTTCCCCTTGTACCTATACTCCTGCATGACATGATTCTGCTATTTCTCACTGCTGACGGTAGCTTCTCAATCTTCAGCATTTAGACTTTTCTTCCACGAGTGTCAGCAATGTCAGAGTAAACTGTAATCGAGCACGACACCAGTTTCTGGATTGAGAGGGATCCGGGCCACATGGTGTCGGAGCGCAGCCGTGCATTCCTCTCTGGAGCTAGTTAAGATCCGTACGAGAGGTGGGGACGAAACCAAGTGGAGTCAATACGTAACCACCGAACGAACAGTTTTGAGTTCTGCACGCCTTGGTGAGGCTGAAAACCTGGCTGGTTCGGGGCCGAGAGGGTTTCGGCCGTACCGAGGTAACAATACAGCGAAGCTGGATATCAATGCGGGACTGGATATATAGGTAGGATGGAAGATGAACCACGCAGATGTAAGCAGGAAAAAGGTAGATCAATAAGTTCCGACCATGCAGCTTACATGCTACTCTTCGCATCCAATTCCATTGTCTCAATTATCCCTTGAGAGATGATGGGCACCAGGGCCAAGCCCAAGCCGCGAACAGTTGGCTCATTGAACCCCAGATAGGTGCCGGGGTGTCCCACTTCCGACGAATAAGATATCCGAAATCCATGTCCAGCCCTAGGCCACGGGCGCAACACCAACATGCCACGCGTACGAACATCAATGAACTAACTTTCAAGGATCTATGCAGGGTTGAATCGGACAACGGTGGCCCGTATCGAATCGTCTTAATCAAAAAAAATCGCGCGAACCTGAACCTGAAACGACATACCGTGGCCCCTCTCCTCTCCTGCGTGGTTATCACCATCTAGTCCGCGCTACGACAAGTGTGTGGGGATGAACCCCAATTTTCTTTTTTCTCCTTTCCCTCTTTTGCCTTGGTTTTTTTATTACTGTTGTGGTGCACTTACCTGTCTTAGTCTCTTAGACCGGGATTCGGTCCTGCCGTCCCTTCCACCATCTGCGCGGTTGCGCAGTCACTGCGCCTTTTCATCTTGCAGGGGTCCTGCGGTGTGGATTCCAATGACGACTCACATCATTCGCTATGTCTCCCGTTCTTGTTTTTCCCCCCAAAGTCCGCAGGGATCGTCGACCTCGTCTTCTTTTCGCACTGGTTTCCATACTGGTCGCCTTGTGCAGTTCCGGTTCGAAGGCACAGGGTTGTTTCAATTCGCCTCATGTTGCCGACGTAGTATCCGCTAGGCAGATTGCGTGCGCAACACAGAAACTAGGATGCGGGATGTGGATTTCATATCATCCTATGGTACCGAGTTGCAGACGGCGTCTATCGCTAGCGGGTTCTGGGGTGATGGCGTCCATATTGTGGATAGGATGGACTGGGCTTGCTGATCGGGCGCAGAGGGTCGATTATCCCAAATCAAGCCGTGCGCCCCGGCGATCGAGCCTGATTTGATTTGATGAGGATGTCTCAATCAAAGTAATCGAAATGAATATCTTCCAAGCACGATGTAAGGGAAAGTATACAGAGCAGGATCGACCGGAATTCGATACATCCTCTCAGCCCATCACAAAATAGTGAGGAAAGGATTTTACTGATTGGTGGAACGTGTCATTTTTTTTCTTCTCTATTACACGATTATTTATTTTCATTACACTGACCAGCCACGTTCCACCCTGGTCAAATGGCCGTTGACAATCGCAGACATGCACGACATGACTCGTGCGAAATGTGACGCTCATTTCGGCCACAATAGTCTGGCGGCCGATGCAAACCATGGTTCGGAGAAGATCAGAGTCCAAGCTGTTTCCTTATCTGTACGGTAATTTATGCTTTACTTGATTCATTCGGACACTCCGAGCGGGTATCCCCCCACACGTGACTAAATGTCGCTGCGGCTACGCGACTAACGCCGTTCTAGTGTAAAATGATTGGATCTAGTGGAGCGAATGTGGACCTGGAGACAAAGAAACCGGGCGGGGTCGCAGGGCAGGAGCCATGTTGATCTTGATCTGCACGGAACCGGGAGCTCTAGCCCGCTCATCGAGGCGTTACGGGGCTGCAGGAGGGGAAAAGGGGTGGACAAAGAAATGCAGGCAGGGATCTTGTTGTCGAGAAAACAGGATAGATGAGAAATGAGACATGAGAAATGAGAGCGAGAAGTAAAAATGGGGCGGCATTGCCGCTATTGAGCTAGAGGCGTCCAGTTGATATTTTGATTCGTAGTATTCTTAGCTACGAGATTGCGCGGTTACTGCACCTGCTTAGTGGTATTGTCAACAGCTGAAACGATCCCTAGTCTGTTGCGTATACGCTACGCTAGACACCGTGCACTTTCCCTTTACCTGAAGAAAATCCAAGCCGTTGCAGATGATCAGCAATGGACGATCAGGCCCCCATCGCATCTATGTGCACGCCTTGACTCTCCTGAACAAAGACTTTACCCAGTTTCGAGGCTCTGATTTTGATTCTGTCTGGTTCTGCTCAAGTTGATCCGAGGGGTAGAGTGGAGCTTGTGAAGTCTCGACTCTCCATCGTTCAAGGGTTGGGTGGGGAGTTGAGGAGCTCGGCTGGATCGCCTGCACATCCAAAGCCGAGCGGGAGACCTCGCCAGTAGGATTTCAAAGTGGAAATTCCTGGCCCCGGGTGCTGCCGATGGGGGGCCATAATGCGCATCATGTCCCCGCGCAACTTGCCAAAGTGGCACACAGCTTCAACCATGGTTCGCTTTATCTCGGACATATTGAAATCACATCTTGACCGTTTAATTGCGTGAGTTCTTTTTTTTTTCACGGAAAAAGTTAGACCTGGGGGAATTTTTATTGAATTTTGGTTTCTTTGTTTTTCCACTAAGTTGCGAGCCCTAGCGAGAAAATCAATGTACAGGGGGAAGAAGAATAGAAAATAGAAAATAGAAAATAGAAATAGAAAACAAGAAAAAGCCGCAGTAAAATTACTTACAAAACGGTGAAAAAGATGCAGATGCGTTGGCAGACGCAAAATCCCCACCCTCTGCATCTGAGGCCCAAATTGAGCCCGCATTAGCTCATTTCTAGGCTCATGCTGATTCGTCCCGCGGGCCCAGTGCCACGGCGGCGTCGCAACAGGTGACTCTTGGTGATCCAATAGACGCCGTGCGTTACTGTTGGTTTTTTTTTCTTTTGACTTCTTCCATATAACGTGCGAGTCAGTCAATTCGCGCCGCATATCCGCGACTGGAAAAAAAAAAAAGGGTCTTCAACGTTCTGGGTCAGAGCGTCTTACCCACCACACTAGAGCACTCTCCGTTACAGTCTATTCTGTACAGAGTACCTACTCCTGTTGCTCACATGAAAGTGGATTAGGTCTAGTAACCAAAACAGAAAATGCACGCGAGTACGCAGCTACAGTATTTCTGATTCTGCATGATTATCATCTCAAGGCCTATGGGATTGGCTCGCATGTTTCCCTACCCAATCTGATCCCTGCAAATTATTGCTCGGTCTCTGCACAACCATTGATGGATCCCCCCATTGCGTCGCTACACTTCTCGCCCAAGTTTTTCCAAGTAATATCGGTATTTGTAATTTATGCTCTTCATCCATGGATAGAGTATAGCTAGCTATTTCCTTGAAGAGATATCGGTACTGCCGAATACATACGTATACCAATTACACGCGCGTCCCCACAATTTGTCATTCTTTTTTGCGCGGGCGATGAGTGTAAAAGGCTAATGCTAAGATACTGTATTTTTGTCTGGCATTTTGCATAGTGGATTCCCCCCGCGTAAATTCCCCCATCCACTTCGTATTGACCGAAATGAGATCAAATAATCATTTCAGAAAAAAAAAAAAAAAAAAAGAAAAAAAAAGATCGTCCGTGCTAGATTGTGTCATCGTTAAAAAAGCTGTTCCACCAACGGACGAAAGTGCCGCGTCTCTTGAGACAAAGAAACTCTACCCACCTGGAATTAAAAAAAAAACAATTATGAAAAAAAAGTAGCCGATGACCTGAAGATAATATTACCCGATCCATAGAATTGAAAATAACTTCTTGACAGGGCCGAGTAAGGCCGTAGATCGCCACCAGAACATCTTCACGGAATTTGAGATATCAATTTATACAGTGGCGAAATGAACCATATCCTAAAGGTACCGGACACGGAGCACCCTGTCCGGTTCACCGAAGTAGTACCCTCTTTTTTACTTCTCTGGGGGTGGAACCGAATGTAGGTCCCCTGTTAGCCCCGAGAGGAGCCTTGTGTGTATCCGCGGTACAACTATACAGGGGGGAGGGGGCCAAAGGAGCGACGACCAGCCCGACCCGCGTAATTGGTACGCTGCACCCAACAGCACATTTAGCTTGGGACTATTATTTTCGGATTTTATTTTCTTTTCATTTAAGCCCGTGTGTTTTCCAGGTGATCTGCCCTTCGATCTATAAACCTTGGCTCCCTTCTTGAACCTGAAGGTTTTTATTTTTTTTTTAAAGATCTTATACTTCGATCCTCCACACCCTGAAATATCTTTTCCCTTTCCTCTCCCCTCCCCACCCACCTCAATACTGGGAGACCCATTGGGGACTGGGAACAACTTGATATAGACTTGATTTGTCTGATCAATTCCATCCTGTGGTGGGACAATCCGGGTTTCACAACTACCCAGCTTTTGGACCAGAAAGAAAAAAAAACGAAATCATCTATAAATCGACACACTGCATTTGTCTCCCAGTCTATCGCATTCTGCGTTCTACATTCTACCGTCTTTACCTGAATCAACACCACCAACATCCCCCAAAATGGATGAGCAATGTACACACCTGCCAGCAAGGCGACAAAGTCGCATGAGAATCGACTCTCTGCTAAACCCCCCAAGTGACGAAATGGAGTACAGCACAACGGACTCTCCATACTCGCAACACGCAACACTATCCACCTCGTCACACAATGCTGGCTACACAACTTCCTCAGGCTACCCTCCAAGCCCCAACCAATACTGGTATGGCCGATATGGTGGCTACCACGACACAAGCCCTGGCGCAGCCTCAACAGCCACGACAAACGTCAGTAGCACATCGAGCGGTAGCACCAATCCCCAGCACCATCACCACATGTTCCTGTCGTACCGACCTTCAGGCGGCAGTGGTGGACGACCTGGATCCGGGCACAGCTCTCCAGACCCGTATCACCAGCGCGAGCGTTACGACTCCGTCTCCAGTAGCTCCAGCACCAACGGGAGTGATCGTCGACGACCTCCGAGACCAAAGTATGAGGAAGAGGAGATGTACTTCATCTGGTATCACCGCGTGGATCTTGGTCAAGAGTGGAAGGAGGTGCGCGAGAGCTTCAATCACCAGTTTCCCAGTCGACAGCGGCGCGGGTTCCAGGGTATCCAGTGCAAATTCTATCGCTTCATTAAGGAGAAACAGTGTCCTACACTACGGGAGCAGCGGAGGATGCGCGATGGAGAGTTCTTGCGTGAGGGTGCTGAATCCGGTGCGCCGCGCTTTGGGGTTATCGAGTATGCGGGCGTTTGGTATCCCTGGATGCGCTGTGACCGCGAAACAGCATCGCGACTGTCGGCGGCGCATCAAGAGCGGATGGCAGCGGCGGCATAATATAATTTGATGCTTTTGGAGTTTTGTTTATATAATGATTGGGAGAGGCTTTTTGTTTCACGTTTTTGGGAGAGGCTGTTGTCTTGCGTTTCCACAAAGATACCTCATGGGAGTTTTGTTTCGGGAGGTTATTTGCCTTTTGTTTTGTGTTCGCTTGGGAATTGGAGGCTATCTCGTCTTTCGCTTTTACACGGCTGCTTTATTAGCCTTTCTATCTCATGTCTTCTTATCGACATCTACACTTAAAAATCGACATAAATGTCATATCAGCAATGATCAAGAGCTATTCCTTCTCTCAGTGCCCCGTTCATCTTCTACTCAGCCTAACAACCCCTTTCTCTTGACAAGAGTGACAAAAGTCCATACTTCCAACAAGTCAATCCCACTAGCAGCAACTCAATTACCAGATTTAGAATGCCAAGCCCTTTAAACCACCACCACATACTGTTTCTGTATCAAGATTCCGCAAAATACATTCCAGCTCAAACTCTCAGCCTTGCCAACCTTGCCAGCCCTGCGAGAGAGGTCAAGTAACCATACGGTAATAAAACAGTATTACCAACAGCAGCGGTGCGGGTATTGAAACGATACGATACACTCTCTTAATCAGCAATTATCAAGGGCCCGCATCTATACCAAACAGGAAAAATTAAATTATATTAAAAATCCAATAGGCAATGACAATGTCAATCATGTATAGCGTATAGCACAATCCTCCGTGCACAAGTACTAACAGGATGGACTTGCGCTGATCTTTAGATTTCCCCTTACAATGCAGATCCCGCCCACCGCACCGAGCCGAATGAATCCACTTAGGAGGGCCTAGCCAGTCACTTACCCCTATGAACAATTTACTTTCATCCCCTAAATGCAAAAGATGGTCCCCGGACGGATTGCTCAAGTGGAATTGGCCATCAAATGACCGTGCAGGATTCAATTTAGGAACGAGTCTAGAGTCTATCTCGACTGAAGATACTAAAGCTGGAGAGCGAGTGCGAGAGCGATTACCGGAGATTTCGGAAACTAACTGGGTCCCGTTATGCTTCCTCTTCGTACTTTGAAACTGTTTTGGGTGATCCTTTAGGGGGTACGATTCTTGTCAGGAATTGTTTGCAAAGCTATGAATAGTTATCTGCCCGCTTATTTGGCGTTGAGGGGTCACCCCTTGGATGTGTGACCCCCGGGGCCCGCGGGGCTGATTGGGGCTGACGGGGGAGATTGTGCATTGCACTCACGGATCTCGGTCGGAGATGAATGGGTGGCTCGTAATTGGTGTTGGATTTGATTATGATATGCGAAAAGGGTCGGGAAATTGCCAATTTTGTTCGTTTATATTGGGTTCCTAGCGAGAATGGTGAGCTATGAAAAGCTGCGAGCAGGCGCTCTAGACGGCATACTGATACCAACTGGTCTCAATAACAGTCCTGTCTCAACAGCCTTGGTATGTATGCATGATGCTCTATTTTGCAACCGGAATTGCCGGGCGGGATGTGAAGAGAGCAAATATCCTCCACGTGGATCGCGGCCCCCAAAGCCCGCAAAAGGATCTATCTAAATCCTTCTAGTCATTCCATTTTCCTTCCTTACCACGAGGTATATAGAGCTCCATGTGACCGTGCTAGCCTTGTACATGACAAGCGATACCCGTGGACTGGGGGTATGTTCAGGCCTGCTACATATTGTACTGCAAGTAATATTCATCCCAGGTTATGTCAAACACGTGTACATGGATGTAAGAGTGTAGGTACCTACAAGTAACTACAGGTACCTACCTAGATACAACCTCATGGACGGCAGGTGGCCGACTCTGAATGGGATGTATATGTGATCATCAACTAGGACGCCTGATAGCGCGCCTTGAAATTTGTAATTAATTATCATTGTCGGCCCCGACCCCCTCTATTCCAAATATTTGCCGCTAACCCGAGCCCACCGAACTCATGATCATGCCACTAAATCCCTCTCCACTGCACTACTACAGTAGCAGTCAAGAACGCAGTGGCGGAAGGGTGATGTGTCTCAGCCTCACCGCGATTTGCTGCAATCTAGCGAAACGAGCTAATGCTTACTACGGCAACATCAGGATTAGTGCAGTAGCTCGAAGGATTGCCATGTGTCTCGATGCAACGATTTGGGGGCCGTTCGGGATCCTTCACTAAGTTGCTACTATTTTGGCTCCGTGCGTGGGGACTGCATTACGAATCCCGCTGTCTGTTGGCTTGGTGGCTTTTGGCGTTTCCTGCAGGATTGTGTTGATTTGGTCGCTGTACCCAAGTACAAGCTACTCGAGCCTGTTGCTATAAACAGGTATTAAGTTGTGCGTTGGAAACACCTACGGTTGTCAGTCACTCGTTATTACTTACTATCCCAGGTACGCGATTCTGCAGATTACTGTACCAAGGTCAGTACTCCAGAGTGGATCCATGCCCCCGTTCCTCCTTCCTCGTTCCCTTATTTCTCGTATTGCGCTTACTGTGGAACGCCCACATCCACAATTGTCCCGGAATCCCGAATGTAATCAAGATACTCGAGAATAGAATTCCTTCACAAATTTACGTGGTTCATAAACACAGTATAAAAGTTCAAAGAGTCCGTTGAAAATCGGCACTAGTGCCAAATGTAGTAAGAGGGGCCATTGGGTCATCCTGATTCGTACGGAATTGTTGTCTGTGCTCCCGCCCATCGCCTCGGGTAAACTAGCACGATCGTGAGGAACTCATGCTGGTGCTGAGGGTTTTGATTTCCTCTTGAGGAATGTGGCGCGTCGGCTTATCATTTTATCCACACACTCACCTCATGTGGAGTATCATGATCAGAGAGGTTGTTATGGTTATTACTTGAAAGTAAAGCATAATGTAAAGTTTTCTGTATTCAGATGCTACCTAAATCATGGTTAAAATTGAAACGAACCTCTGAGACTAACAAAGTAGCTCAGATGGTGAAAAAGTCCAGAAATCGTGTCGCTTTGAAAGAACACACAGAACATTGGACTCCCACCCAGGTGCTCACAACCACCGTATGAAAAAGATAGTGGGGCTTCAGCCCAGTCTCTTCATATCAATAGTCCTTTCTCTCTTGTGCACGCCATATCGATGATACTTTATCTCCTTTCCATGTCACGTTAACCCTTACTCCCTTGTCCATGCCATATCAACGATCCTTCCTCTTCACCACATGATATCAATCCATTTCACCTCACAAGTTGACATGGGGTAGAATGACTGGACTTGGGGTTTTCAGAAAGGAACGGAGGGAACCGAACTCCAGTCGCTCTCCCTGGTACCCTCACTGTCACCGTCATTCACAACATCAAAAGCCTCTGTACCACGAGTCTCAACATCATGAGTCTCCTCAAAGACTGGGTGGGGCACGTTCCCAGTGCTGTTTCCATTGCTGCCTCCATTGCTGTCACCCTGGATGACGTGCTGGGCGGCGACTTGTTGCGGGCGGGGAATGGCCCGGCGTTCAACAGATTCGTTTAACATGGCTTCATCGAAGCCTGCACGAACCCCTGCGGCAATGCCATTCGTGATGTACCGATCACTGCTATCCTGTTCCACGATGTACTCCATGTACCCTGGCTCCTCCGGGAGAAGCTCAGACGGGATCTTGTGTCGCTTGGCTTCAAGCATCGGGGATCGGGGGTAAGTGTTAAAATGGAACGCCTTCTCAAGCTGACATCTAACCATCCAAAGTAGATTAGCCTATACACCATGTCCTAGAAGAGCACTGGAACAACTCACGGATCCGTTTCAAACTTGGGTACAGACAGGGGCCAATTGTCCTCGAACCACTTAAAGACTCTTGCACCATAGGAGATGCTTCTCAGGAAGTAAAACACCGTGGTGTTCTACAAGGAGTCAGTTGTTCATTCCGTTCTCATTCGGAAAGCAGAAGATGCTCATGGGCACTTACCAAGTCTGGGCTGGTGTGGCATACTATGTGTTCAACCTTGTCACGGTCGACCAGGCCTAGAAGCCATGACACAGGCTTATCTTCGTGAAAATTAACTCTCACGACACGAGACATTCCAGCCTTGTGCAGGGTCACCGGAGCTGGGTCTTCCTCGATGGGAAAGTCAACCTTGACCCCGATCGTCTGATCATCCATGTCGATGCCCCAGGGGTAAGCAGCGCCATATGCGATGCAGTCCTTTTCAAAAATGAAATCCACATGCACCTCATGGGTGTAGACCATGATTTGGTCGATAGGACCCCCGTGAACCAGACACATCACGTGCTCGACATTCCACCAGTACGGGAGATTCGAGAAAATGATACGTCGCTTTGAGGTTGGCACAGCGGGCTTTGGAGGGGTCTTCTGATTAGCCACCCTGAGCCTGGCAGCGTGTTCCAGGAATGCCTGTGCGTCGAGATTTCCACTGGCTTTGAATGGAACCTTGTTTGGGAAGAGTTCGCCCTTGGACTTTGTGCCGCCGTTGGCAGTAGCTTCTTTGGCCGGCTCGATGTCTGCATTGGCAGGGGCTTGCGGAGGGGGATATTTGGTAGGCTCCAGAATCTTCTGGTAAGCCCGCTAGGAGTTAATATTGTCAGCATATGGTTACCTGCGGAGGTAATTTGAGCTGGAGTCTAGTAGAAGGCCCGGCAGGACATAAGTAACGACGCATGTTATGACTCAAGTGGAGGAGAGCTCGCCAGGACATGATTGAGACAGCTCAACATGATGAGTTCACGATGAAAGATGCTCCTTCCTAGCAGGATTGCACGATAGGAAAGGCTTCTCCACAGCAATGCATGACGACTACTCGACATATGATGCATCTCAACATGATTATTGCAAGACATGATGTTTGCACAAAGAAGGGTGTTTCTCAACAAGAAAATTTCAAGACATGATGGCTACTCAACATATGATGCATTTCGACTTGATGATTGCAAAATGAGGGATGCTTCTCAACAAGATAATTGCACGACAGGAAGGGCTTCTCAACAGGAATGCTCCATATGACGATTCCACAACAGGATAGATGCTTTGGGAGGATGGCAGAAGGTGCCCATGCAACCTATGAGTTGGCGCTAAACATACCTTGGACTGGGCCGGGACGGTCCAAACGTGCAGCACGTCAGAGAGGAACTCGGCCATGTTGTGATCATGGATCATCTTGGCCATGGCCTGATCCATGATCAACGCGTTAAAAAAAAAAGAAATACTCGATCAGAGGTTGATTCAGACCAAGCTGTGGGGATGTGGAAATAAGAAGGAGCGTTGAGGTGGGAGAGGGAGAAAAGGGCGGAAGAAAAAAAAGAATGGGCGATATAGGAGGCGCAAATGGGAAGTGAGCAATAATCCTTGCTTAGTTTGCGGAGACACTCTCTCACCATGACATTATGCGGTCAAAACAACCCATCTCGCTCAGCAGCTGACTCATGGAGGATCTAAGTATGCTCTTTACTCTGCCATTTGCTTACTATCATGGACGCCCTTCGTGATTCAAGCCTCGGGAGCTTCATGCATTAGGTCTATTCCCGACAGCCCAGGGAAAGTGATCGATTGACGACAGCATATATGTGCAAATGTACAAGCATTGGTCCTCTTGAAACCCCTCACATCTTTTGAAACCCCTCACATTTGAATTGAGTAACAAAAATTAAGCTTTTATGTCATTTGACGGCTCAACCGAGGCCCCAGTCTATTCTGCAATATCGGACTCAGGAATACCTAGGGTAAATCCACATACTCTGGTGGTCTCCATGAGTGTATTTTCTTCCACGATGCTCTCTTGCGAGTACCTTGGTCACAGAAATTATTGGACTCGAATGGGCATTCAAGGGAAATCCGAGGATGGAGCTCAGTGTGTTTAGATATTCGTGACCGCATGTTTTTATACTCCGTGGAATTAGCTTGATGCTTGCGTGCTTTTACAGAGACTCTTCAGCGGACAAGTGATAATTTCTGGTCCTTCTATCAACTCTTTTATGAACCTTCGGGCTTGCGGGGGATTTTACTGGCTTTTAGAATTTTTCGTCGGAAGTGTAGATTCGAATTTCTTATACTGCGTGGGCGTAGAAGAATCGGGCGTGCCTGTTCCGTAAAGAAATCCAGTCGTTTCGTCGCAAGTCTGTCTCGTCGCAAGTTCTTTTCGTCGTAAGTTCTTTCATCGAAGTAAACATGGAATTTTCATACTCCGTGGGCGTAATAGGATTGCGCGTGCACGTCGCGTGAGTGATATCTTGTGGGCCCAGCAAGTATTAAGTCTCAGCCAAATCACATACTGCATACTACCTAACCACAGATGCAGTCACACATTTAATATATTTCTAGCATAATCGATGGTCCTTCCAAAGGCTGTACTTTCTCTCTTACATCAGCATTTGACTATCAACTGGCCTACTGAATGTAATTGGGGGTTTTTTGGGGGCAGATTCTACAGTTTTTGAATACCATGTACAGTGCATTCAGTTAGGTAAAAGAACGGACATTTCTAAGTGACCAATGCCAAGTATGTATGAAGCTCCAGGCTGTGCGAAGGGCATGCTCTAATCTTGTGAGGTAAAACTTTCTGAGGTTGAAGGAAGCCTTGGAATGGTCAAACGAGGCGGATTTTGGATCTGCTGTGTAGATCGCTGGGCACCCGATGCCTAGATCATCCGGATTCATGAATTGAGCCGATCGAAAAGAGCTACTAAGTGATAAAGCTCAGCCTCAAAATACTGGCTCGGAGATGTCGGGAAGTTAATTTCCCCTCAGCGGGAAGATGTCCATTCTCAAGGTCGCTGACGTAGCTAGTAGCTAGATTATGTGCTACTTAGTACATTCCAGTCCGCAGTACCTCCGAAACCCCTCCTGCAGAGAATTTGCTGCTTAGGATCTTCTTAGTCCATTCAATTTCACATACCACTGTGTTGTCTCGTATCCAAGTCTATACAGTGTTGCGCTGAGGCGATCCTTGGAAATTGGTGGCAACCCCAAACCCGAAACATCCTTACGGTCATCACAGTCAGATTTGCCTCTCAACTTCCCAAATACCTACATCTCACCTATCTGACTCAAGCCAAGATCTACAGATCCACCACCATGACGGGATTCCACATCGTCAATTCGAACGAGGCCGTTCCCGGTGCCGAGGCCCCACCCCCGGAATTCAGCTTGACAGCTCATCCCGCCACAGACGTCTGGTCCAAACCCCCCTCTACCAACGCATTCAACGCTCCAATACTCTACCAATCCGTCTCCCTCAAATCCTTCAAACGCGCCCGTGTCGCTGTCGCTGCGCAATGGACACAGAAATATGATCAGGGTGGCCTCATCATCGTCCTGAACAAGGCGGATGGATCCCAAAAGTGGGTGAAGACTGGTATCGAGCTCACCAATGACAAGCCACATTTGAGCGTCGTTGCGAAGGACCGTTGGGCGGATTGGAGCTTGCTCCCCATTCCCTCCGGAGGAAAATCTGCAACATTGGAGTTGGTCCGGGAGGCGGATGGCAGTTTGTGGATTTATCTTGTGGAGGGAGTGCAGAAGCAGCCTATTCGAGAGGTTACCTGGGTTTTTGAGGAGACAGATGTGCAGGAAACTTGGATTGGGGTATATGCGGCGCGGCCGTCGACGGAGGGTGGAGAGTTGACTGTCAACTTTGGGCATCTGGTTATCGAGTCTGTTGGGGATAAGAAATAAGTACTGGTGAATACTACAGGACTGTAGGGAGGCATTTGCAAGAGTCCGATTTTGGGAGAACTGTCCCGGTGGGTATGTTCCAGAGTTGCCGCATGTGGCTCTCGCTCTGCAGATCTGTAGATGGAATACATGGATCTTGTTGTTTTGTCGCTCCCTAGGCCTTTTTATCAGGCTAATTGTGTCAGGGTGATTGAATTCCCGACTGAAACCTAGACAGCGGCAGCTTTGACAGCACGGGCCCCAATGCCATGCCAGGGCCAGATGGCGCCATCGCCATCGGACGATCATGGCCGGGGCGTACGGGATCCATTGATCCCCCACTGCGGGTGATCAACTGACGTGGACCAGATTTTTGAGGATGATCAGACTCTCCAGGTCATGATACACTACGTAGGACAAACGGGTAGATGCCTCGGATGTAAGAAAATGCAAACATGCCACGTGCCGTTGTCACACAGTGAGACTCATGACCGTGGACTGTGCGGCCCCCATGTACTATTAGATTCTTGGATACATACTCATCCAACATTGATGATTATGTTGTCCTCATATTGATCAGGTTGAAGGGACTTTTGCTTATAATTCACGCATACAAGGCCCCACAGCTGCAGACCAGGGATGCAAAAACGCCAAAAAGCGGTTCCTTCCGACGAACCAGCAGCCTTGGGTGCATCTTATCGATCATATCTTGATGATAAGAGGCTCTGATTCATGCGTTCTGTCCTTTCGGCACCTCAGGAGCCCTCCGGCTGCTGATGAATGGAGATTATTTCCCCCGCTTTGACTCCTAGTGCCTGACGTGCCTTGATCCACTTTCTTTTTTCTCTTTTCCGCCAAGTTTCCACTGCTTTTCCCCTCCATCGTCATCAGTACGGGTTGGGTATTATTTCTCTTATTCGTTCCAGCTGCCTAATTGAATTACCACCTTGACTCAAATTGTCTAGGTGCATAAGCTGCCGGAATGCTGGGGCGCGCTGAACTTGGATCGCGCCTCTCATCGTCCTCATCTGCACCAACACCCCGTCGGCGTGCATAAGTGCGACCGCCGATCGTGACTCGGTGCCATTCCGCCTTCCTCGAAGAAGACGAGCTTTGGTCTTTCCGGCTGACCTCTTGCCCCTTACAGGTTGGCCCCTCTTTCCTTCACGAGAAGAAAAAGAGTCATAGTCGGATCTACCCTCACGGTTTCCGCTGCCTGGTCCTGATTTACCCAAGTGGATTCGCGGCTTGCTAGCCTTCTATGGGCATATAATCGATTACCGCGCTTGCCTGCTCCTTTGCGCCGAGTCGCTTCGCCCCATATTTGATTTAAATTTGAATTCGGTGCTACACGGTTGGCTCCATTTATTTTTCTTTTCTTTTTTTTTTCCCCTGGTTAATCTTTTGATCTACCTGATTTGCTGGTGCCTTCGTGTTTGCTTCTTTCCACTCAGCGGTGGATCTGACTGGCTCAGGTCGGCCCCAAATCAGCTGCTGCCCAAGCGGTGTTTAGTCAAAGCAGGATTACCATCCCCTTTTATGTGATACGCCCGCTGTCGCTTCTTATGTTGCATGAACTCTCTTTTAAATGCCCCTGCCGGCGGTTACTTATTATTTGACTCTTATCGAGATTGCCGTCTTTTTTGTGTATGGTTTCCTCCAGTCTCCGCAGCTTTGATTATTTTCCTGTACATGGACCGAGTCATCTTTAACTTGGAACCTTAATACGGTGGTCATGCCACTTCTCGACGCGCGCGACGGTCCTTCCTACGGTGCGATACCGCGGGAGGAGAACCATACGAGTATGGATTATGAGCGGGATCAGTTGCTGCAGGACGGCTATGAGACCGACGACGACTCGAGTGATATCTCAACCCTGGACGAAGCACAGGAAGGTGTGCGGAAAATCGAGGCGATAAATATGACTTGGACAACCCGATCGTTAATGATCGCCTACGTCAGGTTCGTTTGTGGCTTGCAGCCAATCCCTGTGACCTTGCTGACTTGGCACAAAGTATATTCCTCATGGCCTTCTGCACGTCCCTGGAGGGCCAGACGGTCATGTCATTGTCGGCATATGCTACCAGCGCTTTTAGCAAGCACTCGTTAATCTCCACCGTTCTTGTGGTGCAGAATGTAGTCAATGGTATGGATCATGCATATCTATTCACTCGATACCTTTGAACGGATGGCTAACTGTTATAGCCGTGATCAAACCGCCTATGGCAAAAGTTGCCGATGTGTTCGGCCGCTTTGAAGCCTTTTGTCTCAGCATTACCATATATATCCTGGGCTATATTCAGATGGCTGCGTCGACCAATGTGCAAACCTATGCATCCGCACAGATCTTCTATTCCGCGGGTTCCACGGGTCTACAGATTCTCCAACAGGTGTTTATCGCCGATAGCAGTGACCTTCTGAACCGTGCCTTTTTGGCTCTGCTCCCAGAGTTCCCGTTTCTAATCACTGTCTGGCTGGGGCCGACCATCGCAGGAGCAGTGCTTCAGTCATCATCATGGCGCTGGGGCTACGGGATGTGGGCGATCATCCTGCCCGCTGCCTTCCTGCCGCTCGCCCTGTCGCTGCTTTTGAACCAGCGCAAAGCCCAGCGGCTGAATTTGATTAAACCGACAAAGGCTAGACGCCACAGAAGCATATTTAGCGTTATTCGACGAACTTGGTATGACCTGGACGTGGGTGGGCTGACACTGTTATCCGCGGCGGTCACCTTGCTTTTGGTACCTTTGACACTAGCGGCCAGTTCCAAGAATGGATGGAAGACTCCGAGTATCATTATCATGATGGTAGTCGGTGTCCTCTGCTTGATCGCTACCCCATTGTATGAATCATCTAAGAAGCTGGCACCCAAACCTCTGCTTTCTCTGCATCTACTCAAGCAACGAACCGCCGTTGCCGGTTGTGCCTTGGCATTTTGGTACTTCAGTAAGTTTGATGTATCACATACGTCTGGTGTGCAGGACTACCAAGGACGCTAATCGTTTCCAGTGGCATTTTACTTTTCTGTTCAACCATACCTTTACTCCTATCTCCAGGTCGTTCAGAACTATGATGTGGCCACCGCTGGCCGTGTCACCCAGACTTTCGCATTTACCTCAACTATTGCTGCATTTACCGTGTCACTCCTTATCAAGTACACCCGCCGATACCGGATATTTGTGACCATTGGCTGCGTTATCTACATGACTGGTTTAGCATTGATGCTCATGTGTCGCCAAGAAGGTGCCTCTCACTTGCAAGTTCTGGGCACTCAAGTTCTTGTAGGCTGCGGTGGTGGCTTGCTCAATGTGCCCGTTCAACTCGGCGTCCAAGCTTCTGCAAGCCACCAAGAAGTCGCCGCAGCCACCGCGATGTTTCTCACATCCATGGAAATGGGCGGTGCCGTCGGTGCTGCCATCTCCGGAGCCATCTGGACCCATCTAATTCCTCGGAAGCTCATGCAATACTTGCCGGAAGAGAGCAAGTCACATGCCGGCGAGATCTTTGGCAAGCTGACAACGGCACTGGAGTACCCCATGGGATCTCCCACTCGCATTGCCATCAACCGCGCCTATCAAGAAACCATGAACCGCTTGTTAACCCTCGCCATCATCGTGACTCTGCCGTTGATCCCGCTGAGTCTTCTTATGGTAGACTATAAGCTAGACAAGGTGAGTACTCCAGCCAATACCGATGTTATATCTACAGGCAAGAGTGACTGACTCGTCAAAGATGAGCCCTGACAGCCACGATGATGGAGCTGAGACTCCACTGCCCGTTGAAGTAGAGCCCGAGACCGATGATCAACATCATAAACGAACCTAAGGCCATGCCCCATGTGTGCATAGGCCTAACCATATTCACGAAAGCGACGATCACACGACCTGTTCTTTTTTTCTTGTTCTGTTCTTGTCTGGTCTGGATTTTTGATCGTTATGTTTTATCTTATTTCCATGGACCTCGCTCCGCTGCATTGGGCAGACTCAGCAAGCCGGCGTTTTGGGTATTGATTGTGGACACCATATTATCCATATTTGGACATGAGTCACGTGTACGGTTCGATTCATTTACACATGGCGTTGATTAGAAGTAGACACATGCATTCGAGAATGAATCTCTGGTCTGATAGATTTTGAATGTTTGCCAAATGACATCTTCGATCCCGCACATTAGATATCATTTCCCTTACCAAGATGCCCACACATGCGCCTTTCACGCATGTGCAAGTTACCACGGATCATGTGCCACATTCAAATCCCTTATACGATCCGTGGAATTTGGGAAATATCCACTTGAAGAGCTTTCTCCCAATTGGACCACCTATTGAAAAACATAGAGCTGTTATTGGGACCAACAAACACCAACGCAACCGTCAACCGTATCCGTATATGCTTTCATCTATTCATGATGCCAAAACTTGAAGATTACATCATCACAAGCGCGAGTGGTGTAGTGGTAACATAGGGTCCTTCCAAGACCTTGCCAGGGGTTCGATTCCCTTCTCGCGCAGATACTTTTTTGCATTCTATTGGTTTTTTTTCTTAGCTTGCTGGTAAGCTGCAAGCCCAATCTCACCCCCGGCAGGTGCATAACAGGGCCGACCCGTGCCAAGACGAAGCTTGGAGCTGATCTCGATTTTGATTTCAGGGTTGCTGGGGAAGAGCCACTCTGCAGCATAAATGCAATACTAATGTGCCTTGTGCATATGTATGTCGATCCCTAGGATCATAATTCGATATACCCACAGTCTACTCAATTTGAAGCCTTCCCGTGAAATTTTGAAGATAGAGCGGGCTATCTATCGGTGTGCTGGGTGATTCATTTCACTAGCGCTTGCCGAGGATCCGGACAAGTCCCAATTCATCACCTAAATAACAGGGGGCGGTGTGGACAACATAAATGAGGTTAGCGTGTTTAGGGATCCCCTTAAGGGGCATGTCGTTTCAGAGCGGTACTGCAATCAAAATATAGGCGGTGGCTTTTTGGGAGCCTGAGGTGGACTGTGTATGGAGAAATACGCTGGGGACCGAACATGAGTTTCTGATTTCTATGGGAATTTAGAAAATCCGAAAAGGGAGATAGTTCTGGGATAGAGAATATGAATCAATAGTATATAGATTTTTAGATTTGGAGAATTACTCCGGATAGATACACTAGCAATAGCTACGGGTGGTCAACGGAGCTATAGCTGGGTGGGTAATTAAAGCCGGTGTTGCTTCTGTACTCAACCTGTTCTTCGGTTTGCTTGCGCGAAAGGAGCAATCCGGGGCCAGCTAATTTGTGCTACAAAGTTACAAAGTATCCTGCAAAGCTATTTGGTATATAACGAAGAACATGTCAAAGTTGTCATGGTCCAATTTTGTGGACCACAGCGCTTAGCCGACAGCGGGTGGTCGTCACATCGAGGACGTTCTTTGATACCGCTTCTTGGCGCGACCCTCGACCCGTTCGTATTAATGGTATTAGCTATCAGCTAAGGTTCATTTTTAATAGGGATAATTTGCATTGAAGCGAATCCCAGAACATACAATAAATGTGAATGTTATAAAGAGATAATTGTAGAATAATTACCAAGTCAAAGATATAACCAGAGCTTGAAAGAGATGGTACAGGCCGCGTATCTCACGAGACTAGCACTTGTCTAGACTCCATCTGCTCTGCGGGTTGCCCCATTCAATCCAGACCACAGCTTCTCTCCCTTTTTGTCTCCCACAGTCCGCCTTTTCCTTCCCCCTCATTCTCCCATCTCTCCATCTCCATCCTTCTTAATTACCATCACCTTGGTTCGCCCCCGGTGCTCACAAAAATGGTTGTCGCTACAATCAAGTACGAAATCCCCCCTCCTTGCCGAGGCGCCCCCTCTTTTCAACACTAACCCCGACCTCTAGGTGTGTCGTGGTGGGGGACGGTGCAGTCGGAAAGACCTGTCTGCTCATCTCGTACACAACCAACAAGTTCCCTTCGGAATATGTTCCCACTGTCTTTGACAACTACGCCGTGACGGTGATGTAAGTTTTCGTGGATCTCCGCCCCCGTGGGCGATATAGGAACGCGCGAACAGCGGCGGAAAAAAAAAAAAAAAAAGTGAACTCCTGAAATCCTGACTTTTCGACCTTTGGAATAGGATCGGTGACGAACCTTATACCCTTGGTCTCTTTGATACCGCCGGTCAGGAAGATTACGATCGTCTGCGCCCGTTGTCCTACCCCCAGACCGACGTTTTCCTTGTCTGCTTCTCCGTGACTTCACCCGCCTCGTTTGAGAACGTCCGCGAAAAGTGGTTCCCTGAAGTTCATCACCACTGCCCCGGTGTTCCCTGCCTTATCGTTGGTACCCAGACCGATTTGCGCGACGATGCGAACGTGCGCGAGAAGCTTGCCCGCCAGAAGATGCAACCCATTCGTAAGGAGGATGGTGACCGGATGGCCAAGGAGCTTGGTGCTGTGAAATATGTCGAGTGTTCTGCTCTGACGCAGTACAAGTTAAAGGACGTCTTTGATGAGGTAGGACAAATTTGTGATCTTTTGAGGATGAGAAGGACGAGAAGGATGAGCCATTTTTCTCCCGCCCTTTCATCCTTGCCTTTGTATCGCTCACAGCTAACTTTCTCATGTAGGCTATTGTTGCTGCTCTTGAGCCGGCCCCCAAGAAGAAATCCAGGGGTTGCCGCCTGCTGTGAACAAATACAATGGACAGTCTTCACAGGGTGGTTTCTGCGTGACATCGGGTTATCAGCTCGTTAATTTGCGACAGAAACCGCAGATACGATGGAATGAATCTGTTTTGTTTTTTTTTTCCCTTTCAAATTTTGGGAGGGCTATCTGGCTGGGACTTTCACTGGGATATCCACTGCAATATCGGATCAATGTTATGGGCTAGCGTTCCTATCTGAAGCGTTTCTTCTTCAATGACTCTTCATGGCTTCCAGCTCGTGGCTTCCGTTTGCTCGACTTTATCAGGGTCACTCTCTGGTCGCGATCGTCCTCTCCATACTTCCTTCACTTCTCTTGCCCTTGGGCTCCGGCGACCATCCGTCAACATGCGGATCTCGATTCCACCATTTTAGCTTCGCCCTCCATTTCCAACTTCCTCTCCTTCACGAACTACAGCGACTACGAGTTTCGACCTTCCCTTTCCCTTACTCGTGTACTCCCCAACTTTCCCGATTACCCGTTTGATCCCTCCCACGCTTGCAACTTTTTTTTTTCATCGTCTATCGGCGTTGGATGTCAGGGCGTCGTGTCTTTTGGCTGGTCGATGAATTTTCATCCCTGTTACCTCTATTCAATTCTTCCCTCGACCTTGCACTTCGGAAATATGAATTTGAGCTTGCTGCACTTTTCTCCCCCCAAATCCGAACCGCATGCGTGTCTTTTTTCTCCGTTTTCCCCTCTCCACGGTTCCAATTTTTCCAGATATGAGTACCTCTCTGTTGTCATCTGCCTGGTCTTATGCTTCGCGCCCATGATTCTGAACTGCGCAAAATCATCCCGAACCTTAGAACGTCACAGACAGTGGACAACCCAATTGACAAGTTCTATGATGGTTCTTTTGTGTTATGGTTGATCGTAGATGGGCTTATAGATCGTTAATACTGATTCCAAACCCTAGAAATGAGATAATGGATATATTACGAAAGCAAATCTGGACATCATCATGACATGGGCATTCATTCGTCGTCTATATACGGATCATGTTTCTCATACTACATGCTGCGAGACAATTTACAGCTCATCCTTGCCAACCTCAGACTCGGCCTCGAGATCCTCGGAACCCTCAACGACCGGGCGTCCATACCAACCACCGATTTCCTCCTTAACACCAGACTTAACCATGCTGGTAATAATTTCAAATGCAACTTGCGCCGCAGCCAGAGCGGTAGTCTCACCCTTGTTATCATACGCGGGCGAGACCTCAACAATATCGGCACCAACCAGGTTAAGCTTCTCCAAGCCACGCAGGATACGAATAAACTCGCGGGTGGTCCAACCGCCAGGCTCGGGAGTACCGGTACCAGGCGCAGTCGACGGGTCCAAAACATCAATGTCAACAGACAGGTAAACGGGCTGTTCTGGATCAAGACCAGTGCGCTGCATAATAGTCTCCACAACACCCATAGGACCAAGCTCATCAATATCATCCGCATGAATACGGATGAATCCCTGCTCAGGACCGGGGTTGGTATAATCTCCATCATCAACACCAGTCAATCTGGTCCGCAAACCCGCATGAGCAGAAGTCGAGTTGCAGATCAATCCCTCCCGGCTAGCCTTGTGGAAGAAACTTCCGTGGTTGAACTGCGTCTGCTCAGACTGCCAGTATGCACTATAACGCACAGGATTCCATGTATCGAGATGCGCATCAAAGTGCAGCACAGTAATCGGCTTCTGGTAGATCTTATGCAGAGCACGCAGAGCCGGCAAGGCAATACTGTGATCGCCACCCAGGGTCACCAGCTTGGGGTGACCAGAGCCAATGTTGCCCTTGCCATTCGGGGCCTCGTTTACCACCTTCCGCGATCCGAGCTCCAAGAAAGCTTCGTACATCTGGCGCTCGGCGAGTCCGTTGTCGAACGGTGTAATCGGGATATCGCCGCAGTCGGTGATCTTTGCCCACGACTGGTAGGGGTTGATACCCGCACGAGTGTTGTAGCTCGTACCGGACATCTGGCGGGCGCTTGCTGCGCGGATGGCACGGGGACCGAACCGGGCACCTGGTCGGTAACTCACAGCTGTGTCGAAGGGAGCGCCGATAACTGCGATGTCATATTGCTCCGAGGGCTCGACTAGACACTTCACTGGGCGGAGATGGGCGAAGCTGGCGATGCCGGAGAAGGACCACTATATGTATATTAGACATTGACATTGGCATTTAATCAGGTGCTTCTATCTGAGCATACCTCCTGGTCCCATTTCTTCAGCAATTCCTCGCGCTCGTGCTCGGGCACAACCTCGGTATCACCGTGGTGGGCACACGAGACCGCAGTACCGGCCAGCGCCAGCACGCTCAACAGGGATTTCAATGCAGGCATTGCTGTGAAAAATAATCCAAGTAGCTAGAGAACGAAAAGAAAAGAAAGAAAGATTCGCCGGGAGAACCGAATATATAGAAGCGCCTATTTTCTTCTCGCTTCTCCGCTCAGCTTCCTAAATCAGAGAGCTTTATCTAAGAAGGAAAGACGAGCAGATAGCGCCCCGCCTCTCTCCGCCCGCCAATTATCGGCAGTGGAACCGCGGAGTCGTGCAGACCTTCCCTTCTTGGCTTTACTTCTACTTCCTCTTGACCATCAACTTCTTCGGCAGTACTTTCTGTGATTTTAAGATACGGGATGCAATGCGTCGTGTTGTCGTTACGGGTTTAGGTGCCGTGACACCTTTGGGTGTTGGTAAGTTAAGTGTATTTTGTTATGTTTGCTATCCGTGTTCCCCTTGCTCTACGCCCAAAAATCCCAGGCAATAATTGAAAGTGTCAATCGAGTCAATATTATGCCAATACTCTCCAGAATGTGCTAGAGGTTCCCTTGTGCTGCCCCGGACTTGCATGAGATAAAAATCTGGCGGCAAGTCTCCACACGCCGGAAGGGGAAGGTCTTGACAGCCAATGACGGCACCTCAAACGCTTAGCCCGGCGGACTTGGGACCGCATATTCGGCATAGGTGCTACAGCAAACAGTCGAATTGACCTAGCGGGATGCAATCTCGAATGCCTGAGATAGTGATCGGCACGTTGCTGTTAGTTTTGGGTGGATGAGCTAATCGATCTATGTCTAGGTGTCCGGCAGACGTGGAAGCGCTTGCTGGATGGGCATTGTGGTATTGTGAATGTGAATCATCGGGATGACCGCTTTGCAGAACAGCCATGTCAAATCGCTGCTGTTGTGCCCGAAGGTAGTCGGGAAGATGGTGGGTGGACAGCATCGGAGTGGTTAAGTCGGGGTGTAAGTTTGTTCTTGATAAAGGAATCTTCTTGAAATGGGAATCAGAAGTTCTTTGGTTTGATGCTGATTTGTTTTATTTGCTGATGCATTGTAGGAGGAGCGCAAAATGGCTATGTTTGCCCAGTATGCTATGGCTGCGACGGAAGAGGCTCTTGAAGATGCGGGTTGGAAGCCGACCAAATTTGAACAGAGAGAAGCAACTGTAGGATTTATCTGGGGTGCATTTGGGCATCTATTGCGATCTGATATTGACTTTTGCCTAGGGAGTCTGTCTTGGATCTGGAATTGGCAACTTCGATGAGATCTATAACACTGTTGTGGCTTATGAAAAGGGCGTAGGTTCGATGTTGCTGCAAATAGAACACAGTTCTCAGCTAATTGATCTCAGGGATACAAAAAAGTGAATCCACTCTTTGTGCCAAAGTTATTGATCAACCTCGGGGCTGGGCACATTTCAATGAAATATGGATTCATGGTATATTCTGAGTCAATAGATGCAGCTTGAGCTTTGCTAACTGCCCCAAGGGCCCAAATCATGCAGCGACCACTGCTTGCACTACTGGTGCTCATTCAATCGGCGATGCAGCGAGATTCATTGCATGCGGTGACGCTGACTTAATGGTTGCCGGAGGAGCCGAATCGTGCATCCACCCTCTTGCCATTGGCGGCTTTGCCCGGGCTCGAAGTCTAGCCGTCGATTTTAACGATAATCCCGAGAAAGCATCACGGCCATTTGATGCCGATCGAAAAGGGTTTGTCGTCGGCGAAGGTGCCGGTGTACTCATCCTCGAGGTATGTCTTCTGTGGCTATTTCGACCATATATTCAGTGTGCTAAAACCAGCTTAGGAACTGGAACACGCCCGTGCACGAGGCGCACATATCTATGCAGAGCTAAGAGGGTATGGCTGTTCTAGTGACGCACACCATATAACAGCACCAAAAGAAAATGGCGAAGGTGCATTCATGGCCATGAAAAAGGCTCTCAAGCAGGCACAGTTGCCCCCCTCGGCAGTCGACTATGTCAATGCCCATGCAACCTCGACGATTGTTGGAGACGCAGCTGAGAATGCAGCTATCAAGTCTCTTCTTCTAGGTCCAGAGGGCAAGCAGAAAGCGGAAGATGTGAACATCAGCAGTACAAAAGGCGCTGTTGGTCACCTCCTCGGCGGCGCTGGCGCCATCGAAGCGGTTTTCAGCACTCTTGCAATCCAGGATGTGAGTTTGTCTAATCAGTACACCCGTTCAACTGGATTATATGCTGACCTAGGGAGAATGTTATGCCGCCTACTATCAATTTAGATCGTCTTGCCGATGGATTCGACTGCAACTACGCGCCAAAACATGCCCAACCGAGGCAGATAAATGCAGTTTTGACAAACAGCTTTGGGTTTGGGGGAACAAATAGCAGTCTTTGCTTTGCAAGGCATAAAAAATAGTCCTTGAGGGGACCAGCTTGACATGTACGATAGTGTGATCTAAAACCGTGGCCGATATGGTAATTATCAAACGCGCGATCAATCAACGTAAGACCCCAGTTCTATGCTAGATCTAAATTCGCCAGACCCATTTTCCGGCAAGGAAGTACCAATTTATTACTTCATTGGACCCTGACCCTTGGGCTGGAGTATGGTGAATGAGGCCTCACGTGACGATATCCAAATGCGGAGCCCCAGCCCGTCCTTCCATCTCAAGAGTCCTATATGAACACAAAACCCCTGACAGTATCCTCCTCACCGAATAAAAACCTACCGGAAACAATCATAGCGCGAACTACTGTGTCTGGAACACTCCATATCTGCGCTCATCATGGCGACGAACGGCGAGTCCGGTCGAGGTAAGCGCACCCGCTTTGTGAGCGTGACAAAGGAATAGCTGCGCCTCAAATTTCAGACAAGACGGTCGCAGATTGGTTCAAGTGCCATGGACTAATTCCGATTTGCGAGAATAGCCTCAGGAAGCTTGGTGGATGCCTCGGGCTACAAGTTTACGGAGAAGGATACAAAGCCCGGCAAGATGAAGGTCAAGAAGACCTCCAAGGCCTCGACTAAGAAGAAGGCAGACGGTACAATTCAATCGCAGCCTAATGACTCCGGGCCTTAGAACTAACTGGAAAATGCTACAGATGCAAAGGATGGTCCCGTTGAATCCTCGCCTACTTCTCCTCTGCCCAAATTGGACGACAAGCTCGCCACTTCTTTCCCGACTGGTAGACCACGCGAGGAGGATCTACTTGAGACTGTCATTTGCAAGCACTGCAAACGCCCCATTTTGAAATCATCTGCTCCGGAACATATTCGTGGATGTCTGAAGGCGAAGCAAGAGAAGGCGCGCAAGAAGAAGGAAGCCCGTGATGCTGCGAACAGGGCCAAGGTAGGTGATGGTAAGGATGACGATGATATCCGCGATAAGATCGACGTGGGTGAAGACGCAATGAAGGGACAGAAGAGCGCAAAGAAGAGCGCGGTCAAGGGCACCGCCGATGACGGCACGAAGAAGGGCAAGAAGCGAAAGGCCGACGAAGACGATAGCAAGGAGCCCAAGAAGAAGAAAAAGAAGGATGAGCCCAAGGCTAAGACCGCGAAGCCTAAGGGTCCTGTTGATGTTGAGAAGCAGTGTGGTGTGACCCTGCCCAACGGTGCCCAGTGCGCTCGCTCGCTCACTTGCAAGAGCCATTCGATGGGCGCCAAGCGTGCCGTTCCCGGCCGGTCTCTTCCATATGATATGCTTCTTCAGCAATATCAGAAGAAGAATCAGGCTCGCCAGCAGAGTATGTCGTCTCTTTCTTGTTTAACGAAACCCCCCAAGAAATCCCCCAAGAATACTTCCAAGAAATGCCACCCGAGATTCCTCACCCCCTCTTCGGACTCAGATTATGATACAGATGGTTGACATGTTCTTTTATTTCTGTTGTACAGAGGCTGCGATCGATGCCAATGCCCCGCTGCAAGACGAAGTTGATACGAATGGTCCGGTTGATTCGGACGAAGAGAGAGATACTGTCATGGCCGCTATTGCCCGTTCCAACCCCAAACCCCTCGCCGAACATACCCTCATTACCTCACGCACAAAATATCGATATGTTCGCATTAAAGAACAAATGCTACACGCAATTGGTGGACGTGGCGGTGGTCTTTTCTCCACTGATGACAGCCAGCCCTTGTTTGGTGGAAGCATATTCCAACCATTTGACCCCGATATGGATAGTTCATCCCCGATGCTCCCCAATGCTGACCTTGGCGATGGCTCCATTTCTGTGGATGGATCAAGAAAGACCCCGGTGCAAGGTGTACGGAAAACACCTGTTGCTGTTGCCTCTTGAACAGCGAGCACCAAATAATGATTTAACGACTATCTCCGGCATTCACCCCCCATTTTGTTTTTCTCGGCCTTTTGCGGTTTCCCCTATGCAGTGCTGGCGTTTGAGGGCGCGAGAACTGTGCATACCCTGCTTTGTTTGTCATTTGCCTCCTTTTCGTTTCCTGGCCATGAATTCTGGCGTGGAAATAGGCTGGTTCTATATTTGATTCGGTGATGATATGATACCCCGGTTACTGGCGTGATAAATTCGCAAATAGTGACCTCAATGGACGTTTGATTCTCAGTTTGAGCTTAATTAAGAACCCTGGTAGTCTGTGTAGTTCGCACACGATACAATCAACATATAGTTCGTGAGGTTGATGGATTGATTATGTGATATTGAAACCTGAGGTGTCGAAATGCATCTGTCCAGCTCCGTCGATCATGTCTTTGACAATACTCGCGATTCGCAATGCAAGCCTACTTTTCATGCCTGTTTGAGCTTTAGCCGCATTTGGCACACTTGATCAATTCCAAACTCGTATTTCCTGTATGGTGCGCGTGCCGGTCACCTATCTCCCCCAGTCGCATTGAGCTTCCTCGTGCTCCCACCACTCGGCTTCAGCTCCCCTCGTCACAGCCCTGGAATTACCGCAGAGACGTCGCAAGTAAGCGATCGGTCACATTCTACGCCCTTGCTTGACCCAAAGGCTCGCCATGAGTCACTCCGTTCCCGACCTCGATGTGATAGGCATCAAAGCCGAACACGACCTAGCAGACCAATTCCGTCGCGAAGTCGCCCAACTTCTGGGACGCACGAACCTCAATTTCCCCGGCGCACAACCTGTCAGCTTTTCTGCGAAACATCTGGTGGAGCTTCAAAAAGAGGATTACTATGTTTGCGAGAAGACAGACGGGATCCGGTGCCTGATGTATTTTGCGCGCGGTGATCCCGACTCAGAGTCTCCGGAGATTCACTACCTGATCGATCGCAAGAACGACTATCGTTTCGTTCCAGGCCTACATTTCCCACTGCCGAACGATGATACCTTTCAATCTTACCACGTCGATACACTGGTAGACGGAGAGCTGGTCAACGATGTATACGAGGACGGGACCCAGCAGCTCAAGTACTTGGTTTTCGATTGCCTTGTGCTAGACGGACAGAGCCTAATGCACCGTACACTCGACAAACGACTCGCATATTTCAAAGAAAAAGTACTGAAACCATATAATGCGATGTACCGCAAATTCCCTGAGGAAAAACAGCACCGCGCTTTTGCCGTCGAAGATAAGTCCACACAGGTCAGCTACGGCATTGAGATGATGTTCCGTGAGATCATCCCGGCAGTCAAACAAATCCACGGAAATGACGGCCTGATTTTCACTTGTCGAAGCACACCCTACCGCATCGGCACAGATGAGCACATCCTCAAATGGAAGCCTCCCGCCGAGAACACTATTGATTTTCGCACACGTCTCGAGTTTCCCATCCTCGAACCAGACACAGACGACGAAGCAGAAGGCATCTCAGAACCTTATCCTGATTACGATGCTATCCCAACCTTCCACCTCTTCGCCATGCTAAACGCGGGCGAGTACCGCCATTTCGCCGAGATGTACGTCACACCCTCAGAATGGGAGGATCTGAAAGCCATGCGTGTTCCATTAGATGATGCCATCGTTGAATGCTACAAAGATGAGCAAGGCCGTTGGCGCTTCCACCGTTTGCGCGACGATAAGAATGACGCCAATCACATTTCGACCGTTGAAAAGGTCTTAGAAAGTATTGAAGACCGCGTCACGGAAGAAGATCTTATTCGTCTTGCACCTGTTATCAAGACTGCTTGGAAAAAGCGACAGGCGGGTATGGGTTCAGGTGCGATGCCGCCAATGAACGGTGGTACTAAGCGAAAATTCGAGGAGTGATGAATAAATAAAAAGAAAGACATAAACATTTTCCAGTTATGTGTTATCTCGGTGGCCTTCGTATCATTTGCAGGGTGTTTGGCGTTGGGCTTTTTCCAAAACTTCTTTTTTCTGTTCCGGTATCACTCGGGTTCGGGTTACTGGTATGATTGATGGGATTTTTCAGGTGATGCGAGACAAGCATTATATTGGAGACGGGGTTGGAATTTGTTTTATATTCATAGGAATGGATAGATACATCACCGATCGATCTTCATGCCAAATATATCAAATAGATACGGCTTTTCATATCAAATCACACATCTAATGACGGGGTACTGGGTGTGTAAGGAATATTGGATTCGTTTGCGTATGCGTCATATGAAATCGATACAGGGGCTGCACCTGCCAGGCATCGCTATGGGGAAGGAACGATCATTGTGGTTTAGGAAGGCGCGATGCAGTCGACTATAAACCACCCCCCCCTCCTTTTCGAACGCCACACCTTCTCTTCTTGCTATCCTTGGTTATTCCTCATGCATAGACTCATACTCAGCTCCAGACCCGTAGATCCAGTACTGTCTTGTATTGATCACCACCTTTGTATTGCATGGTAATATGCTTCGAAGTTTAGTTCTTTAATCTCATGATTGGCTTTTGGCGGATGCCTGCTATACTTTCCTATTTCCTCAGCCATTGACAAGTGAGAGATCTGGAAATGGATCCTACAGTGAAAATTTGTACGACTTGAACAGCCGAGCCACGTAACGCTGGGGCCGAAAATCTACGTATAAGCGGATAAACGCACGCTAACACAGCGCCAAATTATGCGCTAAAATATACGAGCTGTTCCATCAAGGTACCAACTTTTTACTATAAACGCCGCCTAATTTTGGGTACCCACCAGCCATGTATAAGTATCGGGATAAGTACAGAATCCTAATGGTATCAACACAATCCTCAGTGACAGTGAATTACCATGCTACTCCTCCAATTCCTCGCTATTGCTGCTGGCCCACTGGCATTCGCCGGTGCCAGCCATGTACCAACTCGTCGAACTTCAAGCACAACATCTGCTCTCATAGCAACGCAGTATGGAACTGTTTTTGATGCTCCGGTCACAATAGGGAATCAAACGTTCATGCTCCTCGTTGACACCGGCAGTAGTGATACCTACGTGATGCAGACTGGGTATAAATGCGTCAACAGCACCGACAATCTCGTCATACCGGAACTTGACTGCCTCTACGCGAACAAGACCTACCATAAATCCAAAACATACCACCACGTTTCCAATGAGATTTTCGGCGTCCAATACGGCGCAGGTATTGCAAGCGGCCTCATGGCCTACGAGCAAGTGTCAATGGGCGGCATAAGTGTCAAGGCACAGAAAGTCGGCATCTCGAATGATTCCAACCCCATGGGTGATGGCGTGAATAGTGGACTACTCGGTCTGGCCTATCCGTCTCTCACGTCCGCACACCCGGCGAACCAGACATCCAACAGCACATACTGGCATGATCGTCTGGTGTACAACCCGTTGCTGTACACGATGCATGAGCAAGGTCTTATAGATCCATACTTCAGCCTCGCGCTCGCACACACACCGCAGAATGAATCTACATCCTTTGGAGGTTATTTGACGCTTGGTGGTCTTCCACCCGTCAACCACAGTTCCCACTTCTCGACAGTCCCCGTGGAGATCACAGATAACATTCCACTGTGGTTCACATCCGGAAAAAGTGTTCGGTCGTACTGGTCAACCACCGTCAAGAATATCACTTACGGCTCATCGTTGGATAATCTGACTACAAACTCAACTTCGTTTCAAGCATTCATCGACTCCGGTAATTATATTTCTTATCTCCCCGATGCGATTGTCGATCCGATCAATGCTCTCTTCTCGCCCCCGGCAACTTATGATTCTGATTCTGGACTGTATTTTGTCGATTGCTCGGCTAAAGCGCCGAGATTTGGATTGTCGCTTGGTGACCAGACATTCTACCACGATGGCTCGGATCTTATCTACCAGACCTCTGAGGGAATTTGTGTGTCCAGTCTGGCTTCGTCTTCAGAGGTGTCTCTGGGTGATATTACTTTGAATATCATTGGTGTTCCATTCTTGAAGAACGTTGTTGCTGTCTTTGATTTCGGAAAGAACGAGATGCGGTTCGCTAAGAAGTTGAGCTCGACGCAAAGTGTATCGGGGAACACTACATCAGCCCCACTGGCCTCTGGTACCTCGATGCAGCACAATAGCCGATACGACATTGTGATTGGTTTGTTCCTGGGGGTAACGATCTGGCAGATGGCATGAAAAGCCGAGGAACTTTATATATTACCTTCTTTTTTAAGTTTCCACCCCATCTTTCAGGCTTAGCTTGATTTTTAAAGCTTGTTTTTAGAATGAGGACCTGGGGCTTTTTCTTTCGTGGCTACCACTTCGCCTTTTGTGACCTATTCTTCTCTATGAGGCTTTCGCCCCCATTCAAGCCCTCTATATATCACCCATCGCGGCCCCTCTGTAATTTCACGGTCCAATCGGACGGCCCGTCACAACTACCCCTCCTTTCTTTTTCCGCCTCTTTTCTTTTGCTAACAGATTGTGGCTGGGCTTTCGTCGCCTGTTTTCGCCTTGCGACTCGTAAAAGTAATGATTTGGTCCACGTAATTGACGCTTTGCAAAGACTGTGTCTTAGTTTCCAAAAGCCTTTCCACGAATGCTAAATCCCGCGAATACTGTTATGCAGCACACTTTCTCCACAATACTGTATGATCAATGGGTATCGCCTTGAAGTATTATGGATGTGGGTGGAGAAGTTAGGTCATAGGTATCCACTATCTTCAATATCCACTTTGTGCAAGAACCCATAGTTGCTCATCCGGATATGCCCTAACCGGATATAGATAGAAGATGAACATTCAAATAGGTATGCGTATGCGGACTTCTAAGCGAATGACCTCGGAAATATGGAATTATTCCCATAGCAACTTTCGAATCGCGACTGTGGCCAGGAGAGGGAAGAATATCATTCAATCGATACATCCATAGATGTTCTTGTAGGCTATACGCCAACTTGAGAGAATCACGAGAAGAAAACCACACATCCAAACCTGATTCCCCCGAGTTGATACCTGACATTGGGGGCCCGATCATAGAGCCGAGACAAGCCCTACCAAGAATAAATCTTGCTGGCGAGGCTGTAGTAGCCGACCGATCCGGATCTTCCGGACCTTGGAAGCTTTGTGTCTTCTCCACCTGTTTGCTGACTCGATACGAGAATTGATCTTACTGTATTTCTCCCATGCGCTGAGGCCTTTGTAAATTCCCACTAGGTATGCACTAAATCTTGGAGTCGTCAGCCGGCATTAAAATAGAATATAAGCATATAATAAGCTGCGCTTTCCCCGTTTTTCCCCCAAAAACTTTCTGGTGTCTCCCGAGCACTGTACGCCAGCTATGCTTTCCCCGGTCCGCCTGCTTCCTCTTATTGGGAGTCTTCTTCCATTCGTCTCCGGACGGCCGTCTACGAGCTCATCTGTGGTTCTTCCTCCTAGCGAAGATCCCTTCTACAGTGCCCCTCATGGCTATGAGACTAAAATCCCCGGAAGCGTTCTGCGCATACGTCACGCCCCGGGAAATCTGACAGAGTTGGTCAGCAATGCCTCCGCAGCATACAACATTGTCTACCGCACTACGAATAGCCAATATCGCCCTTCGTGGGCCGTGACCACCGTATTCGTCCCTTCAATTCCTCGTCACAGCAAAAACTCTTCCTTGCTCTCTTACCAAGTCGCATACGACTCTCATGACATTGACGCCAGCCCCAGCTATGCGATGTACTCTTCTCCTCCTATAGATGTCTCTCTCGCACTTGAAGAGGGTTGGTATGTCAACGTCCCCGATTATGAAGGTCCTCTTGCCTCTTTCACTGCGGGCGTACAATCCGGCCACGCTACACTCGACTCCATTCGGAGCATTCTTGACTCCCATGCGACCTTGAACTTCAAGGCTTCGTCCTCCTCCATCGCTTTATGGGGGTACTCTGGTGGTGCTCTTGCCAGCGAATGGGCCACCGAGTTACAGGTACAATACGCCCCGGAGCTCTCTATTTCCGGTGCTGCCCTTGGCGGCCTCACACCTAACATCACTAATGTGATGGACACTGTTACTGGCACCTTTAGCGCGGGGCTCATTCCCGAAGCAGTCCTTGGTATTGCGAGTCAATACCCAGCTACCTACGATTATTTGGTTAGTAAATTGAACAAGGAGGGAAAGTACAATCGCACGACTTTCCTCGCGGCAACAAAAATGACACTCTCGGAGGCGGACGTCGCCTTTGTTGAGCAGAATATTTTTGATTACTTCGTCGATGGCCAAGATACCTTCAACGCCCCTGTTGTGCAGCACGCGCTGAATAGGGACGGATACATGGGATATCACGGTGTGCCACAAACCCCGCTTTATGTGTACAAGGCAATCAAAGATGAGGTTAGCCCTGTGGCCGATACCGATGCTCTGGTAGAGAGGTTTTGTGGCGTTGGGGTCAATATCCTGTATGAGCGGAACACGATCGGCGGGCACTCTGCGGAGGGTGTGAATGGCCATGCGAGCGCCTTGGAATTTATCTCCTCCGTTTTGACTGGGTCTTATGATCAGCTATACCAGACGTCGGGATGTACCATCAGGGATGTAACTATTAATATTACTAGCTCGGCGCTATAGATTGCTGCCGTGCTGGTTGATGACTTGATGTGTCTATATAAAACAGCCACTGGATAATAATTCAGATGAGCTGGAGATACCAAATGTACATAAAGGTCACTCTCTTGTGTTAGGTGGATATTTCAGGCAACATGAGCGGTCATGTTTGGCGTCAGTCTCAAATGCCCACATTTTCTAATTGTAGCATCTTGAATGCTTCTTCTAACCCACCTTCCGTATCCACGATATCAGAGCCCACGTACTCTAATTTGAAATCCATCTCCGGAACTCCACTTTGTATATCGTCTTCTGATAGCAAAGCCTTCACAATAGCTACAGCCGTTCGTGCGTCCCAAAGTCCATCACGGGATGTAGATGAAGACCCCTGCATTAAGAAGAGTGACCTGCGCAGGATACGGCGATCATTTGTTTTTAAACAGATCAAGTATAGCATCGCGATAATGTTTGTAGAAAGGGTGAAACCCCGCTTGGGAGGCGATGTCTTTCCAGAATCAGAATCACATTCATTGGATGATAGAAGTGTTGATATTTGGGTAAGCGCGAGATCGAATCTGTAAGAGGCATTTAGAGGGGTATTTGCGCCATCGAGGGTACAGGAGATGTTTTCCAAGAGAACCGCATGAAAAATAAGCGCTTGGCTTCGTAGTAGAATGAGTCGTTGGCGTTGCGAGGAATCAAATGATTGGAAATGTTCATTCGTCGTCATTTTCTCTACTTTTTCTTCCAACTTTTGGAGTTGGGACTCCAGGTTCAGCCTTTCCTGAATAACAACGGATGGCACTTGAGCTAGAGGTAGGTTCTTGTATTCCACAAATTCCGTTAGATGCCACAAAATCCAATTTTGAAGCACGACAAGTGACTTTTCCAGCTCAGGTAGATCGGAAATTTCCTCTACAACCGTAGGCACCATCTCTGAAACTTCTTTTGGCGAGGCAAGTCTCAGAACAGGCGTCCTGTCGAGGAATATACTGGCGTGAATGTCAAGCTGGGAAAATATCGCCATCAATTGCACATAAGACTCCTGGTCATTCGTCAGACACGGGTAATCAGGCTGAATACGTCGCAACATATTTAGACCTTGATCAAGATGCCATAACGCTTGTTGCACATTGCCGATCAGACACTCGAATGTATAGAATATAAGGCTGCAGATAAGTGCAACTTCAACTGAAGCGTCCCGGGCAAGATGCACACGGAGCTGAGAGTGTGATCTGGTAATGAGCTGAATATGCTTGACAGACACCTTAAGGCGTGGTGACTCGGAAAAACTGTAGTCGCGATACAGACAGCTAAGCGCAACTAGAGAACTGCGTATTACAGGCTGGTCTTGACTTCTCTGTAGAATGAGGTGTTTCCATAGTGTATTCTCTGAGAATCGGGAAATGGAATCTGCTGCTTCGCAGCAGTAATAATGAAGTAGTTCACGATCTGTACGACTCCCGGGGACTTTGAACGGAATGCTGTACATTTTGATTTTTGATTGAGAGTGGGCAGCTTGAGGGTATCCGGGACAGCTTCGTCCTGTAGAAACGCATCGGTGACATTTGGGACGCTGCTCATCGCATTTCACTTTGCGGATCCTGGTTTGGTTAGTGACGGGACTGGGTGCTAGGAAACTGACTCACTTGCAGGTGGTACACCCTGTTCGAACTTTGGGCATGCTGCGGCGTGCTTTGATGGCAATCATGTCTAGATCAATTGAATTGATGAGATTGACTGGGGGATAAAAGGCAAAAATCAGTCAATTTGAAAATAGATAAAAGATGCCAAAGGAGGTGGCGCAACACTATACCAAATTTAGTTTTAGGCAGACGACGACTCGAGTGCTTAGTGGGGGCCAAAATAGTACTTGTAAGCTGTTCCTTCTTCAAGATCCCAACCTTGAAAAGGACGCGTGGCACGCCTCATTGAGGACTATTGGGAACTTTTTCATGCTCAAAATATCTTCTTCAGACGCTGGACTATGAGATTGATTTGAAAAATGAGATACCTGCGTAGGTGAGTAGCGATCTATATAATTTTAAAGCCCTGACACGTAGACTCATATTGCCTCGTCACAACAACTTTCGAACCCAAGATACCCAATCAATTAGAAAGCTTAAAGCCACCCGGAAGGCCCTTCTGAAAAAGACCCTGCGGGTCATACTTCTTGCTCACGGCCTGTAGATTACCTTTGCTCTCATACCCATACCCATCGATCACAGCCTGTCCGGCTCCCGCGTAATTATAATATTTATAAGGGCGGTATGCCCCAGCTTCCTTGGTAGCCGCCTCGATATTCAGAATCAACTTCCTTGCTGCGAGATCGACGTGCTGATCGGCGGAAGTATCATTGTAGTAGGCTGTTATGAGGGCAATGCCGAGTCTTTCCTCTCCCGTATCCAATCCTAGACTGTTCACGCGGTTCAGAACAGGAGATGGTTGGAGAGTTAGATACCAGTTCATTGCGGGAACGCTGGTAATTCCTGCGATAGATGCGTTGTAGATCTTGTAAATGGTTGAGTAGATGTCTGGGGTGTGTGCAAACGTTGTCGTGTACCAGGTTTGTCTGTCATCAGAAGATTTAGCATCCTTTCTATTATACAGTAGTACCCCGATTATTCAACATTGTGCAAAAGCTGCTTACCGTTGGTTATATGACTGGTAGCTATCCGTCTCTGCAGCGAATGACTCCATAGTATCAATGCGCAAGGCATTGGAAATAGAGGTGGCATTGTTTGCAAGACCCTGGAAAGCAGCTGGATACGCCACCGGCTTGGTATACGCCAGACCATTGCTAATCGAGCCTCCATACGTAGATGACCAGCCATAACTCTGAATCATGGCGGCATGAGGATCATACGGCTTAGCACCCATGAACCTCGAGAAAGCCAATGTCTGCGTAGACCATTGGTCGGCCTCATAAGCAATGAAACCTCCCCAGAACTTCCCAAGAGGGTAGGTACTCATGGTATACTTGGTAACAATTCCAAAATTATTCCCGCCGCCTTTCAGCGCCAGGAACAGGTCAGGATAGGAACTCTCATCCACAGTGACAATCTTGCCACTAGCCAGGACAATCTCGTATTCAAGGATATTATCGCAACCCCACCCTAGGATTGGGCCCAGGTAGCTCAGACCACCTCCAAGGAGATATCCCCCAATTCCAACGTCCGAGTCTCTTCCTCCGGTAACAGTCACATTGTAAGGATCAAGTGCCTTCCAGACTTTCCTCCATTTCCCCCCTGGTCCAAGCTCAACAGTCTGGCGATCTGCACTAAGCTTGACTTGGTTCATGAGACTGAGGTCCAGTGTTACGCCTTTATCGATGTTGGCTGCGCCGGCGTATGGCGTGTGTCCTCCACCACGCACGGCAAACTGGACCCCGGAATTGAGAAATAAGTGCAACGTTTGAATTGCCGTCGATACCTCACTGGACTTCGTCGGTTTTATCACACATGATGGCTCAAGTTCTTGCTCTTCTCTGCTGAAATACGAAGCTAAAGAGTCGGTGTAGCCCGTCGACCCGGGGAAGTAGACTGCGCCCGGCAGTTTTGTGTGGAGGGTATCGCAGGCTACCCATGTTGCATTGGCGTGTGATTGGGCTGCCTTTGCGAAGAGAGCTATGAAAACAATGAAAGATCTCCAGGGAATCATGGTGAACAAACAACAATGAAGATGGACAGCTCTGTTGAGCAAGGGTGGCTCTTTATATTAGATTGTAAAAAGTATAAAGTCCATTTTGCATCCTACGAGGCTGGTACCTAATTAGTCTCAGCCACTGGAGCTTATTTACTGCAGATGTAATGGAAAGGAGTAGAAGCTAACTACTATAGTGATGATCTCATTTTGTCCCCCACGTGGATATCACGAAGGATAGTAAGCAAAGATGTACCAGGTACCCGGCTTGCCTACACACTTACCATATTTATGTTTGCTATCACAAGTACCCAGTACATTGGTTTAAACTTCTATGCCCCTGTAATTCCCGGGGCGAGAAGAGAGGGGATCCGTTTCAGGTTCACGCAAACGCTAGGTTAACTAAGGTGGCGGTCATTGGTTCGCAAAGGCTGCTAAGAACGAACTAAAAGTCAAACACCACTACCTGACCATTCAATTTCGGCCATAAGAAACTTGTTTATTGCGAATCATAATCAGGAACCCAAAAGTCGCAATTATTACTGCCCCATATTTCGAGGACTGAGCACCATCCTGATATCCTCGCCTTTGGCGGGAGATACAACGCCAGGAATAGGCTTGGAATAATCCGGTCGGGGGAACGACGCATTCTTCGGGTCTCGTTGCTTATTCTCTGTGGCCCCCAATTCCCGATCTAGATCTCCTATGCTGATGTCGTATCGGCTAAGTAACAATGCCACGACGGGGTAGATGGCCCCTCGGGCGTAAAAACGTCCGGGGCAAAGAGTGCTTCCACCACCGAATGGACGATAACTGAGACTGGATTTTAGGCTCTTGGTTTGCTGAAAACGATCTGCTTGGACCGCTTCGGGGTTAGGGCCCCAGGATTCAGGATTGAGATGTAGTTGACGGTAAGATATCTGGAGAAACAAGCGTTAGCCTTTATACTATACAGTGTGTTTTTTACGCCTTACCAGCATCTTATTCCCTTTGCGAAGTGTGGTTCCACCGATGCAAACATCCTCCATCACATCTCGCACGATGGGAGTGCTCGTCGTGATGCGCAGGACTTCCGACATTAAAGAGTCGAGGATTGGGCAATTTTTTGTCAGATGGTGATGATCAATTTGGTCGCCTTTGATCGCTGGTAAGATCTCATTGCGTACGATCTCGAGATCGCTGGGAGTATAAACTAGGTGAGCGATCAGCCAGAATGCCGACTTGTACATATTTCCCACGATCCTATTAAGCCGTCAGCATTATGCTTACCTGGGAAAGAATTCACTCACGCCCAGGTCTGAAGAGTCAATACTCGAGCGAGCTCCTCAGTGGTAAAATTCGACTCTCGCATATTGTCCTCTAGAGCAATCATCCAAGGGGCCGCGCCCGGTCGCTCACTACGAGGTAATGAACAATACTTTTCAAATAAATCAGTCATCTCCGCCTTGGCTGCAAGCATATCCTGACTCAAAAATCCGGGCAAATTGAAGAGAAGCTTCCAGTTGACTCTTTCCCAGAGCATGAACCAATGCACGAAATCAGGCTTGAGTTTCCAGATCGCTGGTCCATAAAATACTTCAAGAACATTGGTAATTAGCGCCTCGATACATAGCTCCTCGAGAGAGATAGCCTTCAGGCCGTTCTTTTCGCCCAAAAGCGCTGGATGGGGGCCTTCGCGTTCGAAATCAAATGCGCGACGGACCAGAGGCAGCGTGTTCTGGTCAAGGAACACATCTAGCATAATTCCAGGCGCCAGATGATGGCGAAGAGTATCCACCATCATCCAGATCGGTGGAAGTGGTCGGGGCTGCTGCTGATTAAACGAAGCAGATTCATCCACGGTGAATAGCTTGTCCACTCCCTTTGGATTCATCCCCACACCAGCATGTATGCTTCGGACGATAGCCTCATTCGAGAGAACGGCTTCTTTCCTGTAAGTCTCGGCTACATGCTTAGGATCGGTAATAATGTAAATCTTGACTCCGCCCGCAACGATTGCGAACGGTCGCTTCGAGCCGCCGAATCGCTCACTGTGTGGCTGTAAGTCTTTGAAGGCTCAAAATCTCCAAGAATAGGTAACCAACATTATGCGGGCTAGCGATCCGTTGAAGTCAAGTGCGAGTGGTATTGCATGACCTGAGGTACATTAGACTCATGCAGTGGTACGAGGTTGCAGGGGGCAAGGCACTGTCTGACCTAGAACTATTGGCGTATCACAAACAAGGTCAGTGATTGTGACTCAGTCTGAAAACGAATGCTTGCCTGCAGCAAGACTCAGAAACTTACAGGGAATCCAATATGGAGCTTCTTTGGGTTCGTTTGGATATAGTCTGGGGAGAACGGAAAACCTCCACAGTCTCCAAGTTAGTAAGAGACCAGCCCCAATTAACAGTAAAATCAAGGTTGTGCTGTCACAGATGCTATCCAGGACTTGTGCCCATAAGAGCGGTAGATTCGCCATTTAGAAAGTGGTAAGATGGATTATTTCAGAGATATTGAAGAAGCAATTGTTCATTTAGTTATCTTCAGTTTCCCTTCGTCTCTGAGTTCCAACACCTTTATACTATACTTGAGCGACAAGCCTATCGTAATTGCTTAATCTGCCACACTGAAGCTCCAATCCAGTGCAGTGGTACTGTAATCCTTCAAATCTCCCCTTGTCAAATAAGATGGTTTGCGACCCACTTCTTGGGGGCTGAATTTCGATGGTCATGCAGGCCTACAGATCTGCAGTGAGCGTCCAAGACCATTGGTGGGGTTACATACAGAAACGCCAATACTGTCCACACCAACTTGGAAGGTGACTGCAGGGATGGAAGGGATAAGATTCCTGCACGGATAGAGCGCGTGGCCCCCAGGATCAACACAAGCTATCCACTCCCCAGACTTGGCCCCCATTCTCTGCCCTCTTTCCACCTAATTGCCGAAACCAACTCGTGTTTATGGTGGGGTTATATAGAAGCCATGAGATATCTGCGCGCCGCGTGGTGATTGCCCACCGTTCTTCAGACTTCCACCTGGCCTATTTTTCGACTTTGCAGGACCGCCATGTCTGCAGCCGACTTGGCTAGTATGCCTGCGGCAACGCCGCCACCTGGCGTCACTGCGAATTTCGACAATCCTCCATCAAATGCTTACATTCTTATAATTGTGACGACTATATGCATGGTGCTCTTGTATATGACTATGACCATCAGTCTATATGCTAAGATCAACATCCGGAAGAAGATGGCTTTGGATGATTGTGAGATGCTTGCCTTGTTCATTGACAGCCGCGTGACCATGCTAATACCTCCAGGGACTCGATTAATTGCGACATTTGGTACAACAATATACTACATCGCCAGCGTCATCGGTACTGCTTCCAAATTCATAAATTCCTGATTTTGTTCCAGGCCATGGACTAACTTATTGTGCTATGTAGCTGTTACCAAAGGCAAATTCGGTATTCACATGTATGATCTCACAGCAGCCGATGCCATGTGTACTTCCTTCATCATCTCGGGGTTCTTCACAAATTGGTTAACCGCACTGGTATGGCCATTCGCCAAGTCATCCTTCTTCCTCATGTACCTTGAGATGTTCCGCACCGTACGCTGGCAGCGATATGCCAATTATATTGGGCTATTCGTAACCTGGGGCTTCTACACTGCTGTCTTGGTGGCGACTCTATCCTTTACAAGCCCAGCGCCCGGCGAAACATGGCAAAAATCTTTGACCTCCGCACGCTACGCCAAAATGGAGGCTTGGATCATGCCTATCGCTTCAATTAATCTCGTCATTGACGTCTATATCCTTGTTCTGCCTATTCTTCCGATCCTGGGTCTGAGATTGAGTACCAAGAAAAAGTTGGGGGTGCTTGCAATCTTTGCTACCGGTTTACTGTAAGTGAACACCCATTGCATTTCTATAGGATGCTAACGATGCTACAGTGCTTGTGTCGCCTCCTCACTGAGTATCTATTTCAAAATGGTCTTGGATTGGCATTATACCGACTACAGCTACTATACTACCCCTGTTTTGATAATGTGTCTAGTGGAAATGTGTGTTGGTGTCACGGCCAGCGCGATGCCATCGATGGCGCTATTCTTCCGACATAAAGGCGGCAAGGTGACGCGGGTGTTCTCCCGGTTCACGCGATCATCTCAGTCTCGGTCATCTCAAAATATGAATGCAAAGCGGGTCGAGTCAGCGGGTGATTCTGTCGACTCTGACCAGTGGCCCCTTAAGGATGTTAGCTCCTCCAAGAGCCACTACGACGGCACGGACGACAACAACCATCTCAACTCAGTTCAGACATTTATTCAAGCTGCTACTCCAACCAGCCAGGTGGACCGTGACGGTGCAATTTGCCTGCAATATGCGTTCAATCAGGGCTATGAACAGCGCGGGAAATCAGATCCTGCGAACCAGGTCTAGTCAACCGCTCAACACGAAGAACAATCCAACTTAGATATGGATGTATATAATGAAAATCTCATGACAACATACTGATTTATCTTTAATGTTTTTTTTTTCTTATTCAGTTGAAAACAATGAGCTCTAATGTACTCGTTCTACAGATTAGTACCCTCGATTACGAAACCCTCGGCTTATCCGTGTATTTCGCATGGAACGACGCTCCCGTACCAGGCACTGTACAGAGAATCCTTCAGCTGCAACCTCACCTGAATTAGCCCATGCTAGTATCACATATACTCAACCCTTGCAGATCTCTCCTGCAATTTAGGCTACCCCGTGCTGTCCGCGTGTCGAATAGGTAAGGAGAGACATCACCCCCACCCTCTCTACAACCTTGTGAGTGGAAACATTGCATGTTGACCAATCACACTATCACGCCCTTATTCCTGATGAATGTGGAATGCAGATCCTTCAATACATGGTCCCTAAATATAGATACAAGCATGATGTGACTTAACAAGCGCAAAGTTACCTTTACTCTGAGACTATGATTAGAGTTTCGGCGTTATAACTATTGCCCTTAGTGCAGAAATCTACATTTGGGGGCTAAACAAAACTTGGAACCTAGAGGTGTAAGCTTACAGCATACCAGCCTTGGCGCATGTGTTGCAAGGTTTACACCCTGTCACAGCGCCAGGGAAAGAAAATCGTGGCGGGAACTTTAATCCCAAGCTCAAATCTTTGTATCTCGAGGTTATATTGAGCTGCCGCCTGGAACAGAATGTCACAAAATCCCAAAAAGCTTCGCATGGTCTTGATTGATTCCAATCTTGGCACCTCAATCATTTGGCACCTCGATCATCGTGATTCTTGCATCAATGTCCCTGGGATCGCATTTTCCACTAGTCATCACTAGCGCATAGACTCGACATTGATTTCGGCTTTAACGAGAATTTTCGGTAACGCGCCTATTGATCTTCAGCAAGGACCGAACCAGACCGGGATTATGATCGGCCGTGACCTCATTGTAGAATACGTCAGTGGTGACTCCTTATCTGAATTTGGTTTCGGGGCCATTGTAACCGTAAACAAGGAATACTCTGTGACCTTGGAGCTTCTCTGCTGATCTCAGTAGAAATTTTGAATGGCGTTGTCACTCTTTTTCCCCCTTTTTCCGTTACGTGGCGAAGGGGCCGTTTACATGAGGGGATTACCAAGATTACCAATTGTCTGTACTCAAGTGTTTTCAACACAAAGTTCTGTACAAAGACATGGATGGCCTTAAGTAGAACCCTGAAGTAATAAGCTCAGCATAGCTCTCCATCATTCCCGTCTGCTCGTTATCAGGCAGCCCATAGCTCTCCATGCTCCACTAGGAAGCAGAATGAGATGAGACTCATGCATATGAATAAGATACTTCATAAGGGACCCCTCGCTTGGGAAGTATCCCATGATTTTGTGGCGCTTGTGAATGTGTACGCCAGGCTTTCTAGGACTTTTTTACATTATCATTGGACCAAGTTGAAGGATCAGCGCAATGGATGCCCTACTTGGTTAATGCAGGATGTCGCTCTTAGTGGTATCAGTCGCTCGGCTATCGCATCTTTCGGCCTCGCCGTTATGAAACAGCTTCTAAAGTCTATTTGTGTATTCCGATCGTACTGTCCGGTTGAAGCTTCGCTCATCTTGTCTCAGCGGTGGAGAAGATAGAGCGCATATGGTTCTGCGAGGATCAACCTGATAGGCCGCATAAAATAGCCAAACACTGCAGCAAGCCTTCAGGCAATCTCACGCGATGAAATCTGCTGCTTGTTGTTCTTCAGGCGGCCGCATGCCGTGGCTACCCGCTAGATTACAGTATATCATAGATATTGTAAAGCCTTCATTGGTTACTGAATTCTGAATTTGGGGGCCAGCCCTCGCGCTCTTCAGGGCCGGATGCCAAGGTGTTGTGCAAACGAGATAAATACCCTAGTAGACTAAATCTACTAGGGTAATTTTGGAAACGTTGATCGAGTCACCGGAGATCATATAACGTCATCTAATCAAGAGACGGGAATGCTACCACGTTGAAGCTCTTGTACTTATCATATCTCAGCCTACGTTCGCTCTTGCTTCCTTCAATCATTCTTACCAACAAGTCATTCATGGATTCTGATCATCTAGCTCCTTGGCTCTTTGCCGTGGGGTTGACTGTACTTGTGTTGGCGGAGCTATACTTTCTTGTTCAGGTCTCTACTCCACCCTTTGAATCCTTTGTACCTGCAAGGGGCGTAGCGCTGACTTTATCTCAGGATACGACAGACTGCATCAAATACAAGAATCACTCGGTCTACAAGATTAAGCAAACCTTTGAAGATTTTGTCAGTTCCAATTTCATCTTTTCGACTGAGCAACTAAGCTTATTTACCTTGTAGTCAAATGGCAAATTTTACAATCCGTGGGCAACTCAGCCCATCATCATTGAGCCTACGAGGAAGAAGATGATTGAACTGAGTGAAAATACTGCCTTGTCACAACGTGCAGTATACGCCGATGTACGATGAGTATCGCCTCAGTGATAATTCCCTGGCCCACCAGACATTCACTGATGGTATGCAGATGTTTGGATTTAAAAACACATTGAGCAACTTCAACCATAATGAGATTGCGGCCCATAGATCACGACTATTCTCGCTGATCCTTAGTGTCAGGGGCAAGGGTCATCTCCGTCAAGTTTCTCCATATCTTCACAAGAGAATGGAGATTTTTGTTGGATGTGAGTTGAGTCTGAAGCCAGTCATGGCTAACGGTAGGCTCATGCATTTTGCCTCCGTTATCTCTTTATTGAGGTGCTGATATATTGTAGGATCTATTAAAATTGGGTTGGCAGATACGTGCAAGCTGGTGAATTCCCGTCTTATGGCGGTAGCTTTCTTTGGTGAAAAACTCGGTAAGTGGCATTTTGATGTGAGTTTAGGATGTCAGTTTAGTATGGCAACTAACCTATGCGGCTAAGCATCTGAGCCCATATTTGCTGAGGCTATCTACCAACATCCCTTGCAAACTGTGACTTGTATGAGTCTGTTTCAACTTGCACCATCGTTTACGTACCCGTATGTCCAACTTCTATTACATGTTGATGTATTAGGCTAACACTAACAGATTTATATCCGCCATTGTGACTCGGAACGGGCAAGCAATGAAACAAGTTGAAGAGCGGGTGTGCCCCATCATCGAGAAGGGAGTGGACAGCTGGGATCACCCCTCACAAGTAGAACATGTTAGTTGAAGCTCCCTATCTCTAGTTTTGCATAGGCTCACATATCTTATAGACAATCCTCTACAACATGATCGAAGAAACGAAAGATAACCGCGGCTACTGGACCCCGGCCGCCGTCTGCCAGGCAATTATGGGACTTTGGCTCGCAGCATCACATCAACCATGGGTGAATCTGTATATTTTCATATATCAGCTTTGCACACATCCAGACTGGCAAGATATAATCCGAGAGGAATTCCGCGCAAACGGCAGTGGCATGGACTTTGACAGCCTTCAAAACCTCCCCCTGTTGGACAGCTTCATGCGAGAGAGCTCAAGATTTCACTGTTTGGATAAGCGTATGTGCCGAACCTCCTTTTAAGCCACCGATACCTAATGGCTGACTGGCCCTGTGTTAGTAAATATCCGCCGTAAGGCCATGGGCGACTACACCTTCTCGGATGGTTCGACATTCGCCCCGAAAGGGTCAACTGTCTGCGTCTCCAACTATGACGTATCGCACGATCCCGGGAATTACCCGAACCCCGATATATTTGATGGCTTTCGCTTCGTGCGTGGCCGATCCAATGACCGGACTACTGGATATGCCGATGTCTCCGAAAAGAATCTTATGTGGGGCTATGGCTCGCTAGCTTGCCCTGGGAGGGTGCATGCATCTTTCGTCATTAAGTTTGTGTTGTGCTCGCTACTTCTTCGGTACGACATGCGGCTCGAGCGGGAGAACATGCGTAGTCACTGGACATACGAATCGTTCAGCATGCCTTATGGGTCGACGAATGTTATGTTGCAACCCCGAGAGATTAGCAGTCAAGTGTAAAGTTCTTAAGTTCTTTTGTTCCTGACGAGATGTGAAGACTCTTCTGGACACCTTCAAATTTTTCAAGTGCTATACTGTTAAATATTCTGACGGCATGTATAATGATGTCGAATTTCATTTCGATTGCTACAGTAACCAGAATACGTCGTAACTGAAACTTCTTTTTGGCTTAGTATATGCCCCAGTTTTCACTTTTACGGGAAGCGGGATAAATATTAAGCCCTTTTATCCCCATGGTTTCCCCACATTTTTCACTAATTACACTAAGGAAACTTGGATTCGGACAATTCCATCGTGCCATTCGGCGAATTACCATGACAAAAAACTTATAAAAATACTATCGGAAGCTATTCGGGTATTGCTGATCTCTCATTGACAGCTGATCTATGCACATAATGAAGTTCCACCTTGCAAGTGCTGTACTGCTGGCTGCTACAGCTCAAGCAGCAACGGATCCTTCTTTGACAGTTCGTACTGTCACAGGAGCCTTTACTGGACTTCGCAATGCCAATTTCAGCGGGGTGCGAGAGTTTCGTAACATCCCTTTCGCTCAGCCCCCAGTAGGCTCATTACGTTTCCAACCTCCTCAACCGCTACCACCATCAACCCAGCACCACTACTCCACACGCTTTCCCCCATCGTGTCCCCAGTTTGTGTCTAGCGATGCCAGCTTCTGGAATCTCTTCGTTCCCTATCTACTAGTGGAAAATGGAAACCAAAACCATACCAGCGGTCTCACCTTACAGACTAGCTCGGAGGACTGTCTGAGTCTCGCCATCTGGACACCATACAATGTCTCAGCAACAGCCAAGCTCCCCGTCATCTTTTTCATGACGGGCGGTGGCTTTGAAACCGGCGGAATCGACATCGCCGGCCAGATCCCTGCATCTTGGGTCCACAGAACCCAAGAGCATATCGTTGTAACAATCAACTACCGCGTCAACATCTTCGGCTTCCCCAACGCAGGCGGCCTCAACAACCCCAATCCCGCAATTCTCGACCAACGCATGGCTCTGGAATGGGTTCACGAGAACATCGCCGCCTTCGGCGGTGACCCCGAAGCTATCACAATGTGGGGACAATCCGCCGGCTCACAAAGCACAGATTACCACAACTATGCATTCTGGGATAACCCCATTGTGCAAGGCAGTTTCTCTCAGTCTGGAACAGCACTGAAGGCCCTTCCGTCAGAGGACTATTCACACTCGAACTTCACTTTCGTCGCTAAACATCTTGGTTGTGACTTCCCGCACAATCCCACCGCAGAGCTGGAATGCATGCAGCAAGTCCCTATGACCATGATTGAGAACTTCGTCGGCCAGTACGACGGGGAACCAAGCCTTACCTTCGGGCCCATCGCAGATGATCTCTACATTTTCTCGGATTATCCTGCCCGCGCTGCGGAAGGCAAGATCTCGCCCAGACCGGCCATCTTCTCCGATGCAGCTAACAATGATGCGACGCTTGATACATGGCCGTCTGCCAATGTCACTGTTGGGCCATATCAGCCTACGGTCAATGAGGGCACGCTTAAGGATTGGGTTTGTCCTACTGCCAATACTAGTATTCTGCGTGCAAACGCGAACGTTGCGACATACCGGTATCAGTATGCTGGAAACTGGTCGAACGAGGATCCGTATGCTTGGCTTGGGGCTTATCATTCTTCTGACCTGATGATGAACTTTGGGACTTACTTTTACAACGTTACCAATGCTACTACTGGTCCCTCTGCTCGGGAGATTAAGACGAGTCAGGTCATGCAGGATCATATTTTGGCATTTATGAAAGATCCCGTGAAAGGTCCGCCTGCTATGGGATGGATGCCGTATACTTATGGGAGCAATGTTCTGCGATTTGGAGCGCATGGGGTGCCGGTGCAAAATGTTAGCGGATATGAGATTGATGGGCCATGCTTTGGGAATGGGACTTATAATCCTTTCCCTTGATTTTCATATATAATGAGACGATGAGATGATCTCAATATTGGGAATGACTTGGCTTATTGGATGTCGAGAGTAGCTAAAACTTGAATCTTCTACTATCTTTCGAAAATTTGAACAGCTCAGAAAGAACTTAATGTTGTATTTGGTGCTTCAGTCCTCGGACTTGAATATAAAGACTGGGACAGGTTCAATAAAAAGACAATATGAAACATGCTTCTTCCAAGACGCGCATTTAACGCTTCTTAATGCTGGTATCGATGCTGCCAAGGAACCAAATAGCAACAAAGAAAGCAAGCAGACCGCCGAAAATGGTGAGAGGCTTGCGGAAGGCATCCATAAGGGTGTGGTCATAGGTCACCTAAATGTTGTCAGTATGTCACAAAAAATTTCACGGAGAAAGAACTTACCACCAGCTGCGCGTCACGCGCCTCGTCGGTCAGACTATCAACCTCCAGGGTCAATGTAGTCCGGCCAAGAGTGTCCATGTAAGTCTTGAAAGTGGAAAGGCTGGCATTAACCTGGCTCATACCAGGAAGGCCATTGCTATTGGCGCCCTCAACAGTCTCGAAACGGACGTTGTGGGCACCCTCGGGGAGAACAACGCGGAGAACAACGTGCTCATACTGAACACCCTCGGACATCTTGGGACCCTGCAGGAAGGGAACCTTGAGGACATAGGAGTCCACACCAGTAGCCCTGCGCAAGAATCCAGAAAGGTCGTTGTTCCAGCCCACCTTGAAGCTGTAGTTCCAGCCGCCAAAGATCGGGTAGCGAGGCTTCAACTCCAGGTTGGCGGCGGTCTTGCCGTTGCCGGGGCGGTAGCGGCTAGTCGAGACGTTACCAATGTCATCGATGAAGTACGGATCCACAGAGCCGGGCTGCAGAGGGTAGGTAATTTCACGGACAGCAGAGGATGGCGCCTTCTGGTAGCTAGCGAAGGTCCACTCAACGCGCGAGAACTGGTTGGTCAGCTGCGAGGCGTTGTTGCGTAGCCAGTACCGCTCCTCAGTAGCCAGGTTGCCACCCCAGTGGGAGACCTCCAGATCACGCTCCAGCAGACTAATACTGATCACAGGGTTGGTGAACTGGTAGCGCACAGTGATAGGCTGCTCAGTGCCCGGAGCCACCTTGGCCGTCTCGTATGGTCCATAGGTATAGGTGGCGCCCTTGCGCTCCGGATCAGCACCAGACTTGAGTCCAGAGGTCTCGGTGTAGTCGGGCACGTCAGTGCTTGGGAACTTGAGCTTGGTCTTCTGGGTGACGGTCTGGTAGGCAGAAGGCACGTAGGCGGAGAAAGAGTAGGTAAGGTACTGCTTGTCGCTTTGTCCAATAGTCGCAGGACGTGGGCTCAGCGCGGAAAGGACGGAGTAGGAGATTCCAAGGGTGATCTGAGCTTTCGGGGCGAGAGGCTCAGCGAGATGAACAACGAAGTACTGGTTACCACTATTGTATTGAGATGTTGATTAGTATTGTTTTATTTGTTTCTTCGAAAGCCATTGGCATCCACAGTTGCAACCTACGTAGAGACAACAGGCTCAGTAACCTCCACCTCGAAGCGACCATTCTCAGTTGCCTTCTTATCCCGAACTTCGAAGCCTCCAACGCGGCCAAAAACATCCGAAGGGAAGGGAATATAGTAGTCGCTCTGCGGCTGCTTGTCGACATTCTCTACCACAACATTGATAGTCTCCCGGACGTATCCTTTTTCCAAATTGGTGTTCCGAACCAAATTCACGTTCTTGAAGACCTGCGGGGGCTTGAAGTCGGCCGGGACAGCGAGTTGAGTTGGAGCTGTAAAGCTCGAGGCGGCAGCCAGGCTGGGCACAAGCAGCCCAAGCACTGTGGCGGTGAAAAACCTCATCCTGAGTATTTCACGGAGCACACAATGTCTCCGAATTGAAATGGGGTATCAAAATTGACGAGGTTGATGTGGAGAGGTGGTTGGACGAAGCTGATGAGGTGTCCCGATCTGTATACGCAATACGGCGGGCGCAGCGGCCAGGGAGCGCACTCCGCTTTCTTATCAGTGATAACAGCTTCTCCTCTTTTTACTTCCATCACTTGGCGTTCTACATTCCTCTCTGTACGCCGCAATGTTTGCTTCGAGAGCTTCAGTCTTGTCAAGGTGCTGTAGGGGAATGAGGGCACCTCGGAGTCGCTATTTTCATGACCTGCCTAGCTCTTCTCAGAGCAAATTTCTGAAGGTATCAGAAGAGGTTCGCGATGCTGTTGCAACGGGCAAGCCGGTTGTCGCGTTAGAAACGACCATTTATACTCATGGTGAGTGCTGTTGCATCTTAGTTTTGGAGATTCATAGTCCGTTCGGTGAGCAGATAGCTTAAATTTCGCCAGGCTTCCCGTATCCGGACAACATCGCTTTGGCATCGCTGTTAGAGTCTGTCGTTCGAGCCAACGGTGGAGTTCCAGCAACTATAGGTGTGCTCGGAGGTATCGCCCGTGTTGGCATGAGTGCAGAAGAAATCATGGAACTTGCCTCTACAGCCGAGAAGAAGACTGCATTGAAGGTCTCCAGGAGAGACCTGGGCTACATCTGTGGCATGGTTGGTTATCCCGCAACTCATGCATAGGAACGTACTAAACCCGTTTCAGGGCCTTGCAGGAAAGCCAATTCATGGTGGTACCACAATCTCCGGCACCATGATTCTATCCCAGCTTGCTGGTATCAAGATCTTTGGAACAGGCGGACTAGGTAAGTTTGACCTAGCAATTCTGTCTGAATACCCAGTCTAATTAATCTCTAGGTGGTGTTCACCGTGGCGGTGAATATTCCATGGACATTTCTGGTAGGTTACACATCCCCCGCAAGCACGGGGACTGTGCAGCAACTGACTGATCTCTTCCTAAAACAGCTGACCTGACTGAGCTGGGACGGACCCCAGTAACGGTCATCAGTTCTGGGTGTAAGAGCTTTTTGGATATTCCCCGCACACTTGAGTATCTCGAGACTGAGGGTGTCTGTGTGGGTACCTTTGCCGATGGACGTGAGGGCTCCGTCGATTTCCCGGCTTTCTTCACTCGGGACAGCGGATTCCGCAGCCCACGCGTTATCCAGAATGAAGCTGAAGCTGCTGCGATAGTTTGTAAGTTTTAGTCATGGCTGGAGACTTTGGCTACTAACAAAGTTTACAGACGCGCAATCCAAGCTTCCCGTCACCTCTGGAATTCACTTTGCCAACCCCGTTCCATTAGAGGCCTCTGTTCCCAAGCCCGAGATGGATGCAATAATTGAAGAAGCTGTTCGCCTTGCAGATGTGGAGGGCTATCATGGTAGTGATAACACTCCATTTGTTCTCGCGAAGATTAAAGAATTGAGCGGCGGGAAGAGTGTGATTGCTAACCGTGCTCTTATTGAATCCAATGTCGAACGTGCGACTCGTGTTGCCGTGGAACTAGCTAAACTTGAGGAACTTGACCGCGGAGGCGCAGCTCAGTGAGTTAAGCTCTAGATACAAATACATATCAGCGCTAAGTCCGGACATTTGCTTCTACATAGACACATGCCTGCATTCCCGAATTTTTCTCGGTCAGATCAATATCCTCCCACGCAGCCTAATCCTGAGCCCGTCCCAGAATCTCCTAAGGAGCCTAAGGAGGTCTTTTCTGAGGCAGAAAATGCAGATGTTGTGGTTGCTGGCTCCCTTGCTATCGATCTGTCCTGTGACTACACGCCATTCAGTGATGAAAGCGTCCAGGTGACGCCTGTACCACACACTTCCAACCCCGCTGTCATCGGGCAGAGCCTCGGAGGTGTCGGCCATAATGTCGCACTCGCAGCCAGCTATGTCGGGAGTGATGTACTCTTCTGCAGCGTTGTAGCAGACGACCTCAGCGGTCGAGCAGCACTCGCATCACTCGAGACTGAAGGTCTTAGCACTGCAGGTATTCAAGTTCTTCCACCAACATCTGGTACTCGCACGGCGCAGTACATTGCCATCAACGACGCCAAAAAAGATCTCCTCGTTGCAATGGCCGACATGGGCATCGTAGAGCTACCGGAGAAGCAGCTCGACTTCGATGGCTTCTGGGAGCCTTTACTTCAGAAAACGAAACCGAAGTGGGTCGTTGTCGACGCGAATTGGCGCCCAGAGGTCCTAGCTAAATGGACTACTCTTGCCAAAAGTCACGGTGCTCGCGTCGCTTTTGAGCCTGTCTCTACCGCTAAATCTCGTCGCCTCTTTGCCCATGATGGCGTCAGCCCGGTCATCGGACCTGCACAAACCGTCCCCAACCACGCTATTAGCCTTGCCTGTCCCAATCGTCTCGAGTTAGCTGCTATGTACACAGCTGCCCGTGAAGCCCTGGTATTCGATTCTCCGGGTTGGTGGGGCGTTATTGATGCCATGGGCATGTCGCAGAGCGGATCCCGAGAACGGCTAGTCTACCTCACCTCAGCCGCCCTTGTCGATGAAGGTCTTCCCCAGCAATCAATCCAACTCCTTCCATTTATCCCCTGTATTGTCACAAAGCTGGGCGAGGCTGGTGCACTTTTGACGCAGCTTTTGCCTCCTGGTGATTCTCGTCTTACGGACCCTGATTATGCGCCGTATATCATTGCCCGCGCATCAGCATCTCCGGATGTCTCCTTCGGTGGAGTGTATATGCGTCTTTTCCCACCAGCTGCTAAAATATCCCCTGAGAATGTTGTTAGCGTCAACGGCGCCGGGGATACCTTGTTAGGTGTTTTGGTGGCTGGTTTGGCAAAGAAGGATTCCGCTATGCGTATCGAGGATATCCTGTCGGTGGCACAGGAGGCTAGTCGGCGAACCCTTGCAAATGCTGGGGGTGTAAGTAAAGAACTAGTGGGCTTGCGGGGCTCCCTGGGATTATGATATCCTTAAGATTCGGTGCATCCGTCATTTGCATAGGTACATAGCGCTTGTTGATATTAAAACATCTAATCAATGCATGGAAGGGTAAATATCTGATATTTTTTTCTCACTCTTTATCTACATCCATATTATTACAAGGTTGATAAAGAGCATATCAACCTATCACATCCATCTTCGGCACAAGTCCGGAATCCAAAACCCCAGCCTGTACAAGTACATCTGCCTGATCCCAATACAGACTCTGTCTCACAATACGATCCGCACGAAAACAAGCCACAACAACGATGTTCACAGAGATATCGCGATCCGTCGGCTGAACACCCGGTAACAGCCAAGGTACCTCAGCAGTATGGCAAAACGAAAAGCGGACCTCGTCCACAATTTTATCCGTGCCTACTGTTCTTGACAGAAGACGGATATGCTGACTAGGGGGTCCAGCGGGGATGAATACATCTTTGAAAAAGGACTGGAGGGTCTGATAATCGGAGCCTAGTAACATATCAGCAATAGAACAAGCATATATCAATATGACAGGAACTTCAAGATTCACCTCCTGCTTTAGTTGGAATGCACTCCACAGATAACCCCTCTTCGTCTTGATCCTCACCCCGTCCCCCCATAATCTCAATAGCAGACCTCGAGGTATCAATATTACCTTGCGCTCTGGACTGGTCCAGCTCGGCAAGTAGTCGCTGCCAATACTCTTCCCAGATCGTCTCAATGCCAGCAACAGGCCAGTTACTTCCAACTCCAAATGCGCGTGTTAAACAACCTAGTACCCTGCTCCAGGACAGATTCAAACTGACGTCGTCACTTGGTATATCTTCTTTCTCTCGCTGGATCTGATGTCTGTATTCCGCAAACCCGGCTTGTGAATCTGGGTACGTAAATACATGACACCGATGTCGCTTTTTGTACGTAACATCTCCCTCAGAAGATAATGTTATCCAGGGCCAGAATGTGCATTTGCTTTCCATTTCGCCTGGCATATGGATTTGAATTGGCAGGAAGTTTGCTGATGAGCCTGGTTGGAATATTGATTCGGTTTCTGAGCAAGCTGGAGTACCGCATAGGCTTTGAATATCCATGCTGGATTTATGAATGTATGTTGATGAAAGGGGGTAGTATGCTATTAGAGCACATAGTCGTGGGAAAGGGTTTGTATTGCTTGAGATGAGATGGTGGGATACTAGGAGGTAGTATGCTGGTCGATTATATGCTGTTATTATAGTTAGCTTGGACTTTTATAGTTAGATCATTGGTCTCAACGTTTATTCTATCATCTATAAATGGGCGGTTGCATTCCAACGTCTCTAGCCTTGGATATTTGAAGTGTAACTTACCAATTATAGCATACCTCTCCCCATGCTCCAAGTCATCTTCCCTCATTTGCACTTTATTTTCCAGTGCCTTGCGGTCTTTCTCAGCATCGCCAGTGCACATAAAAGGCATATATTCCACGTCGAAGGCCTCAGCCCGAAACTGCCGAATAATCTCCGGATCAAATTCCGGTGAATCAGATATCAAGATTAGAAGCCGTGGTATTGGGTCTTCTGCTTCATAGTCATGTCGACGAGCGCGCTTCACTGAAGCAGCACTGTCTTTTCTATGCAAGACATGGGAGTTAGATGAAATATTCGAATCTTGGCCTGCGCCGGTTGTTCCGCTCTCGGTGTTGGAGCCTGTCGCTCGTCTAGTGAGGCGCTGAAAGATGTTCACCATTATGGTAGTTGATCTAGAATGTAACGAACTTATGAGGACTACCTGGTGTGTCAAAAGGTGAAAATCAGATTCTTTGGGACCAGGGGTACATATTACATTGCGTTGTCAGTGCTTAGGGTTGTGACGTCGACGAGTACCGATAAGGTCCGGGTAGAGTTGCTCCGAATGCCCACCTGTATGATTACCAACAGCTTTGAGAATCCTTAACATAGGCACATCTATTTCATAAGTTCTATCAAATAATCCGGCATCTATATGCTGCTTTTCAAGGGGAAGCTTGATAACCACTTCCGATCTTCGGCAGCCTTCTCCGACGCGTGCCCGTCATCAACGAGGTACCGCTTGTACGCATCCCGCATAAGACTCTGTCGCGCAACTTCGCAGTCGATACGAATATCCTCGATCAGTGCATCCACCGAGACGTAATCGAATTCTGGCCGGATATATCCCAAAATGAGCAGGTTGAGGTGCGTATTGTAGAAATCGGGGAGACGGTTGAATTTGGGCTGCGGAACGGCTGTTGGAGATGGCTCGGTGAGAGAGGGTAAGATATGAATTTCCTGGGTTACAGTGTAAGCTATGTTCAAAACCGAAGTTTTATCGATGGGGAAAGGGTCAAGGCGAATGAGCTACTTACCACCGACCGCACGGTATTCTTATAGTAAGGATTGTACCCAATGCTCAGAACTGCCGGCTGCACAATAGCCTCTCTGGCTTTCTCCGTATCTCCAGTTAATCCATGTTCGTGTGCAAAGTCCTTGGGGTCAAGTGCTACGACTCCGTAGTAGACGCCTGTTGTCAGTTCTGGGTGTGTCTTGGATAAGTCGTCGGCGGGGATGTTGGCGGTTGGGATTCCAAGCTGCAGACTAAAGCTTAGTACACTTCTACATGGTTGAATGCAAGGAGTCCACGCAATGGAAGCTTGGTTCGGCATACATCTTTGCTACCTCGGCCAAAGCCTTTGATCACAGGCCCGGACAGTCGAATGGGGAACGGGGCGTCAGGGCCGGCATCAGGGCCAGCAACAGGATCGCGGGGCTTATCGGGTCTCATTGTGAACAAATTGGAGGAGAAATCAAATCCTCTACAGGATTTTCTGGCGATCGAGTGCGGTGATCAAGATTGTGCGACGTGGAGTCGGTGCGCGGGGCTGCGTAACTCCAGATAGCGTAGTTGGTAAATGGAGTTGGTAGAAATTGCGATGACAAGAATTTGACCAATCAATCAAATAGATAGTTGAGTGACGAAGCTTTCCAGGTATTAGTGAAGTGTAGTAGGAACCGACAATGACAAGGGAATGTCAGATAGAAGCTATTGGAAGCGGAAGAGCGGATTGATGGTGGGGCTACCGATAAGCAAAATCCCACACCTGAGGCATCTCTACCAAATGCATATGCAACTCAAATCCACTATAGTTAAACTGATATCCAAGTGATCGACATCTATACGGAAAGAAGGTTGCTTACATTGAAATATATGAACGCATTGACAGTCAAAGGATAAATGGCATTAATCTCGTAAAAACACAATCCCAGCCCAAGATATCATTTTTAGCCTTTTGAGCGCCAGAAACACAAAAAGAAGCATCCAGCGGCTCATGCTGGGCCATGAACCGCTGGGCCTGAAACACCATATGTATGTACGAGTAAGAACAAACACAGAATGGGGGGGAATCATACAGTCCCACAAGAAACCAAAATATGTACCGGAAGTCCAGATCAAAGAGACAAAAGACTAGGTTCGTCCTAGTCGAGGGTATGAAGAGAATAACAAGAACGGCCGGAAAGCGCAGTACAAGAAAAATGACAAACTATCATCCCCAAGGAAAGGACGGGAAAATTCAAATCAGGTAAAGTGGAAGAAATCAAATGCAGGGCAAGAACTATATGCATGATTAGTTCAGAGAGTCTCTTGGTGAAAAATCTTGGGATACTCACATTCATCACGATAAGCATCGGAATGTCGAACACATCGCGCTTAACTGTCCAGCAGTACGCGCACTCGACCTTGCCGTCCTTGAAGCCCAGCTGGTTCATCCCAGCCTCGCCGGCAATGCCACCTTTGCGTAGGTGGTTGTTCCATTTTCCATTGTCGTCCTGTCCCACCTCCATGTCTTCCTTGGTTTTGTACTTGAGGAGCTTGCAGCGGGTCATTACGCTACCGCGAGAATCACCAAATGCTAGACGTGCAAAATCTTCGTAGAATTCCACGACACTATCATCGTCAAGAAGTTCAGCCAGAAATACTGGTTGCGGCCGGCCGTTGGTGTTCTCTAGGGTCGAGCCTCGGGGTGTGAAGCTGCCCCGTGAGCTAGTGCCGGATGCCGGTTGGGATGTACCACCGGTGTTGACATTGAGATTGGCCTCTTTGCCTAACAATACATCCTTCTTCCATCCCGTCAGAATGCTAAACTCTTTTCCCACGGCGGCAATCTCTCCTGTGCGTCGACAGACAATTGTTGGTGTGCCGCAGGCGTTGATGAAGTCCTCATATTCCCAAAGCGTTCGTTGGAAGCATTTTTCCATGAAAATCAAATCATCCCGATTGAGAGTCTTGGTGGTAGCGATAAAAGACGGTCGAATAGATGCCAAAGACTTAGCGATACGCACAGTCTTCTGCGGTGAGAAACGACGCTGGATAAAGGCAGTGAGGTTGTGGAAACCACTCGTGTAACCGTATGGTTCCTTAACACTTTCATATATTGAGGAAGGATTCCGATGACGTCGCTTGGGCCCGACATGTAATTGTTGGTGCTTTAAGCTAGGCGTGGTAATCACCGGTCGTTGTCCATTAGGTGCAAGACTGTTGGACTTGGCGGTGTTGAAGGATCCATCGTCAAAACCAGAGGTAGCCACATGTGGACTACTCGCCGATCCGGGGCTGGTGAAGTTGGCGGGACCGCTTTCAATAGCAAAGGCATGTGGTCCGTCTGCTTTCATGTGTCCCGGGAGCATGCCATTCTGGCCATATACGCCGCTGACGTTCACATGCGGCTGGCCCGAGGCCTGTCCAGTTGACCACTCGTTCAGCAGGGGATCACCAAACATGAATGGTTGATTCCCTGGACTTTCGCCGAACCCAGGAGCTGGCGTGGAGAACTGCGCCGATCCGCTGCGGCCTATCGACCCTCGCTGCGTGCCCGAGTCGGTAGGCGAATCTCCGGCACCGGTCGCCATATGCCCTAACATCCCAAACTCAAGAGCACCATAGCGGTTTTCAAAATTCATGCTGGACAAATCAAAGTTGAAAAGTGCGGGGTCACTGGGGTCGAAAAATGGCCCCGCGAACGGATTTGGCGGTTGGGAGGTGTCCCCGGAGAGGGCGGTGCTGGGGGTAGGCTGTTGGTTCACCGTGGACGATAAGCTGGGGTTGCGACCATTCTGACTGGTCTTTAGGTTGTACGTAGGTGAAACAGGTGATTGGGTGGTAAAAGGACTTTGACTCATGGCTGTTTCTTGGTACATGTTATAGGACCCCTGCGGCTGGGGTTGTGGCTGAGGCGTGGGGTAGAAGTTGTTGTTCGCTTGCTGCTGCGGGGGTTGCTGGGGTTGCTGCTGCTGCGGCTGAGGCTGCTGCGAAGTGCTCGAATTGGTGCCATTCCTAGACATGGGCAAGCTGTTTCGCATGGGAGTGTTGGTAGGATAGAAATTCCCGGGCACTCCGGGCATCAGTGCTCCGTCCGGAGCATCATGAAGATACTTGGCCTTTTTACGGACCCCGTCATGACAAGCATCTTGTAGACCCCGCTTAATACAGCGTTGACATGGTCGCTCATCGCCTGATAATCGGGGATGTTAGCCAAGGAATTATTTCGTGCAAGTGTCTGTCGATCATCATGCTTACCGCACGTCAAATGAGCTCGCTGACAGGCAAAGCAAGCTCGGCGAGCCTTCTTCCGTCGCGGTCGCGATGGGTCTTTAGCATTCGCAGCTTTGCGGTTCTCCGCCTTCATATCGCCATTGCTCTTTTCTCTTCCGGAGTCCAGTGGCTCCGAATGTTCAGTGATGTCGGCGGAATCGCGATCGCCGTCCATGGGGACCGGGGTGCCGTTCTTGGCTTGCACGTTCATTTCGTCATATACCCCAGCACGGGGAAGTACAAGAGTGACACAGACGCGCTCCCAGGGCTTTAAACTATGCCCGGTCTGCTATCCGAAGAGCTATATCAGCGCCTTTCGTTCTTCGATCGCACGATCTCGATGCTGTGGCGACGGGACCATCCGCGCACTTGGATCGTCTCGGCAAATGGAGAGATGGAGACCGGGGGGATCCACGTGCTCGCGCAATTCTGGACCGAGCAAAAATATACGGTCGCAAATTGACAGCACTGTGTGTCGCGCCCCTACTATCCACCCAGGTTGTCACTGGAGCTTGCGGCGGTATTCGGCGTCTATAGTCGCGAGCGCGCGACCAGTTCTGGCGGGGGAACGGAAGGCAGGTATCGGGTTGAGTCACGGGTGTAACGAGGCACAATCGACTCGGAGTAAGACGTGACCGCAAAGATCTGACACATTGAAGGGTCGTGTAATTGTAAGCTTGTTCAGGAGTCCACGCGACGAGGAGAGAAAAATGCCGCAACGGTTTCGGACGCAGATGAATTCGGGAGTGGAGAGAATGAGCGGCAGACTCGTCGGCTGCGGGGAAGCGGGAATGTATTCGGTCCGCACGAGGCAGTAGAGGTCTCAAGGTAGACAACTTCAAAGCTGTCGGAAAAATCCAAGAAGATAACGAAAGCCTGTCAGCTTCTGCGCGGGGAAAAAAGATGAAGAAGGTGGAGGGTCTGAGAATGGTAACTAACTTCGGAATGTTCCCGTGACTTTGAGGTCTAAGCATCAACAGGCAGGACTTCAACTGGACCGATTGCTGCAAGAACCAAGACTCGTGTATAGGAACTAGGATACCTCTTCAATCTTTTTCAAATCACTCTTTTTGTATTCATCTTCTTATAATACTCTAACAACATGAACATTCTATGGAGATGCATCTTCAACGCGTAAGGCTACCAAAGTGGATATAGTTCGAGGTTTCGTAACACGCCCGTTTTTTCCCTTGTTTTACATAATTGCAAACGAATGAATATGGGATTTGATTCTCGTATAAGTCAGAATTACGAGTCGACTAATAGCAACATCACATTCTGTATTCTATTGTACTGGTTGAAATGAAATCTGTGTACACCGCGTATCATCACTTTTTTAATTCACATGCTGACGTTTGAGGCGTCAACGACTGGAGCGCGGCATTTGCAAAGTGGTACATCAGTTCCCATTTTTTTTACTAGTGAATTCTTACCCGGATTGGCTGCACCGGCAGATCGTACATCCCCACGACTGGGGCAGTTGTGCACGTGTGGAAAAATTATCTTGCTACACATCAAGAAATACCTTATTGTACTTGAAAAAGGGGTTGAAAGAATGGAAAAAAAGCCTCAATCTCTTCATGCCCCCGCTTATAACCTTGTATTGTCCTAGGGTTCCGAATTTCTCCCTCGAACAAATCCCGCTTTGTCCCGAGGCTATGTGTTAGGGAGTGCCTCGGTTAGAGGGATTAAGTTAGGCCCCAATTCGGTTCCTAAGTTCCAAGGTATCTCGTTCAATTGCCGTAAAGGGAAAATAGTACTAGAAATTCAATTCAAGTCCACAGAATGCTCGTGATCTTTGCAACTGGCCTAGAGCGGGAAGGGATGTCGGAGAATTGGACTTTGGCCCAAACCCACCCCAGGACAAGGGAATTGTGGGCCTTCTTGGCTTTGATCTAATCGCACCAAAACCTAAACAGTAAGACTAAGCCCGGATCAAGAGCCGAAGCCGAGAGTATATACAGTAGTTTTCAAAATCAAGCTATACGGTCACACTCCTACTACTCAATTCCAATTAGTCCAAAGACCGCTAATCCAGTTTAACTCACCGCTTTACAATTCAGGCAGAACCTTTTTCGAGATGTTTGTATCATGATTGAGCCATCGTTATAGTAGGTACCGTAACAATACATGAAACTCCAGAGAACCTGTCAGCTTCTCCGCTTCCCTGTCCGTTCAATCACGAAGTAAACATTGTTGGAATGCTTTACGCCAATCATTCATACCCAATTATCGCCCTCGTCACAATGCATAAGCCACAATGCCTTAGCTATGAAGATATGTAAGAGAATGAGCAACAATATTGAGTAGCTTCTTTATCTAGCCCCGCCAATGGAAAGCAGCACATCTTCAAGAGTATCGTGCGGGTCTGGAATATAATCAGGCATGTTGATTTCATCCCCAAAAAGGCCGAAGGAGGGCTGCATAGGGAGGTCAAAGTCTTCTGTAGTGCCTTGCTCAGGGAATTGAGCGCCAACGCTGGCGCTACGATCGTAGTCAAACTCTGGTGCCCCAAAGAATTGCGAATACGAGACTTTGTCCTTAGATCGGCGTTGCTGATGAGAAAGATCGGTTGGTACTGCCGAATATTGCACATTCGATCTGGTGTTCATGGGAGCAAACTCGTCAAGATCAAAGCCAGTGGGCGCGATACGACGAATGCAGTTGCTGCAGATTTCAAAAGCTCGGCGTGCAGAGGCTTCTGTTTTTCCAAGGCAGTATAGCCACTGCAGCGCTTTCCGGGCTGCGGTAAGAACAGCTTCGTGATTGACAGAATCCGACGCACCAGGCAATTGGCTAGCGCTTGAGCCACTGGTGGTATCATGGCCACCCAGTTTTCTGGACGCCAAGTCTTCAAATGAAAGGTTTATGAGCAGAATTGTGGTGGCTTGTACCAGAAAATGCAGAACGTTCCACCACAGGACGTGACAGACCCAAATCGAATCTGGCTGATCAGGAAAAATGGAGAGAATCGCTAGAGCCGAATGCAGGCAAGTCATCGCGCTCTCTTCCTTTGCCCAAGACCGATAAGAATTACTGATGCCGTCCCCAGCTGTCCTCGCTCGGGCGAGACAAGGTCTGTTGAGGATAATTCGAGAACTGTAGTAATGCAGAGAGAGAGAGATCTTATAGGCATTGACTTTAGACAAACTCTGTCCAGCATCAACTATCTTGAAATTGATGCTGTCAGGTAAACTAGAGCTCCACTCGTCCATTGTCTTATTGAAGAAATTAAGACGGCTTTGTATTGAATCCCATCCTTGCTTAACAGCATCGGTGCTATACACTCGCGTCGAAGCAGTGTGCGAGATTAGGACGATGTCCGTCAAACAAAAGAAGTAAAGCTCATCATTAGCATCCATGCATTTCATTGACGCTCGTTGTGCCTCAAGCTGCTCGTGTGACTGGTTAATTGTCCACTTCATGGGTGGGTTCTCGGTTGGCCGTTCTAGACGGACTTCTGGTGCGTTATCAGTAAAAATTTCCACGTCTCCTGCAACAAGAGGCGGGGGTGCAGAACAGAAGCTGTTTCCCAAGCCAGACGCCCGTCCAGTCATAACCGAGAGGAGGCTTTCCAGAATGAAAATCGACCACCAAAGCTTATGCCGGGCTTCCAGAGCTGAAGCGCTCAATTTATTATGCGTAGCTCTGAGATGTAGACCTAAAGCAATGGCGGAACGAGTAGCCGTGCCAATCATCTTCCAAGCCCTGTAGAAGGTCAGATAGTCATGTCGAAGGGATTGCCTGCTTCTACAACGTACCTGTTGATTTGTGAGGAAGTCAATAAAAAGAATGCCGCGAGCGTTTCCGCCTGCACTTGCTGTAGATCTTCATGGTCCTCCACTAGGCTTTCTGATATTATCAATTTTTGTGCACGGGCGAAAAATCTGTTCTCCCTGTTATGGGTATCTTGGCCGGCCATCTGACACAATTTGCTACTAATAGCGAAAATCAGGTTCAGCAGGGCCAGCCACTTTCTTCCAGGTTGTATCGAATTCCCGGAGTATAACGAATTGAACTGGTCTAGGAAGAGTGTCTGGCGAATGACGGGTAATGACGGTTGGACACTGTCTATGTATAGACTTAATAAGCGTTCGGCCAATGCTTTCGCTGGTAGGGTGTATGGATTTTCGTCTTCCAAATCGCTGCCGGGATATTTGGCAGATTCGATATGATAGTCCATAGAGGCAAATGAATCATCGATCGGTGGCAGTTGATTCTGAATGTCCTTGGAGGCTCCTTCCTTGCCTCGGTCAACTCCGGCTTTCAGTGCCAGACTTTGCATCCAAGCAACTTCGGAACTCTTTCCATGATAGCCCGTAGCTATGCTCGCTTTACTCCGGTTGATGTCTTCATCGAGTGTATCCAAAGCGTTCAGGGAGCCGATGGAAGATGTTGAAGATGTATTAGAAGCACTGCTTACTTCTCCTTGTGTCTCCTGGTCTCGGGGCGCAAGCCGCTAGACGGTAGTTAGCTTAAGGATGCCTAGGCATCAATCCAAACAAACCAAAGCTTTCGTAATTTTCCTCGCGACAGATATATCGACTTCGTGAGATATTTCTCGAAGTAATTCCTCATAACGTTCTACTTCGCTGTTTGCCGACTCCAACTGTGTCCGCTCCTTATCTTGCTTCGTCTGTGAATAATAGCATTCGTCAACTCCTGTGCTTACGCACTGAGTGCATCTCGGCCTTTCTCCGTCGCATTTTGTTTTGCGCAACCGACATTGGTCGCAAGCACGAGCGGTGCGACGCGCTGGCAAACTCTTTTGCCGATACGGCAAACGCGGGATTGGGATAGGGTTAAGCATTGCGTTGCTGCCCATAGCACAGTGGATTCCGTGTTGACAGGTAAAGCCTGTTTTCAATAGACGGGAAGCACTTAATTAGCGGACTGACCTGCATTGATTAAGGAGGCGATAATTTCAGCATTGTATGACAGGCGGCACTTACCCCCTCATTTATAATTTAGCGGCTAACCAGGGTTGGGCAGGATCATCGTCTACGAACCGATCTACAGGGAGCCAGATATGACGTAGACCCCCCGGGGCATTGCTACTGCTCAAAATTATAGACAATGTCGAATGTGCGCCTAGTGAAGAAACGCTTCACCAACTTACCTACAAAAAGAAGCGAAGTGGTTGATAAAAGGACCTTATCGGAAGTAGTGGGGGATAGCCTAGTAAGTTTGATACTTCCATGGTCTATCAAATCCCCGCAGCTCGCCCTGCCTTTAGCCGTGGGATCCGATTGAGTGGCGAATGTTATAAATATAAAGTCAATTTACCATCGCAATGCTCGACGTATATCATTCCAGTGCAGTGGTACCAATGGCTACCCCATAACCCATGTTCAATAATCACCGACGGTGCTTCATTATTGTAACTCGTCTTTTATTCCTACCTGTCAAATTCTAGGTTTTGTCAAGGTAGGAATCCTATATTTTCTGTATTTTCGGGTTTTCAAAAGTGTTACATTCGTATCTAGCTTACATTGGACACCCAATGCCGAGATGAATCAAATAGCGCAATATCCACATTGTATCCTTGACCTCATTGGGTCGAGGTCAGGCGAATAGGGCGGCAGATAGACCAATTTCACACCAGCTTCCGCATACATGCCTGCAAGACGGTCTGAATGCTGATATGGAACGTTTTCCATTACGAGGACTTTATTCAATTCTGGCCATCTTCTGCAATGCTAGAGTATCCTCAAACATCCCGTGGTATTCGTAGAGCGGCGGAAGACACGCAAAAAGACAATCAATGCTTGGCATACGTACGCAGTATTTGATATTGCTGGTCGCAATAGATTGCTTCCATTTGTAGTGGAGATTACCAAGCGGCGCCCAATCTGTCCGCCTTCACACAGCCCGTCTATCACATCAGGTTCCACCAACATATACCAAGTATATTGAGATTCCGACAGGTTATGTAGATAATAGTCCCGTAGGTCGGCATTTTGCTTCCTTGCGCGCTGCCTTTGGGTCTTCTAGGACCACTTTTTAACGACAAGAGCTCTTCTTAGGCTGAAAATTGTGACCAAGCTGCAGATTTCATGCTAAAGAAAGATAGTTATTCATCAAGGAAGAGACGGGGCATTTAGAGTAAGTGATCGAAGGATTGGAAGGGCTTCCACCATTTACAAATTATCTCTGAGTTATTCAAGCTCCCAAACTGCCGTAAGTGCCTGCGAATGTTGATCATTGTGAGTCTGCTGCATTCCGCTTCATCGGCCATCCGAGACGTATAGTAAGGACAGGCTACCTGCAATATCGCGAATGAGATGAGGCTGTGCAGCAAGGATCTAGGAAACACGTCATTTGGATCGAGCATGTGTGTCTTTGGCAGTAGGAAAAGACGCAATAGTGGCTGATGAGCAACGAAAGGGGGGCCACGGAGGTGACAAGTCTTTGGCAGGTTCCTGTTATTTACATTATATACCGTTCTAGCCTTGTATTGTAATATAGGATACTTTCTCAGGAAGCGGTCTGGTAGGCGGCCCGACCATCTATCTTCTATTTGGGACTAGCGCGAATCCTAAAATTGCTCGTATGAAGAATGCAGAGGTATGACTGATTTCAGGGAATACTTTGCCTCTAAATCCGGAAGATGAGTAGGGTCCCCACATCGCAAGGGAAGCCGTCTACGCTTTCTAATGTTATCTCCATTGTAAATCCAGCTGTGGGTAGGACAGCAGCTGGACTATTAGGCTTTGATTTTGAGGACCAACCGAATAGGATCCCTATAGTGTGAGGGGATCAATGTCCAGTGCAAAATTCGTTGTCACAGGATCACAAAGTAGACATGGGATGTTGGGGAGAGCGTTGAGCTGCAACGCTACCTAAGGGAATTATGCAGGCGTCCCTTTCAGACTGCGCAGTTGGGAGCAAAACCGTCTTGAATTAAAATAATGTACGGCATGTATGCTCAGAGCATCTCCGTACATGCAGCAATAAACTGATCTCATCAGGGAATAATATCACGTTTGCTGGGTGGCATAACGACTCTTCTTCCGAATACGACTTCCATATTGAAAGAAAAGGTACCTATATAGACATCAGTAACAGCCTTCAACGGTCATGCGAGGTGAGACTTCGGTTAGCCAACATCCGTGGCTGCATGCAGCTGGAATATCAAACCAACCCTAGACTCACTTTTCGTGGGCTTTTGATACAGGGAAAGCAAATGTGTGATGGCCATAGCGCAGGGAACCAAGCTGAAGGAAACAGGAGTAACAAATCAAACTTACGGAAAGGGAAGCATGACAAGGGTCAGAAAGGCCAGCAGTGAAGTCGCCCAGTGATACCCAAGATTGTTATACACTGTATAGCCGTTAGCTAGAGTTCACAGTATCATTGCTGTTTTGACGGGACACAAGATGGATACTGGCCTGTCTCACAAGGACGTCGAGATCGGCGCTGGACACACGATGCATGTCTTGCATTGCCGCATGTAGAGCACAGGCCTTCAACTCTGGGCATGAATTCAATAAATTGGAGGTCAACTTACTCTGGATACCAAACAGGGGAAATATTCCTCCAAAGCTCGAGCGCATAAAGCTATTCGCTGCTAAAGCACTGGCGGCAAAAGTGGGATAGGCATCAACCAGAAATGTGAAGATGCCCGCGTAGACCAGGATAACCCTAGTAGCACAGCCCGTCAGCACCATGTTCCAAGTCCTGGAACTGTCTCAAGATTATGGCAGGTCAACTTACCCTGCTCCGAACACAGCACTGCCGATGATAGGAGCGATCCAGTGCACGTCAGGATAGATTGTCCAGGCAAATATGAAAAGCCCGATGGTGACCAAAGGCCCACCGAGAATTGCTAGACAACCATATTAGCACTTGTCAAGTTTCCAAGGTCGCGGCTCTCACCTGGAGGAAGTCGCCATTCTGGCAGAAATTCATCGGACTGGTCTTTCTTTTTCAGGAAGTTCCGTTCCAGTCGCTCATAGTTGCGGCGCCAGAGCGGATCTGAAAGGATCGCAAAAACCATACCCACAAAGAGACCCAAGAAGCACAGACCCCGTTGCCAAAGCGGAAACCCATAGACATGTTCGAAGATCAGTTGAAAGGCGCCGAAAAAGAGGTAAAGAATTCCTAGGAGGATGGCTGAAAAAATACAAAGGCTCAAGCACATCGGCTCTAGTGCCAAAAGGAGAATGGGGCGATACATAGATCGCAAGACTGTTTGCGCTACAGAGCGATGTAGCTTCTCAATCGGAGCGATGTATCGGTCGTCTCCGGTTTCTTTGCGAAGTTTCTGAGCCTTGCGTCTTAGAAGCCTAGAACAAAGGTCAGAGGGTAGATTTCTTCGTCAAGAGCAATCTTGGAGACATACACTGGGTGATAAGTTTCCGGTACAAGGAAAATCATCGAAACAAGCAGCACGCCTGTCCAGATCAACAACACATAAAATGTCCAACGCCTGCCGGTGAAATTAGGTTGACTGTTTGACAGAATTCAATTAGGCACGTACCAGTTGGTGAACTCGTTAATGAAGCCACCGACCCTATTATGTGTCGCTGTCAGATAATGTTGCAAGCAGACATATTGATGAACTCACAAAGGTCCGACCTCGGGCCCAATGAATGGACTAGCAGTGTAAAGCATCATGGGAAATGCAAGTTCCTGTCGATTGAACATGTCGCCCACCGTGCCACCGGCAACACTGAGAAAAGCGCTTCCTGCTAGGCCATTGAAAAACCGGCAGACCAGCATAGTTTCGATATTCTTCGCCACGGCACATGGAATAAGCCAAATCAGAAACAGTGAGAATGAGGTAATGTAGATATTCCTTCGACCATAGAACTAGACATCGTTAGCTTTCTTGCTTACTGATAGGACAAGTCGGTCTCACTTCGGACAGTGGACTGAGAAAAAGCGGACCGATTCCTGGGATAAAACAATCAGCAATGAACCCCAAATGTTATGATATAAGACAACAAACCAAGGCCCCAGATAAAGAAGGACAGTCCGAGTGTTGCCACTTCCTGGGAGCAGTTGAACTCTTTCATCAACTGATCATATGTCGTTGTGTACATCGAGGATGTGCACGTCCTGCACGGGTCAGTCTACACTATTAAACCCCAAGTGATCCAAGGCGTACTCACACGCAAAGAGAACCAGTCGAAACAATGATGACGATCATCCAGCGTCTCGCCTTGCTCATGTTCCGCGGGTTCATGGGGTCATTCTCCTCCCAGCGTACAGTAAACCCCTGATCACTATCTGCATCTTGTCCCGCTTCATTGGCCTCACCTTCAGATTCGTCGCGGCCAATACTCACACCATCATTCAAAGACCAGCTTCGATCCAGGGAATGCGATCGGGAGCGGGAGCGCCTCGATAGCCGCTTTTCCGCCGCCGCATCATGTGGCTCTTCATTGGTCTTCAGCTGGGCGATCGGCGCGAAACCTATATCTTGAGTTTCGGATCTGATGCGATCAAGTTCTTCGCCGCTTTTCTCACTGCCAGAAGTGTGTTCACCGACCATGGTTGTCCCAATTGCTGCTTCGGCGATATTACGGAATGGCAAATGTGCGCCGCACGAGAATTGGAGTGAACAGAAGAACGGGTAATCGGCAGCCACGAGTGGGTGCCAGCGATTGGAAGGCAGATCAGCACAAGGTGAGTCACGTCCTTGTGATTAAATTGATTGAACTGAGGCTTCCTCAATAATCGGTCTACGTAGAGGCCGAGCTGATTAATCGCATCAGGACCGCGCGGGCCGCAGATTGCATCAGTGTTTAGTCCATTTTTTGGTTAGTGCGGGTCATAACTTAACCAAACCCAATTTTAGTTTGGGGTAACTCGGATCAAACGAGGTTGCATCAGGGACAAGACCATTGTCCTATTGTCCTAATTACATATGTCCCATGACTGAACTTCACCCGGGCATGCTTGTTTCTTTTACGTCGACTACAGAGAAAAAGCAATGAACTTGCATCCATTCTTATTCTCCGACGCAACTCCGATTCGCTAATAGAGATGACGCACAAAACACCATGAACGACGATCTATAGAATCCCTTCATATGCCTTACTAGCACATTTTTATTTACTTCTGCATGAAACATCTCGCTAGATGTTATTTTACGCCATTGTTAATTCTGGACTTACCAATCATTCAGATGAAGAATATTGTTGAGGCACTGGAGATATCTTCAATCCGAGGTGCCAGCTAACTAGCCCTTACTGTAAGCCTCTCGCTGCTTCGTAGCCGTCAACCTCCCAGCCAAGGCAGTGACTTGCGGTAAACATTCGGTAGAAAACTGGGTTGGTATTTCCAAATTAATAATCAATGAGGTCAATTGACCTGTGCATGGGGTTCGTCCAAGGTTTCCTTCGGCGTAGCTTCACGGTCAATGTACTCCCAACATCTGCATGGTCAACAACTACACCTACGCAGGCATAGAGATTGGTGGTTTGCGAGGTCCTATGAATACCTCTTGAGTTGCGATATTCTCATAAGATACTCAAGCCGTATTCTACAGAAGGCCTTAGATATCAAGTTGCACATGGTATGTTCAATTAACTATGTTGCTAACACTACGGTAAACCCGTTCAGCGAAACGCTTCAACAGAAGAAGAAACCAACAGGAAAGACACCATCAAACAGCAATCGCCCAAGCACCGTTCTCCAACCCAAGCCCAAACTCCAGACAAGCATCCAAAAAGGATACGATCTTCAAAATAATTATCGGATCTTCCAGCAACCCATAGACCGTAACTCAGCTGTACATGAATGTAAAAATAAAAGCGCCAGGGTATCCCAAACTTTTCTTCGGTTTCAGTATGGAAGATTTACCCTCTACAGAACCTGGCTCAGCTGGCTGGCAGCACCAGCAGCGTTCTCCTCGGCCCATGAGCCCCACAGCGCCTGCTTGCCACCGATTTTGAGAGGAGCACCAATCGACTTAGAGGACTGGTCGACCTTGACAGCATCCTTGGTGGCTAATACCAAGACTTCGAAGAACATTCTCGTCGCGTCGGCCTTACTAGAGCGCTGCTCGGGAAGCAGATCTTGGAACAAGACATTCTTCTTCTGAGAAGAAGCGTGGTCACCCAGCTGCTCGCGCAGAATGTGAACAGCATGCTTTGTACCAATAGATACAGGCTCGTTGTCCACGGGGCGAATGGTGTCTTCCATTTCATCCAGAGGCGCATCCATCCCTTCATCCTCACTGAGGTGCAGATCCTGGGCTTCATCTCCAGGGAAGTCAATTTCAGACCGCTGGTTGAGAGTTGTATCGAGACCAATGCCCTCGTCAAGGGCAACAATAGCTTCATCGTCACCGAGTTCCAACTCAGGAACATCAGCAGCTGCCACATCCATATCAGAGATACCACTGTCACGCTTTCTCTTCAGCTCGCCAGCCTTCTTCACCGAGTCTAGAGACAACAACCCACGCAGCTCAGGAGCCCACCCACGACCACGATCCTCGCCAAAGATGCTGGATACGAAATCGCCGTTCTGTTGGCGGGTCATAAGTGTGAGAAGAACAGGGTCACGAGGCAGGAAAGAGGCGGGCTTTAGGATGGCAGAGCGATCGGCTTGCTGCTCCTTAACCTGGCTATTAGAGAAATGCGGTTGTATGTCTGCGGGAATGAGATTCTGGACCTTCTGACGCTTGGCACGCTGGGCGTGCTGAGCTGCAGTAACTTCGGGTGTGGCAGAGATGTCACGGTTGTATTCCTCTTCAAGTTGATGCATTTGAACGGATCCTGCGTCAGACAAAGGGCTTTCGGTATCACGGTTGAATCGGTCGCCATTGGCGCGCGGGGTCTGACCCCCAAAGTCATCCTCGCCTCCAAAGTCCATCGGGGCATCCATAATATCATTCATGTGGTCGTCATTATCAATATCCATGTTATCCAACGGAGCACCATCATCGCCAATGTCGAGGGCCAGGTCATCATTGTCAATGAGCTTTCCAGAGTCACTGTGAAGGTCCTCTTCCATAGGTCGAGGTGCAGGTGCATCTCGACCAATTTCCATAGTCGTGTCGTTTCCGAAAGGCTCACCAAAGTCCAGGTCAACCAACGAGGGGTCTTCAAGACGGAGAGGCTCCTGGGACATGGATCGGCGGAAACTGCTATCTCCAAGTAGTTGGCTACCAAAGTCCAATGAGCCAGGCTGTTTGCCTGCAGGCTCCAGGTCTAGGTTCTGGGGGAAAAGAAGAGATGTATCCAGGTTGGTGAACAGATCAGATTCGGTCAGCACATCAGGCAGGGTGATGCCACCTGGTGCCACCACTGTTGTTGTCAAGTCATTGTTGTTTGTGAGTCGGAAAGCCTGTTCCATTTCCGTTTAGCAAACGCGACATATTTGACTGCTGAACTGAGAACATACCATTTTGATCTTCATCAAGGCTTCATTACAATCATCCAAAAGATAGCGCGCTTTACGGCTGTAAATACGCACAACACCAAGCAACAGCTGACCGCTCAGTCGCAAGGCCATGGGCGCTTGGCCCTGATCAACAATTGCATTGACACTGCTTTCAATGTCAGACTGAAGGATGTGCGACTTGGACAGTTTGCGCTCGATGTTGGCGGACAGCCACACGCGGGCCAGCGGGCCCGTTTTGGATAGGAGAGTCTCTGAATAGAACATAGCGGCAATCTATCGTTAAGTAACACTGTACAAGGACAAGTGGGAATCCCAACGATGTGGAGAGATGAAACCCGCCCGGCGCGGGGTGAGGCGTAGCAGGAAGTGACGCGCGTGAAGAGGCCGGGAAAACAAAATACTCAAGCCCGGGCTTTATGACAGATCGCGTTTTCACAAAAAAAGGATGTTGTGGAAGGACGGCAGGTAAAGATACAGATTGAGGAGCACGTCGCGTTAAAAGTCACGTCGTTTGCACCGAGCGCGAGGGACTAGTTGGCTGAGAAACCAAGAGGAACGAGGGATGCGCGTGGGAATTCGGGCAAGAGCAAGTTATGCTGATATAATCAGGCAGGAATCGAGGGGGCTGGGGCTTGATCTGATTGGCTGCAATCATCCGTTTGACGCTAGACCAGATGCAGGCATTCGGATCAACTATTTCTCCGGCTTTACCGGTCTAGTCCCAACTAGGTAAAGCATCATCATGGGACTTGGCTGTTTCCAACCGCTTTCGACGCTTGTGTGAGTCTCCAATGCGAATTTTAGAGATCTGATTTGTTTCTTTTGCTTTCTTGTCCCCTTATTTCTCTTTTTCTTTTTGATCTCCTGGGGTTCTCCGGGGGTGATTGGTCTTTGAAATTGTCGATCTTACGCGGTCCCCAAGTCCCCATCGGGTTCCATCGCCAGTCTGGAACACCCCCGTTTGAAGCTGCTGCCAGATCGCATCTCCTCCCGAACGTGATTGCGCTGCCCCCCAACAATTCCAATCTAGGCGGGATGAACAGTGGTTAACGACACATATAACGGTTTTCTTTTCATTTACATCGGGCTTTATTTCCCAATCTCTTTGGCAAAAGCATGAGAGATGTCAAGGTCCGCGACACCCGCGTTGCCGCTGCATAATGCACAAACCTCCGATTCACCGCGTCCCTCCTCCACCAACCCATTAGGTGGACGGCCCGATGCTCCGTCATCGGTAAGTGGAAAAGAAAGAATATGCCATTGCAACAGCAGTTGTTGCGGTTGGCTGTTGGTCGGGGGCGTCACACCGCTAACTTTCGACTTCCTTGCGATAGACTTCAACCTCCACATACTCATGGCTCGAAACTCATGAGACTGCTGAACGTTTACATACATCACTCCTGCATGGCTTGACGCCTGCTGAAGCAGAAATCCGTCTTGCCCGCGATGGCCCCAACGAGCTTCCACACGAAGAACCTGAGCCCCTGTGGCTGCGGTTCCTCAAACAATTCAAAGAAACCCTAATTCTCCTTCTACTGGCCTCTGCAGGTGTCTCATTCATCATGGGTAACTATGATGATGCTGTCAGTATTACCTTGGCAGTCACAATTGTGGTCACGGTCGGCTTCATTCAGGAATATCGATCGGAAAAGTCGTTGGAGGCGTTAAGTCGCCTTGTCCCACACTTCGCTCATCTTATTCGTGATATCCCACCAATCAGTACCGCTATCAACAATGCTACTCAGTCATCGCCTGGGCCCCGAGAGGAAGCTGAAGAGCTCAGGAGTAAGAGCCCGGGCGCCGCATCTGCCGCCATTAAAGCATCATCTACCGTCCCTGCAAGTGAACTAGTGCCTGGAGACTTGGTTCTCTTCTCAACTGGCGATCGTATTCCTGCAGATATTCGGATCACTGCCGCAACGGATCTCACGATTGACGAATCGAACTTGACTGGTGAGAACGAGCCAGTTGTGAAGTATACCGCGGCCCTTCGCGTCGCGCCCGGTGGTGCAGTACAAGCTCTGAAGAATGTCAATCCCCCCTCGGTCGCCTTTTTACGATGCTCCGGCCAGTGGTGCTGTCGGTGCAGATGTCCGTCTTAATGAGCAGCATAACATTGCGTTCATGGGCACTCTGGTTCGCTCGGGATACGGTCAAGGGATTGTGATCTCAACCGGTGCGAAGACGGAGTTTGGAAGTATCTCAGCCTCTCTTCAAGAGATCGAAAGTCCCCGGACTCCGTTACAATTATCGATGGATCGGTTGGGTCAGGAATTAAGTTATATTTCGTTTGGAGTGATCGGTCTGATCGTGGTCATTGGCTTGTTGCAGGGCCGCAAGTTGTTGGAAATGTTTACAATTGGCGTCTCGCTTGCTGTTGCGGCCATTCCAGAAGGTTTGCCTATCATTGTGACCGTTACACTTGCCTTGGGTGTCCTTCGCATGGCCAAGAGGGGTGCTATCATGCGCAGACTCCCCAGTGTGGAAACTCTTGGCTCCGTCAATGTCGTTTGCAGTGATAAGACTGGAACTCTCACGATGAACCATATGACTGTTACCAAGATGTGGCATTTTGATTGCGATGAAGCATTCGAGGTTCAGCGGGACAGTGCTTCAACACTTACACCTGGACCAGCAGCACGCACTATCCTTAGGGTTGGAAACATTGCGAACAATGCTCGTCTCTCGCGCACTCACGCAAACTCCCCAGCTAGCGCCTCTTCCGCGGCAGTCTTGTCCTCAACCGTTGACCGGGACTCGAGTGCTGTCAAGAGTCGATGGGTTGGTCAGCCTACCGATGTCGCTATTCTGGATCTGTTAGATAATCTAGGAGAAGATGATGTCCGTGAACGGATAAGCGCTCGTGTGTCTGAAACCCCATTCAGTTCCGAACGAAAGTGGATGGGTGTCATCATTGGTAGCGGGGCTCCTGGGGAATCCAATGGGGGGTCTAATGTGGCTTATATCAAAGGCGCTCTTGAGCAAGTTCTGGCCCGCTCGGATACATATCTGACCAAGGATGGCCGAGAGGTCATTTTGGACGAGCCTCGACGCAAAATCATCCGAGATGCGGCAGAGTCCATGGCATCAGAGGGTCTTCGAGTTCTTGCCTTCGCCAGCGGTACCGCACGAGGCGAATCACGGGGTGTGAAGGGATTTGGCAGCCGGTCTAGCACCCCTGTTTCCAAGTCCAGTAGCCCGAAGGACGACGATGATCGGTATAACGGACTGGTGTTTGCAGGTTTGGTTGGAATGAACGATCCACCTCGCAAGGATGTGCACAAGTCTATCCGACGTCTAATGGCTGGTGGAGTTCGAGTCATTATGATTACAGGTGACGCTGAGACAACAGCCGTGGCCATTGCAAAGAAACTGGGAATGCCAATCAATGAATCTGCCGGATCACGATCAGTTATGCGTGGTGATGAACTGGACCACATGACAACTGCGCAGCTCGCTCAGGCTATCTCCAACACATCTATTTTTGCCCGCACCAGTCCAGACCACAAGATGAAGATTGTCCGTGCACTGCAGTCCCGTGGAGATGTAGTTGCCATGACTGGCGACGGTGTCAATGACGCTCCTGCTCTGAAGAAGGCCGATATTGGCATTTCAATGGGTCTACTTGGCACCGACGTTGCCAAAGAGGCAGCAGACATGATTTTGACGGATGATGACTTTTCGACTATCCTTCGAGCCATTGAACAAGGCAAAGGAATCTTTTATAATATTCAAAACTTCATTACTTTCCAGCTCAGCACCAGTGTAGCTGCGCTAAGTCTCGTATTGCTCAGCACGACCCTCGGTTTCAAGAATCCATTGAATGCCATGCAGATCTTGTGGATTAGTGGGTGTCCCTTTCTCCGCTTCTTACTGTTTTCTCTCTCTAACTGTTATTTTAGACATTCTGATGGATGGCCCACCGGCCCAGTCTCTTGGTGTCGAGCCTGTTGATCCCATGATCATGAACCGGCCTCCACGACCGAAGACCGCGCGGGTGTTGACAAAACCCCTCATCCAGCGCGTCCTTACTTCTGCCATGGTAATTATGCTGGGCACTCTCTCCATCTACATCCATGAAATGGGGGATGCGACTGACGGCCAGCCACTTGGCACCCGGTCCGGCGTGGTCACCGCCCACGACACTACCATGACATTCACCTGCTTTGTTCTCTTCGACATGTTCAACGCCCTTACTTGTCGCAGCGAAGGCAAATCTGTGCTCCGAGGCGAAATCGAGCTATTCGGAAACAAGATGTTCAACTATGCTGTCCTCGGCTCATTGGCTGGTCAAGCCTGTGTCATCTACCTTCCCTTCCTGCAACGCATCTTCCAAACTGAGCCTCTCAGTTTTGGATCCTTGGTAAAGCTTGTTTGTCTGGCGAGCACTGTATTCTGGGTCGATGAAGGCCGTAAGTATTATCACGCGCTCCGTCGTCGGGGTGGCCTCGGCGCCGGGTATAGCCTCAACGTCTGATATGACTCTTGGTTTTTTGGGTGGTTTGTTGCACTGTGTTTGAGTTGGAATCCCAGAACGGGTGTGTAACAATTGGATGGGATGAAGTCCCTATACATAATAGAGTTGGGGAGAGACGCATGTTGTTGGCTCGTATACCTCGACAGACGGGCCTGTAAATCTAATGATATTCATGTTTGTTCCGATTTGATCCTACAAAATCGTATTTCCTGGCCTCCAAGGCTGTATTCTCCGTATGCGGTGTAGTGCAGCAAGGTAATGTCTGTGGTTCTTTACCAAGATAAGCTTATTATCAAATTCGTAATGCTTTTTCCCTCCTTCATGCTGGGTCAATCTCAACACAGCATGACAGATAAAAGTGCCCAATGGTGAGAATCATCAGCTCAGTTTTTTGCGATAAAAAAACTTTAACTCAATTTGCGACCAAGTTCTGATGACAAAAAATATTGTCTGTCTGTCCTCTTGCTTTAGTGTATCAAAAATTGATACAAAAGTCACCAAAAAAGTTTGACCGACGCAGGGGTCGAACCTGCAATCTCTTGATTCGTAGTCAAGCGCCTTGCCATTGGGCCAGCCGGCCTTGTTGAAAAGAGAGCCAAGCTTGGCTATAAGAGTGGGGACTCGGCTGTCGGATTTTTTCCCAAGAGTGCTTGCTATGTAATCCGCCTCGCCACTGCGCGATCGGGGTGGCAACCAGGTGGCAACTTTCCAACTTGTTTGGCTACTGTAGATTTCATCATTTAACTCCGTGGGCAATTTCTAGTTATTAGTTCGGTCTAAATCGGAGAGGATTGGTGAAGGCTTTCTCAGGTTGGGCAGTTCGTGGAATATGACTGACCTTGGAGCTACAGATTCTCATTGCATATCGGCTCCAAAATATATTTAGCATACCTCCAGGGCTGAAGGCTTCAACACAATATTCAAAAGTGTCAACAACCCGTGGACCCTAGCCATACCCATGGATGTAGATTCTCGATAAACATCCAATTACAAATTATCAACGGAACTCAACAGAGACAGGAAAAGTACTCAAGTGCAACAATGTGGATGTAATATACCAAGTACCTTGTGGTCTGCCAGAAGCATTATCTGCTGGGATGTACATGACCAATTGCTCTACAGGTCCACCAGTCATTGTGCTACTAGGCACAAGTCACATAGCTATTTACTGTCAATGGAACAGTCGAAAGACAAGAAGACCAATCAATAGGTAGCATGGAGCTATGCTGTACACAAAATGATTGGCACGTGGCAGGGGTATTTGAGATGCCTTGAACCCACGCTGAGCCTCATTCCCAGTAAATATATCCATACATCTAGACCCATGCACCCCAGATACCCCGGCACCGGTAGTATCCACCTCAAAAAGGCAGAAAACTGATAAGGAAAGTCATCACACTCCCCGTTAGTCGAGGGGGTCGAGCCTAAAGGTTCTCTTAGCCCCAGGATGCGTTGACCCACGACGGGCTCTATATTAGTTGTGATCAGATGATGCAGCTTGAGATCATAGCGGGGCAATGTATCCTCTTTTGTCTTATAAGACCAAAAGTGCAGAATTGTTAAACTGGAGGGCATTCTGATGCCATGTACTAGTATTGGCATTAACGATATACGATCCGAGTCTATCAAGAAGCTCAATTATCTATGAAAGCCAGAAGATTTTGATTTGTTTTTAAACCAAAGCAAGGACCATATAGTCGCATGTTTCTTTCGAGGGGGGCTTCATCTTCAGCATTGAGTGTCTTGGACCCAAGATTAGAATATGACTAGTTGAATGTAGTCACCGGGATCGGAGTATAGCGCTGATAAGGTCCGGACCCTTTTTTTAAGGTCCCACGCGGGCCGATCGATGACCATTTCATGTGCCATGAATGGACGCAAGCAATATTCAGTGAGTTATTCATCACACTACATTAAGCGGAATACAAATTCCAAGCACAACACCTTGAATATTCACGATCCCTGAATCCGATTTCAATAGCTCAAATTTCAAACGTTCAACCGCTTCGGTGCGATCCCGAAGATCGGGGCAAGACAGACTTTCCTGCATATCCCGAGAGTCGGGTTCTGCCGGAGCGGCAAATCGTGAGCTTATCAGGAGCCAATGGTAACGAACAGCAATATCTCAGCACTAGACTGAAAGCGTCGAGGCTTGGCGCAGCGGAGTGACCCACTTAGCGGCCGGTGGCAAGTGTTTATCTGTATCCAATAAGAGCGCAGATAACATCGACTCGGCTGTCCAATTGTTCGCCACGGATAGTGGATTGGCCCGCGAATGGAGAATGTTAGAGATAAGAGTACATGCATCTCTTCGGAACTGCGTTGGAGTTCGCCGAATGTATGAGCCTCTGATAAGCTTATCTGGTTGAAGAGGAAGGGACGATACAGCCATTTTTGGAGCTATACTTTACTCAAATACTATATAGAGAGCTAGAGGCACCAGGAAGAAGGATTGGGATTCTTTTCCCCCAATTTTCACCCCAGGATGACTTCCCCGGAGATACATCACTGACGAACCGGTATGAGGGTTCCCACCGGGGATCGATTGGGTAGAGCGCGGACTTTGTTTCATTGGAGCCAAGAACTAAAATTCGATTGGGACCAAGGAAAAAAGCAAACTGGGAAAAAAAGTTATTCCCGCCACTGGACCTCTTCTGGTCCGGTAGCATGCACCGGGAGGATTTCATGATGATGCGAATTGACCAAAATTCCTTCTGTTTTCTCTTTCTTTGTTAGTGTGTATAATCCCCCTACAATTGAACAAATTATTGAACTTGGAATATTTTTTACAATTTTATTTACATTTTTACTTGGTCCCTGTACTGCAGTATATAAAGGTTATCGGTGATTGGGGCGCAGTGGATGATCCCGATTATCCCATTACTGTTGTCATAATCATTTTTCACCACAACTACCTTCCCATTTCTTCTGTCATTATTCCACTTAACCGCGCCTCCCCCGGGTTTTTGCTTTAATCTCCTCGGACTAATCAATTAGCCCCTTCAAATTGGGTCTTTTGCCTTTTTCCAGTTATCTGGACCTCACAATTGCCTCGCGACGCCTTGTTCCGATTTCAGGCCCTGGTGGGCCCGTCGATCCAACTTATCGCTCTGGGACTCCGCAACGGTTCCAGTTTCCAGAATTCGTTTATATTCCTCGCGCCTCTCCCCCGTGGCGACTTTTCTCCTCTCCACAACCTCGTGCCTGCAGCTTTTCGCCATTTCTTTAGCTTGCGGTACTTGCATCGAATTTTCCTTCTCCCTTTCAACACCCACACCACTCGACTAGACACGCTCTTCACCTTAATTTCCTAGTCGACGAGCTCTTCGGAGTTCGAGCCTCACATTATGTCGACCTTCAGTGGGAAATATCCGTACTCCCCGGATTATGCGTCTTACAACTGGACTGGTGCTCCCTCCGATTACTCTTCGTTAACCACCAATGAAGCTCTCGGTGGTAACTCTCGTATGTAACCAATCCAATTTTTGGACTCTTTGGATCACAGTCCCTCACACTGGTTTCCGTTATAGGCACCGAGAACGTGAACAAATGGTTTCAATCTGGTGATCAGGCCTACATCATCGTGGCTTCTGCCATGGTGATGGTTATGGTGCCTGGTCTGGGTTTCCTGTACTCGGGCTTGGCTCGCCGAAAGTCTGCCCTGAGTATGATCTGGGCCTGTATGGCTTCCATGTCTGTCATCACATTCCAATGGTACTTCTGGGGCTACTCTCTTGCCTTCTCCCAGACCGCGACCAATGGTTATATCGGCAACCTGCGCAATTTCGGCTTAATGAAGACCCTGGCGGCGCCGAGTCCGGGTTCTCCACTTATTCCCGATCTTCTATATGCTTTCTATCAGGTACGATTTTATATCAGTCAAAACCGAGTCAATCCCTTATTTACATTCCTTCCAGATGCAATTCTGCGCAGTGACTGCTGCTATCGTTATGGGAGCTGTGGCTGAGCGCGGTCGGCTTCTTCCCGCCATGGTGTTTACTTTTGTCTGGGCTACCATTGTTTACTGTCCATTGGCCTGCTGGGCCTGGAATGTCAACGGTTGGGCTTACAAGTACGGTGTGATGGACTACGCCGGTGGTGGTCCCGTGGAAATCGGATCCGGTTTTACTGCTCTGGCCTACTCCATGGTTCTCGGTCGTCGGCAAGAACGCATGATGCTCAACTTCCGTCCTCACAACGTCTCGCTTATCCTTCTCGGTACCGTCTTTCTCTGGTTCGGCTGGCTTGGATTCAACGGAGGCTCGGCCTTTGGTGCCAATCTTCGTGCCACTATGGCCTCCTGGAACACCAACCTGACTGCGGCGTTCGGAGCCATCACCTGGGTCCTGCTCGATTGGCGCCTTGCTCGTAAGTGGTCGATGGTAGGCTGGTGTTCCGGTACCATCTCGGGACTCGTGGCTGCCACTCCGGCATCTGGCTTCATCTCCCCCTGGGCTAGCGTGGCTCTGGGCATCGTGACCGGCATTGTTTGCAATTACTCGACTAAGATCAAGTTCTGGATCCGCATCGACGACTCTATGGATGTGTTGGCTGAGCATGGTATCGCTGGTATTGTCGGTCTTATTTTCAATGCCTTCTTCGGTGATGATTCGATCGTCGGTCTCGACGGTGTCAACACTGGCACCGGAGTCGGTGGCTGGGTGATTCACAATTACAAGCAGCTTTACATTCAAATCGCCTACATTGTCGCTACCGCCAGCTACTCGTTCGTCATGTCCGCCCTGATCGCTCTCGCCATCAACGCCATCCCTGGTCTCAACCTCCGCGCCTCCGAGGAGGCTGAGCTGCTCGGTATGGACGACGACCAGCTGGGCGAGTTCGCATACGACTACGTCGAGGTCCGCCGTGACTACCTTGCTTGGACTCCCCAGCAAAAGGACCAGCTTGAAGATGGCCACCATATTCCCGCTGCGGAACGCTACGGTATTGGCGAGCACAGCGATATGATGATTGAAGGCCAGCCCCCGAATGGCCAGATCAGCCAGAGTAGTCGGGGCGGCAGTGAGGTGGAGGCTATCCAGGAAATCAAGGTGCCACCCACTCCCCGCCAAGCCGCCGAGCACCACGAATCCGACATTCAGCCATCCACTGAACCGCCGGCTAAGCTGAGACCTGTCAACGAGAAGACAGAAGATAGCTAAATGCAGCCTATCGCCTCTTCCACGACCTCCGCATCTCTTCCAGCCTTTTCTTTTTCGCATTTGTTCGATATCCCTCTGAGCGTTTCTGCCTTTCTTCATCAAAGCCTGGGGCTTTCTGTTTCTTTCCAACATAATCATCCTGTTCTTATATCTCGGCAACCTTCGACACCTCCATCCATATCTTCGACTTCCACCTCTTGTCTCATCAATCTCCCAAAAACACCTATACAACCTTTTCTAGAAGAACAGCATCTCATGTTATGGATCTTCATGACTCGAAAAAAGACCAACTGGGAAAAGCAATTTCTATTTGTGCTTCTTTCTGACCTGGCGTTTTCCTTGGTTTAGCGGTACTGTCATCATTTACACCTTTATACTTTGTCATGGGAATTGAACAGGATTGTAAATATTGTGCTTGGTCTTGTTTTTTTAACTTTTACTTTCCATTTGGACACTGCAATGGAGCTGGTTATGCCGATGTTTGGGGATAGGTACCTGCACTATAGACAATTTGATGTCAGACTACAGACCTTTTATCATTCTTCATCTGATTCTTTACCTTTATAGATATGCTTCGAAGGTTGTTGTGCACTCTTCAAGGCGATACATATAATGGTCTCTTGAAGTAATATGTAAGGGGAGATACATTAGCGATTCGACCGTTTATGCCTATGTATTCTGGGGCCGAGCGATCAATCAGTGCGAGAGGATAATTGACGGGAAAGCAGCAATTCAGAACCCCCTGGGTGACCCCCTTCTATGACTCCCATAAAGCAAGTGGTTAATCTGCCAATGAGACGAGCTCACTGGTTCCCAATGATAGTCAAATGCGAAACATAAGAACATTTGATATACGGAAAGCTACCCATGAGTCACTCACGTTTGACCAATACAATTATGTGTCCCTCACCGACACAAGAAAACAGAGACAACACTCGACTGGCCTAGACGACACTTCAGCGGAGTCGGACAGAACGAAACCTCCAGCCAGGTAGCGCCAACTAAGTTTCTGACGGTCGATCAACTTTGGCTATGGACTCGTTATGACGGTATCTGTTGTGCTTGGTCGTCATGTGATTACTCTCATCTGACCTGATATAATCCAAATTTAATGATTACAGGCACAACGGAACAGCAAGGCTGAAAAGCAACCCAAATCTGACAAGAGTAAAGCAACGAAGCAAGACAGACGAGCGATGGACAACGGATCAAAAGAATGATCACAACCCCAAAGAGGGCAAGATAATTGAAATGGCCTGGACTTGATTGGGAAATTGGTGGCCAACACTGAGCAGACAAGGTGATAAATATCGCTTTGAAGATATTCACCATGAGATAAATATTTTATACCAGATCAAGGAAATTTAAGACGAGCTCAACGTAGTGAGATGTGTGGCTCAAGACCAGGAACATATGGATATACTTTGGAAGCGGACCAATATAGGGATTTCTACGGCCAGCGACGCAATCATCAATGAAAATGACACAGGTTGACAGCGAGGAGATGGAGGTTTACAAACAGGAACCGAAGTTTTACCAAATGGAAGCGAAGATGCAAAGGAGAGAGATACAAGTCATAAGAAGAGACAGAAACAAAGATATGCCAAGAAAGCCTGACAGGGCCTCTGTCATCCCAAGAGAGAGGGTGAGTGAGATCCAGCGAATGATTGACGAGTCAAACCATTGCTTACTTTGAAGCAAAAGGACCAATTATCAAGCTGAAAACGTTCCCTCTATCCCTGAAAGCTTGTTGTTAAATCACCTAGTTGCCTGCATTCTTTCTTGTGAGTCTTATCGCATTGAGCATTGTCCAGTATACTCATCCATGGTTCAATGGGTTAGTACCTCCAGCGATAAGTACCAACATTGGAGTATAGGGGTGATCTCAAACATATACATTTACTAGTATCCATAAATTTCCAATGGCAACGCCTGAACTTTAGAAAAGCCTCAATGCCTCAATACCTCAATCGTTGGGGTTGAGTGATTGCGAATAACGGTACAAATAGCCCTAATGCGATCTCCGACTACATTATAGAGTATACACAAAGAGCCAGGTACCAAGCTACGGCTTGCTAGCTATAATGTCAAATCTGCATGAGTTATTCACAAATAGGCGGTTTGGCCGAGTGGTCTAAGGCGATTGACTCGAATATTCTTGTTATCAATTCTCTTCGGAGGCGCTGGTTCGAATCCAGCAGCCGTCGGTTCTTTTTTTGGACTTTCAATTTTCGGAAAATAGTTCATGCTTTACGTCATTTTTTGATTTTCTTAGTCATCACATCTAGGCGGTTTGGCCGAGTGGTCTAAGGCGATTGACTCGAACCTTTGTGTTATCAATTCTCTTCGGAGGCGCTGGTTCAAATCCAGCAGCCGTCGTGATTAGTTTTTGGTTCTTTCGGTATACACAAGCTGAGGTTACATATCATGTTCATCTTTAGTCATCATCAACAGGCGGTTTGGCCGAGTGGTCTAAGGCGATTGACTCGAATCTTCGTGTTATCAATTCTCTTCGGAGGCGCTGGTTCGAATCCAGCAGCCGTCGGTTCTATTTTTGCTGTTCTTATTTTTTGATATCTCATACTCCTGTCAAATTACCATTTGTTTTACATTTATTTTGGATAACTCTATCCCTGATGGGTGTGGTGGTATCTGCCTAGTGTCTGTTGTGATGATAGAATATGATGTATTATTACTCTCCCTTCAAACAAGTCCCTCTTATCATCGTATTAATATTATCCATTTCATGCATTGCACACATTCACCCATGATTTAAACATCAAACCACGTAAAGGAGTGACATTGTGAACGTGAACAAGAGACCCAGCAAACCTACTCGAGGAACATCCCGAGTCCGCATTGCGGCACTGTTGTGAACACTTGAAGTAGAAGAGATCGATGAACTAGTCCGGCTTCCGACGACCGAACCTGTACTCGAAATGGTACCTATTATTTGCGTTCCAGACTCGACGACCGTAGCCCCGGGGACAATTGTAGTTGATCCGGAGATAATAGCTGTTGAGCTGGGCAACGTGACCGTTGAACCGGATATAGAATTGGAATTCGAGCCGGATTCTGTGTACGTGGTGGCCGGGACAACCACAGTAGAACCAGAGATGATCAACGTTGAGCTCGGTAAGGTGACTGTTGACTTAGATTGTGAGGCTGTATCTGGGGAGCCAGATTCAGTGTATGTAGTGCCGGGGATGATAACTGTCGAACCGGATATTATTTCTGTGGAACTGGGGCTTGTCACTATTGAGCCAGAGGATGAAGTGACTGATTCAGTTATTGTTGAACCTGGTACTATCACTGTCGAGCCGGATATTATTTCTGTGGAACTGGGGTTTGTCACTATTGAGCCGGAGGGTGAAGTGGCTGATTCAATTATTGTTGAACCGGGTACTATCACTGTCGAACCGGAGACGATCAATGTTGAACTAGGGACTGTTAAGGTTGAGCCAGATTCCGAGGTCGTTCCTTGGGTGGCGGATAGTGTCTCTGTTGAACCTGACACTACCACCGTTGAGGCTGATACAGTGACCGTACTTTGTCCAGCTGATTGTGTTGTCTGTGCCGAGCTCGTTTGCTCGCTCTGACTTGACTCTGTTGAAGCACTAGTCGTCTGTACCGAAGTCGTTGGTGTGCTGGTGCTGGTAGACTGAATAGTCGTTATTGTGCTTGCTGTTGACTGCTGGCTACTAGTGGCAGTTGTCGGGGCTACAGTGCTACTTGCAGTCGACTGTGCACTAGTAGTAGTTGCCTCAGTGGTGGTGGTAGTCGCAGCTGCGGTGGTCGAGGTGGTCGACGTCGTCTGATCAGAACAGAAATTCAACCACTGTGCAAATGTAGGCAACAGTGTAGATGAAATCATGGAGGAGGCAGAATCACCCGCGTGACTGCTGATGCAATCCTCACAATAACCCAAGTCAACCAGGAATTCAGAACCGGCGTCACACAAAGAAGGTGTGCTTCCAGTTCTCTCTCCGTCAATTCCCACGACATTGCAATATCCATAGCAGGCACTGGGTATGTCATTTACGTCCACTCGCTTGGTCATTCCGCCGAGGAAATATCCCATAAGCTTGTCAAATCTGCCTCGAGGCGGGGGCAGGTCGATCTTGCTGGTAACACTAGACTCAGACTCTATAGCGCATTCGAAGATATTGTAAGTCAGGCCAAAGTCCGTTGGATCCAAGTTATAGTAGTTGGTGGAGATATTATAGCCAGATTCGTCGTTGAAAATCGGGACCGGGGCCACAATACAGTCGTCGGGGGAACAGATATAAGTATCGGCGGGAAGACCAGCTTCAACATTGCAGCCCGCGCGGTCACCGGTATGAGGGGGGCTACAAAGGTATCCCGGTGCACAACCCCAGGTATAATCATCTGGCAACTGAGTGGTAGGTGTGTAGGTCGGGTTGGTGATGAGACTGGAGCATACACTAACGGTGGTGATTTGCGTCTGTGTTTGAGTTGTGTCTTGTCCAGTAACAGTAACAGTTCTGGTGCTACCGTAGCTCTTTGTGAGCGTTGTCCCAGGCCTGGTAATGATATCCGTCACTGTACTTCCCACCGAGACGGTGGTTTCTGAACCTAAGATCACGTCAGCCTCTGCGATATGATTAGAAAATAGATGATTTACCTGAGGCTGTGATTGTGTCAATAATAGTCAGTGTACTTGCTAGCAACGTGGTTGTCACGGTTCGAGTTGAGGCCGGCAGAGTGGTGACAGTTCCTGAGATAGTCACTGTGCTAGCGGACTCGGTAGTAGTTGTCGTGATAGTTGATGCTGGTATAGTGGTTGTGACGTAGCTCAAAATCGTACCTGTCTCCACCTCTGTAGTCCCTGGACCTAATAATATATCAGTCTATTGAATAATAAAAAAAGACGGGGAGTGTTCACCTGTAGCAGTGATTGTAGCACCGATTGTCACCGTACTAGCTGGAAGAGTGGTCACCACGGTCCGAGTTGATGCCGGTACGGTGCTGACAGTTCCTGAGATGGTGACCGTGCTAGGAGGCTCGGTATAGGTTGTCGTGATAGTTGACGCGGAAATAGTGGTTGTGACGTAGCTCAAAATCGTATCTGTCTCAACCTCCGTAGTTCCTGGGCCTAATAATATATCAGTCTATTGAATGGTTATAAAGGCGTGGTGTATTTACCTGTAGCAGTGATTGTATCACTAATAGTCAGTGTACTTGCTGGAAGCGTGGTTGTCACGGTTCGAGTCGATGCTGGTAGAATGCTGATAGTTCCTGATATAGTGATCGTGCTGGGGAGCTCGGTAGTAGTGGTAGTGATAGTCGATGCTGGAATAGTAGTTGTGATGTAGCTCAAAATCGTGTCCGTCTCCACCAAAGTATCTGTTTCAACCTCGGTGGTCCCTGGGCCTAGTACTATGTTAGTCCCTTAGATCATAATAAAGATGTGGAGTATTTACCCGTAGCAGTGATTGTGTTACTAACAGTTACCGTACTAGCTGTAAGGGTGGTTATCACGGTTCGAGTCGATGCTGGTAAAGTGCTGACAGTTCCTGAGATGGTCACTGTGCTAGCAGGCTCGGTATAGGTTGTCGTGATAGTTGACGCGGGAATGGTTGTAACAGAGCCTGAGATGGTATCAGTCTCTACAACAGTGTCTGTCTCAGTCTCCACCAGGGTGGTCCCTGGTAGGTTTGAGCCTGTCAGGGTGACTGTCGTTTCTGCTCCCGATACAGTGACCGTTGAGCCCCCGAGAGTTTCGATATCCGTTGAAACCAGCGTGACTGTGGTTTCTTGTCCTGAGACAGTGATTGTTGAGCCCTTGAGCGTTTCAATGTCTGTAGAAAGCAATGTGACCGTTGAACCCCGGATAGTCTCGATGTCTGTTGAAACCAGAGTGACTGTGGTTTCTTGCCCCGACACGGTGACTGTTGAACCCCCTAGAGTTTCAATATCTGTTGAAACTAGACTAACTGTAGTTCCCTGTCCCGACACAGTGACCGTTGAGCCTTGGAGAGTCTCAATGTCTGTTTCTGTTGAAACTAGGGTGACTGTCGTTTCCGGTCCCGACACAGTGACCGTTGAGCCTTGGAAAGTCTCAATATCCGTTTCTGTTGAGATTAGGGTAACTGTGGTTTCTTGTCCCGACAAAGTGACCGTTGAGCCCTTGAGGGTTTCAATGTCTGTTGAAACCAACGTTACAGTTTCAACAGCTGTGTTGGTGACAAAGTCTGTTATATCACTCCCGGTGATAGTCTTTGTCTCCGTATCAGTGATAGTATCTATCACAGTGACCCTTCCCGCACTCCCAGTAACAGTTACGGTGCAAGTGTCGGTGACAGTGTCTGTTACAGTGACTCCTCTAGCTGAACCGGTCTCTGTCACAGTACTTGTAACTGTGACAATATTTGAATTGGCAGCCGTGACCGTATCGGTGATAATATCGGTTGTAGTGCGGGTTGTAGTATCCGTGACAGTGCACGTAGCTACTTCGCCTTCACCAACATAGATGGTAACGCCAATTGTGATTGTTATGTCCACATCACAATCTACCTCTCTGGCCCCCATCATCTTGGTGACCGCGGCCAAAGTTGGGACGGTCGCAGAAACGGCATTGCTTTCCGTTACCGTTGACAAAGAGCAAGCAGTTGTCGCAAAGAGCGACAACCAAGAGAGCGAAGGCCTCATCGCAATTGAGATGGTCTGCAAGCTCAAATTGAGGCTCGAAAATACACAAAGAAGAGGAATCAGGCACGGTAGGAAATAAAAAGAGCTTCAGTGCACATGCGCACGGTCCCCGGTTTCCTTAGTTCCCGAGCCACTTCATAGTACAGAGGCTCAACAAGCCAAGTCGAAGGCGGCCTTTCGGGGCTTTGACACCGCTTCTGTTGACATGGTCAGCCAATGCCCCGCAGACAAAGAGAAAGCGACCTAACCGAGCTCGGGCACAAAGACGGGACGAGAGCCTTGCCCGCAGACACGCATGTAAGGCCCGCAGGTGTGGATGCAGCTTAGCCAATTCAGCCGCGCCTACAGGGATTAGCTCATGTAACCCCTCAATAGATCAGCAGCCTCGTTGCATCTGGACTCGTATTTTCAATGATCATTACCCTGTAGCGGTCTGTTTTCCGTGAATTCGCCGAGCAAACGAGAAAAAAAGCAAAGCAAAGACAACAATAGCTAGGGCATTTGGGGAAAGGATCAGACCAGCTCACTCCGCCATGCAGCTATAAGACCGTGCATAACTACGCTTCTTTGTTAATGGTCGCTTTGATGCGCACGGGGCCTGGGACGCGGTGGGGGATTTTTTCATCTTGAACTGGTTGCATCAAAGAGAGGGAAACAAAGCCGCATCGCTTAATTTCGGAATTGCTGATGCGCCTGATCCCCATTTGCTTCCGGTAGTCATCTTATGACTAAAGTATTAGCTTGGCGATCTAGCGATTTCCGCCTTGTCTCAACAGCCCCATTGAAGATCTCGAGAATCTGCACGGCGCGAAGAGTTGCGGAAAAAAATGTATCTTTTAAGAACATTGCTGACGCTACTGACGATCATAGATCGCGCTGTGGGATCATGTAGTGTGTATCAGACACAGATCGGCTACTCCATGTGTAGCTGGCAATCGGTGCGCGGTAAGAGTTCAATTAATTCCTGAAATCATCCTGGACTTTTGTACTGACAGCTTTAGCCAACGTTATTCGTGATACGGTCTACATAGACGGAGGATATCTCTGGTATAAGCAGTATGAGAAGTCCTGGATGTGGAAAGAAAAGTATTGAACCCATGCTGACGTTTGCAGAATATACTCGGACAATTGTACAGGCGACGAGTCTGATGGTGAGAGACCTCGAGCCTCGGTCTGATAAGACAAGCTAACAGCATCAACAGGAAGTTTTGATGGCTCCGTCTATACTTTCAATCTTTCGTCCTCCTTCAATACTAGTTCCAATTTCTCAGATGTTCTCAGCCTGATGTCTATCGCTGGTGCTGGGAGCAATATAGATCCAACTTTCATTGATGGCGTGATGTTTGCCAACGATGGCGAATTCTACCTCTATGGGTTGGTACCATTCAAAGGTTATAGCATGCACACAGCAGACTAGAACACTGACATAAATTATGCAATATCTATAGTGGCGCCGCCATTCCTACCACCAATGACGAGGACGCGTCTGAAGATACGGTGCTTGGATACGAAGCCTTCCAGTATGATGGGATCACCAAGCAAGACTGGGAGCCCAGATTCTGGATCGATGACCTTCCCGACAATGTGACAACATATATCACTAATGGAGCTGGGGAATCAGCTCCTAGCGAGAACCTGGGCTTCTATTTTAGTGGAATGCATGTTCCGGGCTGGGGCGCCATCTCATATCCACCTCTCAAAGCCAACACCACAGCAGACACATTGATTACGGTGAACATGACGGTGATGGAGTCTGAGAAATGGGTAAATGACACGCTTCCGAGCTATATTCAAGGTCGTGCGAATGCCGAGCTTGTTTGGGTGCCAGTGTCCGAGTCTGGAGTCCTGGTGGCCATCGGAGGTGTGGTTGAGCCTGCTGGAACAATTGAAAGCCTGACCTCAACGCAGAAGGCGCTCAGCGAAGAAATCAGCCCAACATTCATGGAGACGGTTTCTGTCTACGATATCGATACCAAGACTTGGTACCTCCAGAACACGACGGGCGATACACCACCCCAGTTGACCGAATTTTGTTCTGTACTTGCGAGTGCAGAGGACGACTCCTCACACAACATCTATATCTACGGGGGCTACAATGGCCTCAATGTCAATGCAAATCCATCAGATGATGTGTATATCTTGTCCTTACCCTCTTTCACATGGGTCAAAGCGTACAACGGGACAAACACACACGGCCGGAACGGACATCGATGTATCGCGGTTTACCCAAACCAAATGCTCGCTATTGGAGGCTATCGCATTGATACAACACATTGTCTTGAGGGAGGTGTTATTGTCAACTTCAATCTAAACAACCTTAGCTTCCAGGATGCCTATGATCCCTCGCAGTGGAGCGACTACAAAGTGCCGGACCTTTTGATAGCTCAAATAGGTGGAGAGTAAGTATAGAAACAACAAGACATACGATCGCCAGAGCTTACAATTTTATAGCTCTTCAGGTGGTGCAACTACCACAGCTCCATCCTCTTGGACCAATTCCTCGCTCGAAGGTATCTTGAATACGAAATACACCAAAACCATCTCAACCTACTGGCCCTACAACACGACTTCCACCGATAGCAGCACAACGACACATCACAAAAAATTCCCGACCTGGGCTGCAGCCGTGATCGGCGTGCTTTGTGGCCTCCTCGTCATTGGACTAATACTACTCGCATGGTTTTGTCTCAGACGTCGCCAGAAACGCCAGCTTGAAAGGCAAGAAGAAGTCCATGAAACCGACGGTCGGGAGCGTCTTACATCCATGTACGGCGGTGGCCCAACATCGCCTATAGCAGGCCCAAGATCTGCATCTACAGGCCAGGAGACATCTATAGGAGTAGGCACAATACAGGAATCAATCGACACATCTGCATCTCCAGGAACAGTGGAATCAGGAGGAGGTGCTGTCCACGAGATGCAAGGTATGTTTCCCATTCGCAATTTCGAGCAAGGTACAATACTGAACTGAACTCCTTATAGACTCTTCGCCCGTCGAACTTCCCACAACATTCAACGTTTCCGCTGCCAATACCAATATCACCAGGGGGTCCTCAATGACTAGTATAGCACGGGGATCCTCTCCTTCGCCTATCTTACCTCAAACTCCCGAGTCGGAGATTGGTTCGTTCATGATACCGAGCCACCACCGTAGTTTGTCAACCCGGTCGATTGATAATGTGGTCACGGGCCGGATGTCACAATTTCATGAAACCTTCGATGGATATGGGCAGCACCATGGGTCTGAAATTTCCGAGGGGAGCTCGAATGAGAGAGCTGTAATTGGTGGCAGTGAGACTATCCATGAATGAGTAATGTATCTTATGAGTGCAGATTATACAGGTGTTCCTTATATCATAATATGGTGATCCTGGTCCTTGACCATGGGCCTTGGAATAATAGCGCTATTTCTGTTTGTATTTGTTTCTTATTTTTAAATACGTGCCTGGGTGCCCATGTCCAACTAGGGGGCCCGCAGGATTGAATTATGCTTCATCTCCATGTAAACCACACAAGATAATGAATGACAGAAACACGAAGGAATTTACACTATAACAGTCCCATGGAATTAAAATGCAAGGGCAAAGTAATTCTAATATACTATCTGCGCCTGACCATCGCACGAACACGCACCCTCTCCTCACGGGTGAGCTTGTCTACCACTTCTGCGGCCTCGCCACCCTGTAATACTTCATCCCACTCATCTTCGTCCATGCTCATGACCAATGTCATCTGTACACATCGCGAAAGCGCTTCGCGATGGCGGTAGCGGTTCGGTGTACCGGATCCATAACCGACATCGACGGCGGCACTGACAAGGCCAGCAATGTCGCGCTCCAGACGGCCTGCGCCGAGCGGGTTCACGCGGCCCTGATAAGACCATAAACGTTTCTCTAACAGACGGGCGAAATAAGCGATGGTTACGGTGAGGAGGCGGTCAAATGCTTGTTGTGTGAGGATACGGGCTATCGGGACAAGCATTTCTGACCAGCCGGCCGCAAAGCGAGGACGGACAAGCTCTTTGCTGCTGCCATCGTGCTCGTTGAAATCATCCTGATTGTCGATAGGTTGGTCGGCATCACTTGACGGATGGTATTCGATGTCGCGGAATGCATCGGCAAGTATGGGTCGGAGGCGGTGTTTGATGACGTTGTTGAAGACAACTTGAATGCCATCGGTGAGAAGATCGTTGACCTTACTTTCGAATGAGCTCGCGAGAGAGTAGAGCGTGTTTGCAACCTTGAGTGCGGATGCAGGAGACGGGAAGAGCGAGAGGAGATGTTCGGTGACCTGTGGTGGTTGCTCTTGGTTGCCTTCTTTGTAGGCGGGAAGAGGTTGCTTCAAGCCACTGGTGTTTTGAACAATGCGACGAATATAGTCGATTCCGACGTCAAGGTTGTTGATCTGCACTAAAAATGCAATAATTATCTGCTCTGGAGGGGAGGCTCCCTGCACAGGGGCGCGCGGGTAACATTCATCACGCATCTTGCGTTGGGTCATGCCGATGAAGTCGGATCCAAGCACACGAGACAGCGTGGGAACCACATTTGTGACCACAGCTTCCTGGGATGTGGCCAATGACTGTTGTAAAACCTTGTTGACAATATACATGATGTCATCCACAGCAGAAGTGATGTGGGGAGGGTCTGCTTGGAGTGGTCGTTGTAGACTCAAATTCAGGCCCGATGGCGATTCATCCAGCTGGAATGCCTTCTCTACAGACCGGCGGAAGAAGAAGGTGGTCATGGCATTGAATGGAGTCACAAGTCGATCGTTGACCTTGCGTGCTAGAGAAGACTCCTGCAAGAAGGTAGGGAGCTCAAATACTTTCTCATCATCCTCCCCTTCGGCGGGAGGCTGTAATAAAGTTAGCGATAGTAGCAAATCGAATATAAGTAAAATCACTCACGTTACATGTGTCTGCCAGGAAGCGACAGTATAAAGACCAGCGACCGAGCATAATACCCATCTCGTTGAGGATTTCATCAATTTCCTTCATGTCAACCCCCTCATCTTCAGAAGCTCTTGCACCCCCTGGTGCTGGAGAATGTGTACGAGGCTGACCTGGACGCTGTGCCGGCAGGAAGCTCTGCACCAGGAACGTAAATGCATATGATTTGATTTCCATCAACTTCCGATCAACGTGCCGCTCATCGCCCCAGGTGTCAAGAATAATGCCACCCTGTACATCGGCTTCAACCTGCAGCCGCTCAATTACACGTCCCATTTTCCGGGGGCCATAGTGGCGTTCGACTAGCCCGCCGTGGCCGTCGATGATTTGTGCAATATGTTCAAACAGCTTGGTCAAGGCATTGGCATAGAAGAACCCGTCCTTAGCCTGCGCCCCTGTGCTCGCATTGAGATTGCCGCGCGCTCTTGCAGCCACACCCTGGCAGACATAGCGACCATAGACATCCTGTCCAACCTCAGATCGACCAATGAGTGGGAACAGCTTGAAGAATCGGGTGATCTTCGCCCCGTCGTTTTCCTTGACTGCCTTGTCAAATTCCCGCAAGAACAGTCCGCATAGCGATTCCGCTGCTGTGTCCAAGGTCACACTTGGCGCATCGGGTACCTCTGCTGTCGGGACCATCTCTGCAGCAAACGCTCCGTTGATCACCGCTGGTGGGATCTGTGCAGCACGGTGTAGGTAGCTGGCCGCCGTCTCCCAATCCTGAGACGCGCCCATAGAGCCCGCAACACCCAGTGTGCAAGCCTTGAGCTCTGCAACCTGCTCCACCACCCCCAGTGTAGCTTTTACTCGAGCCTGCTCCAAGTCTAGTCGGCGCACGGCACGCGAAATCCGATCAGCAGTGCCCGCTGCCTCGGAAAGCATTCCATGGCTAATGGCTCGGGTGGTAGTAGATTGAGTGCCAATGTGGGCTCGCATCAGATCCAGCCGGCCGAGTTCCCGGGAGAGGTCTTTCTGTGAGGTCACCAGCGCATCAAGACGGGCGGTTACCGAGGCTTCTTGAGTGTGGAGGCGGGATAAAGCCGCCTTAATCTCGGCCACGGAGCTGGCATTGAAGATATCGGTTCGTGGGGACGTATCTTCGGTCGCAATTGGTCGTTCTGGAGGGGATGGAGATTCGTCATGGCCATTTGTGGCCAGTTGAGACAGGGCCATAGTTAGACCATACAAGCTGGTTCTTGGGGGTTCCGGGATCCAATGTTGATGCCACGCGATTGTCTAGGTGTCTCCGCGGGCGGTGAGTGGGGTGGGACTTTTTTTCAAAGAAACTTGAAGCTTGAGTGTTTGAGCCTCAAAGAAGCCAATCAATTCATAAGGAAATCTCAAAATCCAAGAGTTACAGTTTCAGCCGTGGCCTTGTCTGCAATCTCAACTATTTAATCCGGGACCAAGACATTCTTTGTGATTTGCTACAACGCAACGTCATCTATCCCCACGATTACTACTTCCTCACACATCTGTCTTACCAAAGCACCAAACACTTAAAGTCTTTGCTTTGTTATTTTTTGTGCTTTGCTTCCCTTCCTCTTCTTCACACACTTAGGTAGTGCACTTAAGATCAAGCTCCCGCAACCGGACGTCGCAGACCCCGCTATCAGCATCGACAGTTCCGCATCATGGGTAACGAAGAGTCGTCTATTGTGGATGACTCCACTCGTCCTTCAGTGTTAGATGGACGCAATATCGACGCGGTAGCCAAATATGTGAAGGATTACAACGTCCAAAAAGTTGTTTTAATGGTTTGTCCTCAACACTTCCCACATCTTGCAATAATGCTAACTAGAAGATAAGGTGGGAGCTGGAATCAGTACCTCTGCGGGGATTCCTGATTTCCGGTCTCCAGATACAGGACTCTATGCCAATCTGGCTTTTCTAGATCTGGAGGAGCCGGAAGATGTGTTTGATATTGGATTTTTCAGGCAGAACCCGAAGCCATTCTATGCACTGGCGCATGAGTTATATCCAGGACGCTATCGCCCCACGATCGCGCACTCTTTCGTCAAACTGCTTTACAATAAGGGCATGTTGTTGAAACATTTTACGCAAAATATCGACTGCCTCGAGCGCCAAGCTGGTCTTCCTGGTGATAAGATTGTTGAAGCCCATGGTAGCTTTGCTACGCAGCGCTGTATTGATTGCAAACTGCCTTTCCCCGATGATAAGATGCATGAAATTGTTGATAAAGCCGAGGTACCGCACTGTCTGGAATGCAATGGCCTCGTCAAACCTGATATTGTGTTTTTCGGGGAGGCTTTGCCTGCTGTATTCCACGAAAACCGCTCGCTGCCTGAAGAGGCGGATCTATGTATCGTCATGGGAACCAGTTTGACAGTACAACCTTTTGCTAGCCTGCCATCAATGTGCAGGGAAGGCACACCCCGTGTGCTTATTAACATGCAACGTGTGGGTGGTTTGGGATCGCGACCGGATGATGTTTTAGTACTGGGGGATATCGATGCTGGAGTACGAAAGTTTGCCCGGGCTCTGGGGTGGGAGGAGGAGCTAGAGGCCGTCTGGCAGGAGACCAATCCGGACCCTGAAGCAAGGGAGGAGGAGAATGCTTCCCCGCAAACCCGCGATGAACGACTCCGGGCAGAGATTGAACGCTTGACGGAGGATATTGACCGCACCTTAGGCAGGACGGACGCATACCAACAGCGAGTTCGTGAACGATTGGGGGACTATAGCGATTCAAGCAGCTCAAGCAGCTCATCCGAGAATGGACTGGCGCATGTATTCCCGCACTTGGCGCGTAAATCTCACTAGATTCGCACCTTGACCGCTTGCGGCATTCACTAGTTCAGTTGGAGATGCTTCGGAGATCAGTCGTCCTTTACTAGAATCATAGATACCAAATTCAGAATAAAGCTGGAAATTTACTGAAATTCTTGTAACAGAGAAGTGGGTAATTGACTGATTAAAACCCCTCTGATTCGTGGGCCGCCAGCGCTGCTAATAATATTCCAGAATTGACTTTCAAGCGTTTCTTACCGCAGCCAAATCAAGCAAGGCGATCTTTGCCCCACGTCTTTCATATCGTCATCCTCCCCTCCCTTGTTTTCCTTTTCTTTCCCCCCAATTTACCTCGTGAGAATAAAACATCCTATACATTCATCATGGTCGGACTCGGTCCTAAGCACCCGCCGTCCCGCAAGGGTGAGCTGCTGTTCCTTATCGCGAGCTTGATCGTGTGATGCTAATCATTCCCCCCACCAGGTTCGATGCACGATTTGCCGCAAAATCTCTTGAAGCAGATTAAAGACTTTGAAGAATACTTCACTGTGGACCAGGCCAAGCTCAAGCAGATTGTGGCCCATTTCGTCAAGGAGCTTGAGAAGGGTAAGTCTGGTCCCGCAGATCGCCTCGGTTGCCCACGCAATTTAAGCTTACCGTGATGTCAACATAGGTCTAACCGTCGAGGGCGGCAACATCGTGAGATCCACCGTAAACCCACCACCACGCGAATAATAATAACTAACAGCATGCTATAGCCAATGAACGTCACTTGGGTTATGGGCTTCCCCGACGGTGAGGAACAAGGTACTTTCCTGGCTCTCGACATGGGTGGCACCAACCTGCGTGTTTGCGAGATCACCTTGACCGATGCCAAGGGCGCCTTCGATATTACCCAGTCCAAATACAAGATGCCGGAAGAGCTCCGGACCGGTACTGCCGAGGAACTGTGGGAGTACATTGCCGATTGCTTGCAGCAGTTCATCGAGGTCCACCACGGAGATGAGAACCTCGCTAAGCTCCCGCTGGGTTTCACCTTCTCCTACCCGGCTACCCAGGAGTACATTGACCACGGTATCCTCCAGCGATGGACCAAGGGATTCGATATCGATGGCGTCGAGGGCGAAGACGTTGTTCCTCCCCTGGAGACTATCCTGAAGAAGCGGGTATGTCTTAGTCTGATTCCTTTTCCCTCTTGATCAGCTACCTAATGATCTCAATTTTAGGGTCTGCCCATCAAAGTTGCTGCCTTGATTAATGACACCACCGGTACCCTTATTGCTTCTTCCTACACCGATCCCGACATGAAGATTGGCTGCATCTTCGGTACTGGCGTGAACGCCGCATACATGGAGAACGTTGGATCCGTACCTAAGATTGCGCACATGGGTCTTCCTGCTGATATGCCAATCGCTATCAACTGCGAATATGGTGCCTTTGATAACGAGCGTGTGGTGCTCCCCCTGACCAAATACGACGAGATCATTGACCGCGACTCTCCCCGCCCTGGCCAGCAGGCATTCGAGAAGATGACCGCCGGTCTCTACTTGGGTGAGATCTTCCGTCTGGCTCTCGTAGACATCCTTGATTCGGACCCTGGCCTCATTTTCAACGGCCAGGATACCTCCAAGCTGCGCAAGCCATACTTGTTGGACGCTTCGTTCCTCGCCGCCATTGAGGAAGACCCTTATGAGAATCTGTCGGAGACCGTGGACCTCTTTGACCGCGAGCTTGGCATCCGTCCCACACAGCCCGAGCTGGAAATGGTCCGTCGTCTCGCCGAGCTGATCGGTACCCGTGCTGCTCGTTTGTCTGCTTGTGGCGTTGCTGCCATCTGTACAAAGAAGAACATCGACTCCTGCCACGTCGGTGCTGATGGCTCCGTCTTCACCAAATACCCCCACTTTAAGGCCCGCGGTGCCCAGGCTCTGCGTGAGATCCTTGATTGGGCTCCTAACGAGAAGGACAAGGTTACTATCATGGCCGCTGAGGATGGATCCGGTGTGGGTGCTGCCCTGATTGCTGCCCTGACTCTGAAGCGCGTCAAGGCCGGCAACTTGGCTGGTATTCGCAACATGGACGATATGAAGACTCTGCTTTAGAATAAATCCTTGAAGAACGATAATAATGAATTCCTCCAGATGTTCTGGAGCTTGATGGCATGTAACTGGGATATGCAGAACCTTATTCATATATTGAGTCGCTGGATTGATATTAAATGCTATATTTGCCACCGTCAATCAATAGAATTCCTTACGCTTCAAATCTCGACCCATGGAAAGACATCCTTGTCAGGTCGGGTGAACCTCGGCTCGGCATGCCGAATACCCTAGCATAACTCCGGGTCAGGTTTAATATACGTGAACTTCTTACTGTTTTCATTCAGAACGCCTGTAATAAAGGATCTAGATGAAAATCTTGCATGTAATATCATAGTAAAATAGACTAGATTTTCAAGGTTGTTCGGAGAAGATTTCAGACTACATAAAGATATCCCTGGCTGGGTTAGGAGCCGAGATCTAAGGAACGACTTTAAGCTTATTTTTCTCCTTTGACTTCTATGCAAGAATTTGGCGAAATAGCCCAGATTCTGCCTTAGTCCCTGAAGTCACTCAGGAATGGTCCGATTTATAATGAAGGGACGATATTTTTTTCAACTATTGGCTTTCAATACGCAATCGGCGCGGCGATGTCGTGATTACCTCCACCTATCGCGCGAGACCAAGGCAAGCCAAAACCTGAAAAGGAAGAGAAGAATGTGTCAAAGACAATTAGAAAGAAAATAGCTCGCAAACTATCATAGGTCAGTTCTGCTCACGTTCTTCCATAAACAGTCTCCATCACCGTCGTCGCTGCCCTAGTCAACCTTACGGGAGCTTTGGTCAAATCAGAGCACTCATTTATGCATTTGCTGGATAAATTGCCCTTGTCCCCTCTTTTATCCAACCCGCCTTTCCTCTGACATTCTCGTGTGGGGATATGGCGTGTATTTTGCCGTCTCCACACGGTAGTTCGTAGCAGATGTTTTACTATAAAACCCCAATCGTATCTGCCGGGTTGGCTTCTGGCAAGACCTCCTGGAAAGAACGACACATAATTTGACTCTTTGATCTCTGGTCTACGATAATGTCGGAGTCTGACGCTAAGATCGAGGCTGCAACAACCTCGGCTATATCGACTATAGTATCTTCTGATGTCGACGATAACTATGAATTCTTCTTGCAACATAGGGGTCTAGAATATACCCCAGAAGAGGAAAAAAGAGTCTTGCGAAAAATAGATCTGCATTTGATCCCAATTCTATTCTTTATCTACTTGCTACAGGTTGGTATATTCTTCGTTGTTGCTTTCATCCTGTGACTGACCATCGTGTAGTACCTTGATAAAAACAGCATCAATTTCGCTTCAGTGTATGGCCTCAAGACAGGAACCGGACTTACCGGATCAGATTATTCATGGCTCAGTATGAAATCTTCATACTTCCAAGCTTGATATAAAGATTTCTGACGACCTAGCAGGCTCAATATTCTACTTCGGCTACCTTATTGCGCAATACCCAGCCGGACTAGCGATGCAGAAACTACCAGTCGGAAAATTCTTAGCAAGCACAACAATAGGTATGAAGTCCATTCCCGATGTATTCCGAGCTGGTGGTCATCAAGCCCCTGAAATCTAACCAGAGGACAGTATGGGGCGGCCTCTTAATGACAACGCCAGCATGTCACAACTTCGCCGGAATCGCATCCAATCGGTTCCTCCTCGGCATGGTCGAAGCAGTCGTGAATCCAGGCTTCGTGCTACTGATGAGCATGTGGTATACATCGCGTGAGCAGCCTTTACGCCTGGAAGCCTATTATTGTACCAATGGAATTGCAACCATGTTTGGCGGGTAAGTAGCTCAACAGCCTATACGATACACGAAACTAATCCTTTTTTTGGTAGATTACTTGGCTATGCCATTGGACACATAACTACCGGATTACCTCGATGGATGTATGTCTTCCTTATTTTTGGTGCAATTTCCCTCGTCATCGGTATCCTGGCATTCTGGTTTCTCCCAGATCTCCCATCGACAGCCAGATTCCTTAATGAGCGTGAACGGGCTATTGCCCTGGATCGTATTGCGGGGAACAGACAAGGTGTCAAGAATCATCAGTTCAAATGGGATCAAGTGTGGCAGGCGGCTCGTGACCCGAAGACATGGCTTTTGTTTGTTATGGCTATAGGTGCGCAGGTGCCGAACTCGGCACTGACTAGTGTATGATAATCCATCCTCCCAGACTCAACTGCAAACCAATGGCTTCGGATATGTGCTAATCAGAAAGTATATAGTTCACATCAATAATTGTCGAATCATTCGGCTTTGATACACTCGGAACCCAGTACCTTCAGATTCCCGGCGGAGCGGTCAATTTTCTCACACTGATTATCGGTGGCTTCATTGCGACAAAATACCATGGAAGATTTCATTCCAGAAGTGCCTGCATGATTGTTGCCAATCTAACCTGCATCATCGGATCTGCACTCCTGGTTGGTCTATCGGACTCCAATAAATGGGGCCGGTTGGTCGCGCTCTGGCTGTGCTATTTCCAAGGACTGGGATTTAGCATGAGTTTGACGATTGTTAGTTCAAATATTGCCGGCTACACGAAGAAGCAGGTCACCGGTGCTTTGTTGTTCACCGGGTATTGCATTGGCAATATCATTGGGCCGCAAACTTTTAAGTCCAGTGAAGCTCCGGGGTATCATAGTGCTTATATTGCGTAAGTGGTTTTCGTTCTTGTTATGGGATGCTGTATACTGATTGATCTTTAGCATGCTTGTTGGATACACGATCAAATTGACCGCTATTGTTGCGCTATACTTGTATATGTACTTTGAGAATAAGCGTCGGGATCGTCTCGCACTTGAGAGTGGTGACTCGGAGGACGATGGTGTGGAGGCAGGCATGCTGGTATGTTCTCATACGAATTTGTGACTGATAAAAGACTAAATGGATATACAGGATCAAACGGAGATTGATAACAAAAGATTTCGATATGTGCTGTAACCGTATGGCTTGTTGGAGGTTTTTATATGTAAGGTGGTTCAAACCCAAAGATTTGAAAGCATGCCATTCAGCATGAGCTGTGGGAGCTTGATTAACCATAATGATATCTTAAGTTCCAGTGACAGCAGAGGAATGTGCACAAGTAACCTAAAAATAACCCTTAAGCTAATAGACTCAGGGTTCTAACAGACGCTAAACCCCTCAATCAACTTCCACAACATCTTTCTGTGTATCATATCGACCCCATGCAGCGCAATTATTTTCAGAAGACCCATAATGAACAAGACCACGAATTTCCTCCTGAAGTTCAATAAACTGCAATGCAAGCCTTATATTGACATGCCATCCGCTAGGTGGTAGGACAGCCTTGTCACGACGGGGATGATTTGTCGTGATCACGAAGCCATTGAAAAGAGCAGTTCCTTGAGCCAGAATACAACAATCATGACCGTCCACGGGTGGAGGTGAATTGAATGCGTAACGGCAACTATAGTATTGATCATGAAATATATATTTGCACAAGATCTCCCTATATTCGCTTGATTGGGTCAGATCCATGAATGGCATCCCTATGAAGGAAACATCTTCATAATGAATTTGAGAACTATCTGATTAGCCTTGTCATTATTTTGTGATCTTATCTTCGGAGAGTTTCCGCGTAGGTACCCACTACTCCATCAACAGCGGCTCAGGGATCTAGAGCTTCACATCCCCTCTTTCCCCTCTCTTGCTCGTAACGTCTAACCTTTGGAACTACCTCTCGAGGTCATTGAGATAACAGCTATCAACCCCATACACTTTAAGATCTGATTCTCTTCTACAATACCCCATCCACTTCGGAAAGCTGAACACAAGTTTTTAAGCTTTAAGTTTATCTTCTGAGTAACCTTCGCACGCCCCACGAACATCAGAATGGGTAACACACTCTCGGCATATGACCCGACCTCTCACGAGGTTGACCTGGGCCCTAAAGGAAAGATTCAGGGAATCCAATTCGACAACAAATCTCGACGGTATGCAGGCATCCCCTACGCATTACCTCCAACCGGCGCACACCGCTGGCGGAAGCCTCGTCCATTGCCAGCGACGTACAGCTATTCCCAGCAAGATGGAACAGCATTCGACGGATCCAGCTTCCGCCCTGTCTGTCCCCAAGAACCGTTCGCAGGCGGGGCAGAGAAGGATATAGGTCCAGATAATTACAGCGAAGACTGTCTGCTGCTTAACATTTGGACCCCCGTCGAAGATCCCGAGAATCCTGGCAAGAAATGGCCAGTCGTGCTTTGGCTGCATGGAGGCTGGTTCCAGTTGGGCGAACCCCTCCAAGAAGTGGGTATGGACCCCACCGAGATGATCTCCACCGGGAAACTAAATGCCATTGTGGTTGGAATTGGTTACCGTCTCAACATCTTTGGTTTCTTAGCTGGTGAAGCGCTATTGGAGGATAGTCATGGGGAAAGTGCTGGAAATTTCGGTCTTTGGGACCAGCGTCTGGCTATGGAATGGATTTACGAGAATATCCCGGCTTTTAATGGCGACGTGAACAACATTACCCTGGGAGGACGCAGTGCTGGTGCATATGGCGTGCATGCGCAAGTGCTTCATGAATTTCAGGGTGAATCACAGCGTCAGCTCTTTCACCGATTCTATATGTACTCGAATGCTATTCCTGCACAGCCCAAGGCGCTTGCAGATGTCAACCCTCAATTTGAGGAGCTCTGTGACTACTTTAATGTCCCCGGTGATCTATCCGGGCCTCAGAAAGTTGATAAGCTTCGTGAGATCAGTCATGAGGACCTTGTCGCAGCCATCAAGCATCTCAAGAATCATACCTTCCGCCCTGTGACGGATGGACTGTTCATTTTCCCAGGATTCACTGAATACCACCGGAGCGGTGCATTTGCTGAACAGTTTCGAAAACGAGGCCTTCGCATCCTAATTGGAGAAGTCCTCAATGAGGAAACACTCTATGCGACATACAACAGCCCCGAACCCAACATCGATTCTCTGCGTTTGCAGCTATCAAACTACTATGCTCCTAGAACTACCGATCGCATCCTGAAGTCATATACCCTACCTTCAACTACCAATGCAGAGGAATGGAAAAAAGTCTATGGAAATATCATTGCAGATGGTCAAGTTCGAGCACCTTCTCGCTGGTTGATCAACTCTCTCTACAGCCATGGAATTCCCTTGCGGGATATCTGGCGGTACCGGGTTGCATACAGGTTATCCTTTATCACGGATAAAGTTGCGCCACGAGATTTTGGTGTATCTCATGCTATGGATAAACCATTCTGGAAGTAAGTGTTTGATTGTTGTTTACCAAATACGGTACGTGCTAATATAGACTTGCAGCTTTTCCATCCTCCATGGCCCGACGGATGAGGAGAGAGGCCTGATGGAAGGGTGGATTCAATCATTTGTCGCATTTGTCAATGATGATTCACAGTATGCTTTTTGTACACATGATATTGATGAGATGAAGGTTGCTACTCCAGCAGGCAAGATTGAGATTCAAAAGGATCAGAGATGGGACGAGCTAGTCAAGCTGGGTGAGATCTTTGCCAGTGATGCTTAGTGCTGTAGAGACTCCAGGAATGGGACGGCCCAAAAAGCCATGGCAGAAACCCATGAAATATCTGTAAAGAAGAAAACAGAGCTAATTCATGTGTGTTCAATTGATTCAAGCTAATGATGATAATGATGGTGATAATGATGATGGTGAAAATGGTGATGATGCTGCATAAGCCCCGAGCCACCAGTACTCGACAATGAACCATCAGGAATAACTGGTTCCCGATGCGAAGACAGCACCTGATTAATGGCGGCTTGTTCCAGCGCGGGCTCCGGCCCTTCATCCAGCTCTGGAATGATCGAACCGGGTATGCCGAAAGGAGGATGCTGAGTCTGAGTATTCGCGAGATCGAGAGAAGCAATGTTATCCAGGTTGTTGCCTGACGGTGGGATCCATGGATGATAGCGGCGGCCATGCATAGGAAATCTCTGAGACATTGCCCTGGGGTTGTAGTAATCTGTTAACATGTTTGGTTCGGATTCATAGTTGCGATCTGGTAAGGCGAAGGATGGATCTTCTGAGGGGGATTCCCAAAATTGGTCTCGATGTCCATGGGATAATGAGTACTCTGGAAATTCTAGGCCCGGGCCATTGGAGGTTTGTGCGCTATGTATGCTCATGCTGTCCACTCCAAATGCGGATGCGCTGTGGATGCTCATGTCATCCATACCGTACATGGGCATTTGTAGAGTGGTATCTGGTAAAGCTAGCGATAGACTGGCAGATGGCACGTCAAAGCTTTGGGCATTTGTCAGTAAAGCAGGTGCCATTGGATATGAAATGTTGGTAAGGTGGCTGATTGATTTGGATCTTGTAGCTCTAGGCGAAATCGCTGCTGGGGCGATCGAATGAGGCTCGTTGGAAGTCGTGTTGGAAGTTGTGTTGGAAGTTGAATCGGGCATTCTTGACAACTCCTTTGAAAGTCTCCTCCATCGATTTCGACAAGTCAGAGGAGGACGACCTGGAAGCCCCGAAGAAATTGCAGCCCATTTGTGTCCGAGCTCCTGGACCTTCGCAGCTAAATACTGATCTTCCTCGGGTGACCAATTTCTGAGTCTATCTCTCACTGATGGATTTAGAATATCATTGTATCTTTTCGCACACTGGTCATCCTTTCGACCTTCAATAAGAAGAGCTATCCCATATCAGCACCATATAGGCTTTGACCTAACTCATCGGCTTACCGATATCCTTCCAAGCGGGTCCCAACCGCTTATAAGCCGCAAGTAACAGCTCGTCCTCCTCTTTGGACCAACGACCCTTCCGCAAAGCTGGATCTAGCGAGTGGAACCAACGTTTTCGACAATCCTACTTACACTTAGTCCCACTCTTGTGCGTGGAGACGGACTGGACTGACCTTATTGGATCGCCCCGGAAGGTGTCTTGAAATCTCATTCCAGTTCCCGCCCTCCTTGTCTCGTTGATCACCCAAATGCTCCACGAGAGACGTGAGCTTCTCATCTTCTAACTTTGACCACACACGACGGGTTGTGGCCGCAGAATCAGAAGCCATCCTGACTAGGCCCCTTTGATGGGTGTTGACTTGTTTCCCCGCACTATCACCTATCGCGCCATTACTCTTCGCTTATATCAGCCTTATCGCTGGATTGAGAAGTTCTGCTAAAGCTCATCTTTTCCGCAGCAACAGCTTAGCCAACTTTGGGCTATGATTTGATTTGCCTAGGCTGACATATTGATCCAAAGATGCTTTTGAGTGATTGTACCAGCCGTCACATTGGGTAACCATCAGATTGGGGAAATAGTTTGTTCATGTCTAAGAATCCTTGAATATAAATGGTATTCTAAGTTTAAGTTTTCCTCAGTTCAATTGGGCAGGTGGGCGCATTGCAACTAAAGAGAACAAAGTTGTAGAGGTCAAGGTGGATGGCAACTCCCGTTGTTGACGATCTCATTGTCATGAATATAGCTCCAGCTTCCCAAAACTTACGCGGGCAGCAACAGACTTGCAACGTTCAAACATGCAAGATATATTTATGCCTTTTTCTTTTTCTATTTTTCCTATTTCGCTGACATCCAAAGTGCAATCGCAATTCCGACTCCTCTGATCTTCTTCTAAGCTCTCCACAAGTCGGTGTTGGGTCGGATTCCAATAACCGAGTCCACTCAATAGCCGACAAACCCCGAGTCGGTATATCGCTACAATAGCCGTGATAGACGACAAACTTGGAATTCAAGAAGAATATTTATTGACAAATTGTCTGGGGAAAATTTCTCCTCATATTCTTCCCCGCAAATTCTTTTGTTGTGTTTTGAGGTTCCTCAAACCCCAGCGGCATACATAACCATACATCCTCAAAATGGGCAAACCAATCGTTCTCCAGCTGGGCGACGACATCCGCTGGAACCACGACCAGTATGCCAAATTCAAAGACCAATTCGAGATCAAGCGCTCATACAGTATGTCGCGACCGGAGTTCATCCGAGCACTGAAGGAGCGACAATTTGGTGATTTTGTTGCGATGTACCGACCTTTCTGGAACACCGGTGGTGAGATGGGAAATTGGGACGAGGAATTGATCTCGTTACTCCCGGATTCATGCAAGATCTATGCTAGTGCTGGTGCTGGTTTTGACTGGGTGGATACGGTTGCTTTGGCCAAGAAGGGTATGAAGTGAAATTAAAATAATCACGCCTTGTCTGTTCTTTACTGATCTGGTTCTTTACAGGTGTGATCTACTGCAATGCTGCCGCTGCCTGCACCGAGTCTGTGGCTGACGCAGCTATCTGGCTTATCATCTCTGCCTTCCGACTATTCTCATGGTCAGCGATGGCAGCTCGCGCTATCGATGCCGAACAGTTTGTAGATGCCAACCGCAACCTTGCTATGGTTTCTCATAACCCCAAGGGTCACACGCTCGGTATCATCGGTTTTGGCCAAATCGGTCGTCGAACTGCAGAGAAGGCATACAAAGCCCTCGATATGAAGATTCTTTACTACGATATTGTCCAGATGCCAAGGCAGCTGGAGCAAGTCTCCAACGCCACTTTCCACAATTCTATGGACACCCTTCTCGCCGAGTCAGATTGTGTAGTCGTGGCTACTCCTTTCAGTGGAGAGACTCTATTAAATGCATCTCTGCTAGCAAAGATGAAGCAAGGATCTCGTCTCGTCAATATTGCCCGCGGGAAGCTCCTGGACGAAGCGGCTCTCGTTGACGCCCTGAAGAGGGGCCAGCTCTCTGCCGCGGGCTTGGATGTACACTTTAATGAGCCGCATGTCAGCCCCGAACTGGCTAAGATGAAGAATGTGGAGATTCTCTCACATAATGCTGGTGCTTCTTTGGACTCGCACATTGGTTTTGAGCGCCTGGGGATGGAGAACATAGTTTCGTTCCAGCAAACTGGAAAGGCTGTGACACCAGTAAATGCTCATTTGATTAACAAGGCTTCAAAACTTTAGATATCAATATTACTGCCAATTGACGATCTACAATATGCTTTTGCTGATCATTTTCCAAATCGAAAAATCACAAACCTCGGAAGAAAACTTAGACCTCTCCATGACTTCGAGTCATGGGACAGAAGTCGAGCTGGAATACCGTCGAGCAGGTCTGGATGAATATAAGATCAGTTATGTACGTTGAGCAAAAGGCTTAATCTTTTGAGCGGTTTACGGTCTCTGGCCACGAGCTTTACAAAGCAACCGTACAATTATTTCGAAATATAGGTGTATGTCCCTAACGCGATTCTTTAAAGTCCTTGTTTACTAAGAAGAAACCCACCCAAAGGACAAAAGAAAGAAGTTCAAAAGCCTATCAGCAAAGTGATTGCAGTCCTGTTGAGACGATTGACAAAAAATGAGATAAGTGGAATCGAGACACGAAAGGAACGTCCAGATATTTGGATCATAAGTGAACAAAAGAAAAAGTAATCACTTGAACGAGCAAGGAGACCCAAGGCCAGATCGAGAAACCCCATGCACACAAAAGAATTCAAGACACAAAACTCCTTCACCCTAGCTCCGAGGGGAAACTATAACAAAGAAAACGCCGAAAGAGGATGAATGGAAAGAAAACATTAACGCCGAATCTCCACACCTGATCACTTGAAAGGATATCCCGAATAATCCCTTGCGTTAAGCAAAGGACAAGAACTTAAAAAGAAATAAAAAAAAATGGCCATTCTCCGCATGCCAGTCAGGAGTACTCTAATAATTCCCACGGCCAGGGCCTCGTGCCTAGCCTCGTCGTCTTCGCAGTCCAAATTCCTCTTCTTGAAGCTCTCGAATGAGACGTAGGCTCTCAGCATCCGTATCCTCTTCACCAATGAAATGCTTCGTATGCTTCAATTGGTGAGGAGACAATGAGGTAGGCGCATGGCGCTCAAAATGCCTCTCGACCATCGGAGAGCTTTTCTTTGCGTGGGAGGATGACGGACGCGACGAAGGCTTTTTAGATGAGGTCGCGAACGCCGGGGTTGTTCGACGGATAGGAGCCGAGGCTGGAATACTGACCGGCTTACTCACACGATGCGCAGTTGCTTCTGGCGCAGGTCGCTCACCATGTCGGGGCTGGTCACCAAGTCGAGGCTGGCGAGACGAATGGCGGGAGCTGGAATTAGGGGTGTGAAGCGCATTGGGGGCTTCGCCCTCAACGGATGCTAGTGCCTCGCCATCCTGCACCACATCCATTTCATCGGCCAGCGACGTGGGTGGAGACACTAAGGAGGCGGTCGGTTTCGACGAAACTGACATAGACGTGATATCCTTTCCTTCGATCAAGTCGACATGGAAAGCAGGCGGAGATGCATATAAAGCTGGGCCGATGTGCGGTTCACTCTCCTTGATAGGCTGGTCTTGAAGCTGATCCATAGCGCCAAAGCCAACGGATTCATCGTCGTAGGTTTTGACTGGCATCTCGTGTGCCATTATGCCCTCGCTTGCATTTTGACTGAAGAATGCTGGGTGTGCAATTGGAGACGTGCTCTCCTGCTTAGCTTTCTTGGCCGCGGCAGCCATGGCGTCATCTTCATTGGGACGGGGTCGCTTTGCGGAAGCAGTGCCCCGAGGTTTTGATCGTTCTTGGGCTTTGATCGGGTCAATGTTCCCACGATCATCATGAATGCAACGACGCTGTTTCGTGGGTTAGTTGCAAATCTCATGGTGAATAGTAGAATAGGGTTACATACCTTGCTTTTCCGACAGTCATCGCACGCTTTGCTTCGTCCCTTTTTACTACCATTGGCACCGTCAGGGCTCGCGTCATTTAGTCTATTGACAGCCGCAGTCGAGGCACCCATAATTGCCGAGTGAAAGGCCGAGCCATCGAAGTGTTCCAAGCCAGCCACGCTGTTGCCTTGGAATCCCGCCTGGGAAGCAATGGCAGCCAAGGAGTTCAGTGCAGAAACCGCATCTTGGGCGAGAGAAGATGGGGTGCTAAGACCAGATCCTGGGACAAATCCATTCATTGTCATTTGCCGACCTTGCATCCACTCATTTGGCTCATCCTTATGGCGGCACCGGATGCGTCGTCTGCGACAGGCATCGCAAGCGACACGTTTCGGTCCAAGCCCCGAGCCGCGTGGCGTAGACCGTGGCTTAGGAGTCATTGGCTCCTGAGTAGAGAATTCAGAAACAGGACCAACCGGAGCTGGCGTTGCGCTTTCAGATGGCGCGATGGTACCACCACTGCTCGCGGGAGGCACGGGAGTAGTGGCCTCCTCTGTCGGCCGTTGAACAGCTTGTCTTTCAGCATAGGTGCGCTGGCCGTCCACATTACGTTCAGAACGTCGACTAGGCCGACCAGCTGGTCGTTTTTCCGTGAGAGATACCTTGGGGTTGCTTTCGATCACCCCTGGACGGGTCCACTGGGGTGCTTTCTCGTTGCCACGTTTCCAGGCGACCCAGATACCAAATCTGCGAATGAAATCCACTGGATCTCCGACTCCCTTCGGAATAGAGCGCCTGACCGCATTGCGTACTTCCACTGTCACTCCATCAACGTTGTAAGAGCTTGCAATGAGAGCTGTCCGCAGAAGGTACTTGGTCAACTCTGGCAGGCCCTCTAACTCCGCTTGGGAATAGAACCGGGCGTTGTAGTAAGGGGAGCTAGGAGGCTCCTGGTTGGAACGTTCTCCAAACTCATAGTAGATAGGGTAGTGCCGGTGAAGCCGGAAGTTTTCGTCTTGAGCGAAGGCCTCCAGCACATTCTGCGGAATCGGGTCATCCTCCAGATACTTCAATGCCGTGTACCATTGAATCTTCTGGAAGAAAGGGTATCTGAACTTCTTGGGAACCTTGGTCTCTTTTTCGATATTTAGAATCTTGATCTGCATCCCGTAATTCAATCGAGTGAGAAAATTGCCACCAATGACTAAACTGTTCTCTGGAGTCCATACGGCATGGATCCAGCCAGACGGAATAAGCATAGTGTCCCCCTCGGACAGATCCACGCGATAGCACTCTTTGGTCTGATTGCCGAGGAATATTGAATCTTGCGCGGGAGAATTGCACCACTCCTCGTACTTCTTGAGATGCTTATCCTTGGGAGGTATAAAGAAGAAAGTCTTCTTACCCTTGAGGATATGATAGTACACCGAAGACCCACCAAAATCGATATGGAAGTCGGTATAACAGTCGGCGACAGACATGAGGCAATAGAATTGTACCTTTGGATAGTCGCCAATGGCCTTCAGTTCTTCGGGCCACACGGCATCTTGAAGATCCAGATCGCGTACAACCTTAGGCCGCTTTATAAGCCGGCCTAGCTTGCTTTGTGACACCTCCAGGCTAATCACATTTCGAACAGGCTTGTTTGGTTCAGAGCTCTCATAGTAGTCTGCCCATTTCTGCATGTTCCACCTCTTGTCTTCTCCTTGCTGGGACTTGACATCGATGACTTCAACCCTCTCCTCCGGGCCATAGAGCTCAGCCACCGCCCGGACAGTGAGGCCTTGAGGGATCACCATGTCTAGTTGATCTTGGCCACACTCAAGGTTTTCTTCAACGTCGATTTCCTGTTCAGAAACAACGTCGAGTAGGTCATCAAACATTTCCTGTGTTGCAGCTTCATGTACCAAAGCCTCTAGGTCCGCATCAACTTCAGGAATGGGGTCACGGCTATTCCAGCAGGCGGGAATCACAACAGGTTCGTTCCATCCATTACCTCGCTCGAAGTATTCTGCCGTGACCAGCTCTGGCTTCATGCGAGGGAAACTCTCTGGTTGGAACTTGATCTTCCCTTGACGAATAGGCTCCAAATAATGGTGCTCGGTAGAATCAGTGGCCGCTTTGACGACTCCCTGGTTCAGACCAGCATAATCAATCGCTGTACGAGCACGCGAGGATTTGCGCACAAAGGTTGTTTGGCCATGGATTGATCGACATGCACGGCATATGTATTTATCGACGGTGCGAACCTCCCGGTCGTTCTTGAACCCAGCACAAACGATGTGAAACCAGCGTTTGCATCCGTCACAACCAATCCAAGTGTCCTCATCTTGCTCCTCGGTTTCCACAGGGATCCGCACCAGGTGACACGCAGAGCAGCTTGCTTGATTTGTATCACCTCCCTCGTCTTCAACTTTTGGGGTGGAATCAGCTGTTTTGTGAGGAAGAGATTCTCGGCCCTGGGTAGATTGGTGTTCCCCATATCCAGCGTAGCGAGAAACGTCTGCTGGAGGGCTATTATCATTCTCATCTTCCCAGACAATCGGAGGCAATGTCCCTGAGCTAGTGGATGGACGTGTACCGCGAATCACAGGACGCGAGAGGAATGCAGACCCATCAGAACGAGATCTCATGCGTGATGATGGGACGCTGTCCTCTTGGTGCAGGAATTTCCCATCCTCTAGGCTAGCAGAATCTCCGACAAAACCAACTCGATTGTTTCGTATTGAGCCAGCGCCGTGGCTGTGATAGGTCTCGTCAATGCTGACCCGTTTTTTGCTATCAGGTTGGGTGTCGGTTGAGCGGGCCAAGTTGAGCAAAAGCTCTGCGTCGATCTGCATGCTGTCTATGAAGGTGGAGTGGGGGTTGCCCTGCGGAAGTCTCCGAGAGTGATGCGGTGACGGGTCTCTCTCTGACCGGGGACGTTTGACCGGGCGTTCGGAGTGACTATCGGTAGGGAGTAGGGGTGCGATGGAACGAGAATTAGGGGAGGGTGGCCGGTATGAAAGGGGTGCGAAAGTCGGGCTTGTTGCGAGGGCGATGGTCGCAAGCGTGTCGATAGTGGAATTTGACCGGCCATGGCCCGACCGATGATGGGAAACGGCATCGGCAGCGGCATTCCGACTATGATTTGATGGGCGCTGGTCGCGGTCAAGGCTTGTGGCCCGAGTGACATTACGCTCGGCCCACGAGGCAAGAAATTCGGTGGTGGAGGGTGTAATAGGTTCGACAGCGCGTCGCGGCGGAGGGGACGGAGTGCGGTATTGTGGAGGGCGCTCGCCCAGAGGGTTTAAAAAGGACGCAGCACTCATCATTTTCGCTCCCTCAGAGTGTAACTGGGAGAGGTAATTGGAGGAGACCGAGTTGGCGGTGCGAGAGGATGCGCTTGCGGTAGGTGGGTGCAAAGCGGGGATGTTTGACCACACGGACTAGCGAGAGGCCGTCGCAGGAGGAAGGAAAGTCATTCCTGGCAGGGGGGCATTCGCACGGAGGACCGCGAGATAGACTGAGATGCTCGATGAGACGATTGAAGACGACGGGAGGGCGGATGAGGGAGGTGAGTTGCGGATGCGCTCGAGTTGAGGGGGTTCAGTCGAGCGGCGGGAGGACAAAGGCGCCGAGAGTCGCGCCGCAGTCCGCGGGCAGAGAGGCAAAGCGAATCGAGCGCAATCCAGTCGGCAGGAGTGAGCTCCTGCGAACTGGATGACAAGCTGAGGATATGGGGATGGATGGAGCGTTTCCGGGGAGGTGTGGGTGGTGGTCGGAGGGTGGAAGATGTCAGGGCGTGAAGGAGGGAGAGTGGTAGGCCGAGTAAGTTCGCAAGGTATGTACGCGGAACAATCTGCGGACTAGACGATAGGTAATGACGGATTCGGTCCTCCCCATACCAGTAAATTGAAGGATATATTATTCTGTGGGAGAATAACGTTGTGCGATTCAATTGTGTCGAAGGAGGAAGAAGTCGAAAAGCCTCTGTTGAGATCCCCGACTTAATTCTACTTGCGACGAGAGCGTCGTTCGCCGAGCTGTCTCAGTATTACCATACAATACGAGACGTGGGGAGTGCATGTGATGTGCGATAGGCAATATTGATGGTAACGTATTTGGTAATATTGTCAGGTACGGTAAAGCGCTTACTTCATCCCGTCAAACGGCGGTAGTCGCTAAACCAAATTCGGCGATGCCAAGAACTTCTCTCGTGCATTCTGCGTGTTCTTGTTCCTCTTTGCGATCTCCTCCTACCACCGCCACGGCCCTCGATACCCTGGGTATCTCACTCCCCATTTATTCTTCAACTTCATCACCTTCCTTAAATCACTCCGAGGATGAGCCGGAAGCTCGCTCCCGAAGCAAATCGGTACGTGATTTCTCGTGCCCCTCCCTATCTCCGATGCCCATCCGCCACGGTGCGGACGAGGTCTTATGCTCTCATCGGGAATTGCATCTGTCGAATATTGAATGCTAACTTGAATGATTTTTGGTAGGATTCTCTTCGTCAAGAACCTCAAGTACGTGTCGTTGTCTCCCGCCGCAGCCCGCCGATCCCCCAGATTCATCACCTTCCGACAAAATATCATCTGCAGACCAGAGTGGATGGCTGACTTAATCCCCTTAGCTACAACGTAACGGCAGAGCAACTCTTTGACCTTTTCGGCAAATTTGGGCCTATTCGGTAAGTCCTCGATGCTTTACCTGATGGGCGAATTTGAGGTTGACTTTTTCTTCTCTTCGTAGGCAAATTCGCCAGGGTATCGCGAACAACTCCAAGGGTACGGCATTTGTTGTCTACGAGGACGTACACGACGCCAAACAGGCATGCGATAAGCTCAATGGCTTCAACTTCCAAAACAGATATTTGGTTGGTACGTCTATAAACAATCGCTCGAGCTTGGATTGGTCAAGAAGTGACTGGTGACTGGAGACTGGAGACTAATAAATGCTTTAGTATTGTATCACCAGCCGGAAAAGATGCTTCGTTCGAAAGAGGACCTCGCAGAGAGACAGGAAAATTTGGAACGACTTAAACAGCAGCATGGAATAGAATGACGTGACGATATTCGGCTCTAATGATGCCCTCTGCAAGCATTTGGCTGCGCATGGTGTTACAACGACTCCAATTCTTATCGAATTTGGCTTGGTTGAGGGGTTACCGGCGTTTGTTTATTCCCTGGGATTTCTTCTTTATTTTCTACCCTCGACTTTCAGAGGGTGACGAGGTTTGATGGGCATCATTTCTTGGTCCTCGTTCATGGTCGGGGAGCTCTCAGAAGACCCCGTTCGAACGAGAGATTCTTTTCTTTTCTTTGTGCATTCTATTATCATATTCTTATTTCTGGTGATCACAATACGAATCCCCCCACTTTGCTCAGCAAACTACATCTCGAAATGCCCTTTTTGTGAAGGGTGATCGACGATCGCACATTACACCCATCACTCAAATGGCTCCAGTTCTCCTTCTGATATAGGAATCAGGGTCCTGGGCGGTAAGGCCAAGCGTTTACTAGACGATCCACCTTTATGCAGACAAGGGGACCCTGTCCGCCCATCGTCATCGCTAATCTTTGGCCAATAAAGTCCGTACACACTTAGGTACATATCAAAGGCAATAGTAAGTCAGAAACTTTCGAACAACGAAGTTGTATAGCTTCCTATACCCGTAGTCACCCTTTGTTTCCCAAAGTATTTATACATCGTCAAGGAGGCGAAGCCTGATCTAGCCGTGTCGATCCCGTTGCGGGGGCGGACACCGCCTCCAGGCAGCTCGCTGCAACGCTGAACCACAAACCTCGCCTTATCTCCACCTCTGGACTCTCGTTCTACACTGCCTCCTCTCACCAGACAGGTCTTGTACATGGTAACGTAAAGGGTAACATACTTGCCATTCAAATCGATGCTTTGCGTATAACGTGCTGCCTCGGTGCCCAATAAGCCCCGGTGGCTCCTCGCCTGAACGTCACACAACAGGCATTCTCATACAAGTCACATTTCGTTGCCTTTAATCGATCAGGCATCAAAGACCTATCTGCTCCTTGCATAGCAACCATGGACGCGGATCTCGCCATGTCGATCGCTGTCAAGGCCTCTACCACCCTCATCGCTGCCACTTCATTTCCACAAGCGTCGCCAACACCGCAACAACACATGTTATACTATCATGGCGCCACCGTGACTGGGATGGGAGAAGACCCGAATGGAGAAGGTGGCGAATGCAAACTTCTCGGTCCTTTCTCTCTGGTTGTTCAGGCCGCCCTTGGGGCGCTGGCGCTACTGTCGTTGGTCTTTAAACGATGGAGAGAACGGCCCCAAAGGCCAATCAAGGTGTGGGCATTTGACGTTTCGAAGCAAGTGTTCGGCTCGTTCATGCTTCATCTGGCAAATCTTCTCATGTCCATGTTTTCGGCGGGTCAACTGGAGATTCGGATGGACTACAAACCGAACCCTTGTTCCTTCTACCTATTGAATCTTGGGATTGATGTGAGTGACCCCTTTATTTTTTCTTAAAAAAAAAAAAAAAAAAAAAGCTAAAATATCCTTCAGACCACTCTAGGCATTCCCATATTGATTGTTGCGCTTCGAATTTTGAACCTTATTGCATCCTACACCCCTCTCGCCAACCCACCAGAATCGATACAGTCTGGGAACTATAGCCACCCACCTCGCGCATCATGGTGGTTCAAGCAATCCATCATATACTTTCTGGGACTGCTCATAATGAAAATATGCGTATTCTTCTTGATACAGCTGTTCCCCTTTATTGTTAAGGTTGGGGACTGGGCTTTGCGATGGACAGAAGGAAACACTGCTCTGCAGATCACCTTTGTGATGCTTCTCTTCCCCGTCACCATGAACGCCATCCAATACTACATCATCGACACATTTATCAAGAAACCCATACCTCATGACTTCTTTGCCGATGATGTTTCTCGCGGCGACGCTGTTGCGGATGAGGACCTTCATCGGGAAGGTCTTCTCGCTGGTATCGACGATGCCTACTCATCCGATTCTGAGGATGATTCTTCCCCAGGGAAAAAATCTCCCCTTCCGGTACCACAAACCAAGATTTCCATCCAGGAATCAGAAGTAACTACGAACGAGGATCATTCATCACTCCCACCTTACCACCCACCTAGCTCCAGTTCTAGCGGCGGTCGTCGCGAACATGAGGAACAATCTAAGTCGGCCGCTTAAGTGTACCACTGGTAATTACCTTGATTAAGTTGTTTTACTGGTACTGGTCTTTTGATTTTATCAGCGTTAACGTTCTATGTGTACACGAATACTTCCTTGAAATACGAATAAGTTGCTTGATCTGTACATTTCTATTTACGCATTGAACACAGATCTAGATCTCGGGAAATGGTATCATACTTTGCTAGATATACCATTAATTTTGGCTTAAATTGGCTTACTCCAGATATATAAATTGTCCACTGCCATAATGGCTTATTTCTTGCGATCTAGAGCATCTAGAGCATGTGAGGGCGTCATCGTGACCTAGATAACCATGTTGGTTGCCTAAGGCAAGTACTATACTGACCGTCTCCCACACCGCCAATTTTTGCCGGCGTTGCAAAAATCAAAGCGAAAAATATTCCCATCCCGCTCCGCAAGCTTCAGATTGCCGATCGCAGTGTGGAATTGTGACGGAACAGGAGATCTCAGTTTCTTTACGACTCCAGAATACTGAGACGCCACTATGCCTCAAACTCGGCTAAAGGAAAAGACCAAGCGAACGGCCGCTTCGTCTGAACTCCCTCCGATGAACCTGCAACCGGTCGACGACATTGAAATGGACGATGAAACTAGTTCCGACGAGGAAGAACTTCCTGAGAAGGATGAGGCTGAACTGAAGCTGGAGCGCATGCTTTTCGGTGACGATGAGGGTTTTATGGGCGCATTGAAGAACCAGCAGGAGCGGGCGGATGCTATGCAGCTCACTCTGCACAGTGATGAAGAGAGTGGAAGTGGTGATGAGGGGGAGGAAGGCTATGAAGAGAATGTTGAGGACATGGCCGATGCAGATGTATGCAGCCCTCTCGAGTTCCTTCCTCAGTTTTAAATTGCGAAACGGTGCTAACCGAATTGGTTGTTGGCAGCTCTTTTTCCTCGACTCAGGCGTTGCACCCGAAAATACAGATCTCATTCCTTCACCAGAGACCCCATCCGACGATGAAGACGAGGAGTCCGCTCCTGCGATATGGTATGACAGCGACGATGAGCGCCTTGCCGTCTCGCTTGCAAGCCAGGCCAAGCTCCGCAAACTGCGTGTGGTCGAGTCCGAAGATGTTATCAGTGGCAAGGAATACACTCGCCGGCTGCGCAGACAATTTCAGCGCATGCACCCCACTCCTGAGTGGGCAAATCCAGAGCTTGCTGCTATGCGCCGCAACGCAAACTCGGACTCTGATGCCAGCGGAGAGGAAATGGATTCTGATGAGGAGGATGAGCAATTATCTATGCAGCCGCTGGCTAAGCTGCTTCAAAACGCCACCGATCTTACCCGTGTTGAAGACAATGCGCGTTCCGGCGGCAAGCGCAAGCTCCGACAAGAAGTTCTTGATATCCAACGTCTGAAGGATGTTGGCAAGGCACAGCCGGTAAGACGTTCTTTTTTATGCGTTTATACAGGAATTGTCCTAGCTAACAATTACATCTGCTCCAGTCCTCCGTTGACTCGCTCAACTTCCACCCACACTACCCGATCCTGCTTTCATCTGGCCCTGCCGCAACTCTCTTCATGCACCACATTTCTCCCTCAGCACCATCCCCCAACCCCCTCCTGACCTCCCTGCACATCAAGCGCACCCCAATCCACACATCTGCATTTGCCCCTCCCACGGGTAACAAGATCTTCGCCTCTGGCCGACGACGATACTTCCACATTTGGAACATGGACACCGGCAAAGTGGACAAAGTCAACGGAACCGCAGACCGAAAAGAAGAACAAAAGTCCATGGAGCGCTTCAAACTCTCTCCTTGCGGCCGCTACATCGGTCTGGTCGGTACATCTCGCAAGGGCGGTGGTCTGATCAACATCCTCGATTCCAGCACCGCCCAGTGGATTGCGCAGGTGCGTGTCGACGGCCGCGGCGGTGTTGCAGATTTCGCCTGGTGGTCAGATGGCGAGGGAATGACTGTCGCCAGCAAGAACGGTGAGGTTTCAGAGTGGGATGGTCGCCTACGCCGCGTCGTAGCTCGCTGGCTCGATGCCGGTGCTGTCGGCACTACTGTCCTCACTCTGGGTGGTCGCTCTGGCCGTCTCGAGCTCGGTGGAGACCGCTGGGTTGCTGTCGGCAGTTCAAGCGGTGTGACCAACATCTATGACCGCCGCGACTGGGCTGCTGCATATGCGAACGCCTCACAGGCTGAGAAGGATGGTCCTTCGCAGGCTGGTATCCCTCGGAGCCCGACTCCGGCGCGTGTGTTGGACCAGCTTACCACTCCTATCAGCCATTTAGTCTTCGCTCCTGATGGCCAGATGCTGGTTATGGCTAGTCGCTGGAAGCGTGATGCCCTCAGACTTGGTATGAATTTTCTTACTCGCACCTGCTTTGGAACTTTTACTAATTGCCTTCATAGTCCACCTCCCATCTTGTACAGTGTACCGCAACTGGCCCACCTCTAACACTCCATTGGGCCGTATCACTTCGGTGGCCATCTCGCCGAATTCCGAGCAATTGGCTGTCGGAAACGAACAGGGCCGTATCCGTCTTTGGGAGATTAGAGGATAGATATAAGCTTGGTTGCGTCTTAACCCAAACTCTTGTCATATTTACTGTATATCCTGGCGTCAATGATCTGCATACTCATATGTTCCGTGAAACCGCGCGAACATGTGTATTTATAAAGCATATTATACTATATCATGCGTATTTGTTCGAGCTGAGCTATTACGTACTAATCCCAAGCCCTGAAGGTTACGTAAATTAGCAAGTTTAAACCAATGTTTAAGTTGAGAGAACCAAAGACACTTGTAGAGACTGATTGTTCGTCTATTGCAAGGTATGTATAAGCAAGTTTTTCCGATTCCAACATTGAGATTCTAGAAAATTTGAGAGCAAAACACGCATAAGCCAATTACTTAATTCAAAAATGAAGTAGATCACAAGCTAGAGAATCAAATGTGCCAAAAGGTAGGCTAAGTCAGTTAAAGTCATGGTATCATGCCGTTCATGGCTGCGACTTCTGCGAAAGCAAAGTAAACGAAAAGGAGCGTGAATCGTGCAAACAGAATCTATACTTTCCGTTCAATGTTGAAATCAGGTAAAGCAATGAATACAAAAGGGGGGTATATAGTCAGCGCAAAGGGTAATCGCGAAAGGAAAACAACATGATATACGTAGGAATTGGTCGAGTAGATTGAGGGAGAGATCACTCTCCGGGTCCAGAGGAGCCCCATCTTGGAATTCGGCCTGGTTCACCAATCCAGTCTTTGATGACACAGGTTGCCTTATCTGAGCCCTGGCATACCTTGCGCCGATTGAGGTGTTTGAATCGGGGCCCAAGGGGACCGTTCACATAGTGATATTGTCCGGCGAATCGGTACTGGCGACTATCGCCCAGCGGGTAAAATTTATCGCCCCAGTGACCCCTGAAGTTGAACCATTCCGTGGGAGATGTGGGGGTAGCGGTAGATGCACGTAGTGTGTCGTTGGCGTGGTCATATGTATATGCATGCTTATTGAGTAAGGGGTCCCAAAGTGGACCTCGGTCCGTGACGTCGTGAAGTAGACCCCAGGGGAGAATGTATGGGTGCACGTCAGGTGTGGCGTACATTGCATGGCTTCCCTCGGCGGAATAGAGGACAGGCTGTGAAGATTTAGTATAAGTTTTGTTTTAGGACTATTTCGAGGTTGATTTACCCGTTGCCCGATCTTCTCCACTGCTTCATATCTATAAGCCTCGCCCGCTGTGTGGGCACTGAAAAACAAGGCCTTAGGCTGGCCATGGTGGAACCGCACAAGACAGTGCTCCCAATCACCGACATGGTTACCGAACCGCACGTTGACAACCGTATTGCCCAAGTTGAAACTGTAGAAGAAGAACCAAAACGCGTCCACGACCCCATGGCCTTTATCCATCACAAGTAAGATTGCGGGAGCATCACTGCGGCCCCCAACTTCGTTTGGGAGAGGTTCTTCGATCATCTTGCCGCCATACCGTTTTCGTAGCTCATGATGAAGGTATTTTTGTGCTTGTGATGACTCTCGTTGCATCGACTCTTGAGTATCGTCGTCGTCGCGTTCAATTTGACCCAGGTCAAACCATTTAGCCTGATCTTCCATCGTGTCACTCGGAATCTGGCCATCAACCCGACCATCCCAATCGGCCCACGACTGTTCCGTCCCGCCTTTTGCGGACTGAGGAATATTCTTGCCGCCTTCCAACCACGCCGGACGGGTCTGCACATTATCATTGCTAGTCAAGTAAACATGTCGGGGGGTCCACTGATTGAGTTGATCTAAGTTCTCCAGGGTGGGATGATCCCATTGGGCCTGGACCGGCGTGTAATTGAGCATGGGCGTGGTGTGGTACAGATGCTCCGCAATATCACCAGGCCAAAACTGCTCCCCGGAGTAGAGGTGAACAAGTGGGGCATAATCAAAAACATAGTCGGGGATCTCCCGCTTAGCCCGCTCCTCGGCATCCCACTCTGTTTGATTAGCCCCGCCCAGCCAGAACGACCGCCAGGGTTCGGCATCGCCAGTCTCCGACCGCTCAACTGACTCACGCTGACCGAACGGGACATGGGCAGTGTGGAAATGGGCTGCGCCGCAGATACTGAGCCAGCGACAGCTCTTGCGGTCGAACCAGGAGCGCGAGCTTGCGATCCAGCTCGCCTCCTCCCGGTCCTCGGCGTACCAAATAAATGAGGCTGGTCTGATCGTGCGGGCTAAACTATTGAGGGAGACATAGATGATCAGGGTCGACAAGGCCACAATGGTTACCTGGGCCTTGCGAGTCATCAGCTCAAGGCAATCGGGGTAGATTGCCTGTGTTGGGTGATTGGCAGTATGCTCATGGAGGGACAGGTCCTCAGGAAGAATCCCGGTCGACAGGGAATCAATGCAGGGAACCGATAAGGCTGATGGGCATGCCGGAGAATCTATGGGACGGGAAGCAACGAAGGAAAGGCAACACAGCAGGATGGGAAGGCCTATAAATTCTTAATCCATGTTAGTTTGACCGGGCTTTCCGATTCCTGCAAAACGGCCCCTCTTTTTTTTTTTCCCTCGTGAGCATAAAGGAAAAAAGGAAAATTGGGGATTTTGGAAAAAAACCTTGCCAAAATAAGCACAGGAGTCTCGAACAAGTCAGCGCCTGCACCCGGGAACGTGCGGAAACGCTTAGGTGACCCAAGCCGGAACACGATCGCCATAGGTCCCGGTCAGGTCTGCATGGCTCCCGGAGTTTCGAACGGAAGACTCGGATACTTACGAACACATGATGTTCTCGACATGACTAAATGTATTTCGTTCGTAATCCCAAAAGGTTCCGGTTCTGTTTGGCCGGTCAATGAGGGGTGGAAGCATAAGGCTGAAATTACGGGTCTAAAATATACGAGGTTGGCTTACACAGGGTTCAATTGAGGGGCCAATGTAGATCATAGATCTTGCGCCATCCTTGCAAATTATACCATTTGTGTTTGGCTTACAGCATTCTAGATGTTCTGATTTAATAATCGTTGAAATGATGTTTTTCTTATTTTGTCTCAATATTGCTGTACAAAGTACCAAACAACAAAGCGAATAGTTTGCCACCGCTAAAATCAATTCAGGTGGAACAGTGACCTGAGCTCCACTAATCTGGATCGGGCTAGAGACGGTGAGTTTCAGAAAAGTGTCGATGTTTTCACCGCCTCAATTTTGCCCCGCTTCACTGTGTCGAGATTCTGCTGCTGACTCAGAGCTATCTTATCGCAAAACAGCTTGCATATCGCAAAAAATCCCTTGAATCCCCCACATTATGGATTCTTCAATGGAGATGGACTCAGATGAATATGAATACGAGTATCATGATACAGAGACAGAGGTGCGTAATGACCCTTTTCTTTCTTTTGTCTGCGCTTCGTTGTGATCTCAACTGACACCCCCCTCAGAGCTTTTATCTAAATCTAGATCTTACCTCTGCCAACGGCCCAATCCGCCCTCCTCGAAGAAGGAATGACGATTCACACGACATATCTGTTGTAGATCATGAACCTTATGATGGCCCTAATGACCCCCCCGAGGGTGATGCCTTTGGACCTCTCGACAGTACCGAAGCAGCCACGTTGCCCGGCGAGCGAATCCAGCTCCTTGGCCTCCACACGTGCAACCCAATCGTCTCCTACCAGAACCAAATCTTCAGCTGCTCATGGGCCGACCAGATTGGTACAGAGCTAGTATTTACCCACCCAGATGCAGTGCCGGACACGGACTACCCGCCCCTGTGTCAGGGTCCTAGCTTTGAGCTGCTCGCCGCCAATAGTGTCAAGATCCTGGGTCGCAAAGCGAACATCATCTCTAGCTCCGGCCCCAGATTGGTCCCTGATAATGTCCATACCCCCAACTCTATTCCAACCGACACGGACCCATCCAGCACGTTGCCTGCAGACCCTGTGGGCATGACCCTTCGCCCTGACACCTCGACGCATCAGTCCAACTTCATCCAACGGCTACAGAATATGAAAACCGCACAGGGTGAGTCGGATACTGTGCGCACGACCATGAGTACCCGGCGCAACGTGAACTTTTCCGACCGTTTGAACGCGTGGGCTAGGACCGAAGCCCAAGTGGCGGAGATCGCCAGCTTGAATCAACGCGCTGCAGACGGAGACGAGGAGGCACTGGATATCCTGGAGATGATGATCCGCGACCTAGATGGTGTCAATGACACTCAAGATGCCTTGTGAAAGCCGAGCGGTCGCACATGTTACCAGGATCAAGTCATGGCCGAATTCCATATCGCTGGCCGGGACGATCAAAGAATCATTCGCTCGAGCCGCGGGTATTCGGTCCAGAACCCTATGATTTCATTGTTGATTTTCATCCGGGTCACGTGAAAACATCAGAGGCCTTGCGATGTTCTCATCCTCGAATTAAGAAATGCCTAAAGGATGTCAAGAGCTGCCACCAAACATACGATTCATATTGAATCTAGAGTGGATCGTTTGATGTCACCCGTCCCATTCAATATGTCAATATTGAATGCCAATACAGGTCCTTTCAACCATGGAACAACGTGTTGATCCCCGTGATCCGGTGATAAGGCGCTGCCCCACCCGGAGGAGCTCTCATTTAAGCCGACCATCAAAAGGACGGAAATTGTAACGCAATAAGCTCATCCTGACCTGTCGGGTCACGTCATACTAAACTCCCACTCTCGATGATGTGATGGGACAGGGCGAAACCCAAAGAACACAGATCTTGATACCTGCTCTCGACCTAACAAAGACTTTCACGATCAACTTATACTCAAGCCAATCTTACCTGCCTCAACAAAGATTGTGCAGCCCCCGATAGACAGAACCGGGAGTGCGCTGCGTTTTTTCCCGGGGGCATTCGTGACGTCGTGATCGGCAACTGATTCACATGGGCCAATTCTCCGGGTCTGACCGGTTCCCACTCAACAACATGAAAAGCAGGATATGTTCGTTTTGTCGGTGAGCAGAGGATCGGAGCCTCTTGTACCGTGTACATCTCTTCGATTGGCGTGGTTGAAATGTACCTCGCCAGACTAGGAAGCGTTCGTAGGGGAAGTCCGGTGGGTCTACGTACTTTTGTCAAAGGTCCCCATCCACTATGCACCGAAGCAACTAGTACGCAGCTAGAAGGTCGCTATAAGCGAAATTAATTTGTACTTTCGCCTTAAATTACCACGTTCTGAGATCATAAAGATGTAATCCACAAGTGGAGCCTTCTATGAGGAAAAGACTGATGCAGTCCTTATCCACTAAAATCTAAACCAAAACAAAGGTAATTAGAATAAGAAATTTTTATTGTTTCTGGAAATAAGCCGAGGGAATTCCAAACACCGAACCCCCCCCTAATTTTTCTGTAACCAACCCTCAAAAGAGAGAAAACAAGCAAAAACCCAGAGTCAATGAAAGCCTCCTGGGGTTGAAAGTGATTTCACGCCGCCACGCTGATGCAATACAAGAAGGGAAGTCAAAAGAAGAGCATCGCGATGTATCCCGGGAAGAACGAAGATTAATAAGTTTGAAGCACGATTCGATCGGTCCAACGGGGCCAGCCCTTGTCCCTTCGCCGTGTAACATTATCGAGTTGGACCATCGATATCCGTATTCGTATGTAGTCGCAAACGCTCATGACCCGCTGAGCATAAAGATAGAAAAAAAAAGTGGAAGGTGATGACAAGATCCACGTCATAGTGTTCGTACAGCGAGAAAGCAAGACTGTACACCGGACATCTGAGACCATTGTTTCATTTACTCAAGGCTGAGACTTGGGATTTTCTCATGCTTGATATTTGACGCTTTGCCATTGCTGTCGACGGCGAAGGAGATGGGCGAGGGAGGAGGAGCGGGAGGCATGCCGTCCTCGAGCTTCTTGGAAGATTTGTTGCCGGCCATGATGGATTTGGAGATGTCCTGAGAGAAGGACATCAGGGCATCAGAGGAAATTGGGGGAGCGAAGGACATGGGAGTCGACTGAGGAGTAGCGACGTAGGCCATTATGATTGATTTGAAGGTTGAGTGTTGAGTGAATTGGAGATATGGTTTGAGGTGAGGTGGAAGTAGAGAGTGGAGCTGGGGAGCTTGATCTCTTGTATGTTTGATTGCGGTGTGATACCTCGGCAACGAAAAAGCTGAGGCGAATTGCTGGAGCTTCGTTGAAATTCGGAAGTTGAAAATCTGGGGATTTTCGGGCTAAATAAGTAATAAGTTATTAGCATTTGTGGATGAATATATGGAGTGCGCTCTGTGGATCTTCCGAAACCGCCCGAGGGATGTTTTTTTTTTCGGTGGACCGGAACTGGGGGCGATGTTTATGATGTAACAAGCGTTAATGCCGAGAAGGATCAACTCACATGAAAACCACAATCCTTGAAGCAAATCACTTAGATGGAAAATCGTGGAATGAGCAGAGGTTGGTGGTGAAGAGCGAAGAAGAAGTTAAGGCTGACGGAGAAGGTCTGGGGGATGGAAGAGATAAGGAAGATAGTAAGCGGGCTAGACTGTGAGTGAATGAGAGAGTGAATGAAAGGTGTACACGTTGTGTTGGCTGAAGTCTGATAAGGGTCTGAGAGCAGTGAAGCAAAGAGTCTGGATGCCCCCCGGACGGTAGTTATATTACCTCCATCTCCCTTTTTTTCTTTTCTTTTTTCTCTTAAAATCCAAATTCTACTGAACAAATCACCCTGTGGAGTAAAGATATGGAATCAGAAAGTACCCGGTACCAATCCAAAGCACTAAATTAAAAGATCGTCTAAGCCAAGCCCGATCGCCTCATTCTCATCCATTGTACTGACCAGGGATTCCTTTCTCCGTAAGGGCGGAATACCCGCCCTCTCTAATCATCATCCCTCTGGGGAAGTCTGAAGTCTTGACGCGTTGCAAGTGTGGGGAAAAGGACCCATTAAAAAACCCAATTAGGACCCAGGGGGCAAGAAAAGTCGATGGATCAGCTCTTCTCCGGGTTTATGGGCCACTAGTCTGGCTTCTAGGGGCTCCGGGGAACCGGGCCTAGAATGCCGGCGCTTTCACGGGGGATTGGCAAGTCCCAAATTTTGTGAACTTGGGGCAAAGACAAATAGACTTGGTGGAAATTGATTTCCCTTCTACTGTAGCAGCCTTCTAATCAACCGGAGAAAAGCCGGCCTCGGCACAGTGATCTTCCCGTCAACCAAGCTGTCGGGGCGTACAACGTGTAAAAATCAAGGAGTTTTAATCAAACTAAGTTGCGACGGAGAACAACGACTTTGAATCGTAAGATCCATATCCAGGAGTGGTTTCGTCGGAGTGTTTCATATGGAACAGGGGGAAGTGTTACGCACCGTATGCAGCAGGAATATCCCGTGTGGAGAGAAGGGGCGGTTATAGCAAGTGGATAACCGGAGGAGCGGTGGAAGACCGATTCATAGTTTATCCGTCTGAATCGGGATTTTCATTGTCTTTGATTAGTTGAGGTTCTAGGCCATGATCAACAACGTCCCAAGATTTTGCTTTCCCCGGATTCAAGGGGCGTTGCATAGTGCAAGCTACTATTTAAATCTCCTGCAATGCACTCTCCTATTCAAGGGGGGATTCTGAAATGGGATTTCTGGGGGAGTCTCTGGGGGAGCTCCATACCAGCTCCAGCCCCAGCTTCGGATTTCCAGGATCCCGGGACTCCGTAGTACTGGGCGCATTCTTCGGCAAATGAGGGATATGGGGATATAGGACCGGGAATATGATTTCTAGTCCCCTATTACTATCCTGTTATCCTATTATTTGCCGTTCCCTGTTATCTGTCGTTTCCTGTGATTCCCTGCAATCTTTGTATATCACATTCTCAAATGACGAATCCTAACTGGTAGGCATCCGTGTCGGTCTGGAGTTCCCATAGTAATCCTTCACCGCATCACCGCTATGACCGTGGTGAGCTGTTCGACCAGGACGTACAACACACCGTAATGCATGCACATCAGCCCGTGTACTGGGTACTTGCTCAACTGTGACCCCTCCCTTATAAATGGAGATTAATTTCAGCGAGTATCTGTAAACAAGAAACCCATGTTGGTTGGAGAGATCCTTATCATGAACCTTGAAGATGCTTGGGGATGAAAATGATTTCTCTTCAACATTCCTTGGGCACTGGTAGCCTAACATAGGGACACTGTCCAGGGCATCTTTCAGGGGGTACGCTGTCCCGCCAATATTCTGATTCAGCTCCCCCAACGTTTCTCCCAGGTACCTTGAAGACATCACCCGACCACTTTCCCCATCAGCACAAAGGTTCCCATCTGGATATCGACCCTTCCCGTGTTGGGCGTTCGCAGGTGGTTTTACAAGGCGAATGGGTCCCCATGACCAATTGAGGCCATCCCGTAATGAGGTCTTCTTTTGTGCTCCCCCAGCTGTGAGTCACCAAAAAGTCGAATTGGCCTCATACCTCCCAGAAAAAACCTCATTATTCACGTCATCGGGGTCCGGAATATCCTTTCCCCTAGAGGATAAAGCCATTACCTCATCTCTCGCCGGTCGGAAGTGTCTTCCAATCGCGATCACGCCGAGCGCTATCGTTATCACGTAAAGGCCCCGCTAGGCTTGGGGGGCTTAGTGAAGACTCTGCAAGGTTCCGTTGGGGAACCAGCCACCAGCCGCTTCAATGATTCGCTCTGGGGAAGAAACGTGCGAACGTCCTTGGATCGAAAGTGGGCTTTACCCCGCATAGGACGATCCAGGTACCGGTTGGAGAGAAATGTGTCGCCGGGCCGGGTCACAACTAATCCTGAATGGGGAAGGGCAAGGGAATCACTGACTAAATCGCCCAGAGCTTTGCACTTCTAACGAAAATCCCCCGGACTTTCCAATGCTCGATCAGACACTAAACTGGTAAGGCTGGGGAAATCTTGGACAAACTAAGAATTGAGGCATTTAAAAACTGATGCCATTATTTTCCATGACACATCGCATTCCACGATGTTCGACGTAAATCACCTCATTATGCATTGGAACCACCATATACACACAACGTGGCAGGTATTAAGCTCGGCTCAGGTACAGTGTGATCATCTCAGGTGATCATTCAATTCCAGTAGTTCGTAATGGACTGCCCCATTTGATCTTGTCTAACTCTCTCCGCCACATTCTTATCTATCGGTTACTTTTTTTAGTATCATGTCTTTGTCTTGTAGCCCGCAGGTTTCGTAATTGGACTGTGCTAGTGAGGCTAATTTCGTCTATTATTCCAGTATTTTCATTGCTCCAGACCATGTGAGGCAATTCTTTTCTCTATTTTCGGCCCGCATGACGCAGCGGGATTTTTCCAGTCGGCTTTACCCTCGGAAGGAGGGGCGTTCGCTGCCAATCAAGAGCGCGCCTATCGCCGGATCTTAGTCATGAGGGGCATTGACCGGTGGAGTCGCCGCGGATCAAGGGCTTCGAGACCGTTCAGGCGTCGTTGGATCAGGTCGCCTAGCATCGGGATTCCAGGTTTTAGATTTTTTTTTATTTGAATTTTATTACATTTATTTCATTAATTTGTTTCCATGGAATTGGGGGAGGTATATAAAGAAGTCACGATTCCCCGGATTTCTTAGCTTCCATAACATACCCCTCGATCATTTTTGATCTATACATCTCGCCTTTAGTCCATGGCGACAGTAAGTTTAAACCCTCGCCCCCCCTTGCCTGTTATCTTTCCCAACCTGCTGGTTATCTTCCCTTTCCTACACCGGTCCGGGATCAATCCACAGTTTCCTTCCCGGTTCCACTTGGAATGGGGATTCCACTCCCAAACAAGCTGCAGCTGCAATCCGATAAGCGCGCATTCTTGAAAGAATCCTTATCTGTCCCCCACGTGCCTATCCAGCTCTGACTCTTTTTCTTGACAGCGTGCTGTTCTTTCTTCTTCAATCTAGAGTCTTCAGACCATGTCTTCCCCTGCCCCCTCCACCCCATTGTCGGAGGCCTCCAATGGCGCCTCTCTGCCTGCCCACCCATTGCCTAAGCTCTTCGACGGAAGCTCCGGCACTGGCACTCCCATCGGTTTCCAGCGATACCCTCACAACAAGCACCTTGATCATGCTGTAGGTGCTGCTTTGCGGCAACCGTCGCCGCAGCCCACTCACTTGGGTGTTCCGGGTACCCCTCACCGTGTACTGTCGGAGGAAGACCCGGGCTATATTGCGGCCACCTTCGAGGGCAAGCAGAAGCAGATGGAGCAAGGTAAGCGCAATCCTCATAATCCATGACCCGTCTCAAAAAAGCAAAAATCTAACCTTTAAACAGTGATGGATCAATTGGAGGAGAAGGGTTTCTTCCCCAGTGATTTCGTCATCTCCGAAACTACCTGGTTCTACAACATGCTGGGTATCGATGATACCTACTTCCAGACCGAGACCGTCGATGCCATCGTCACCCAGATCCTCTCCCTCTATGCCGCCAAGGTCGCCGCCTATGCTCGTGATGACAAGCAGCTCGAGATTCGTCTGGATAAGGAAGCGGAGGACCACGCCGTCTACATTGACACCAGCAGGCCCGGTGTCTCCTCAGTGGACGGTCCCCGCTACGAGCAGCGCATCGATGAGAAGTATATCAACAACTCCAAGGGTGCGAACAGCTACCGTGTCGAGACTTTCCGCTCGCCCACTGCCCTCCCCGGCAACAATGGACAGCAACTTCGTTGCTACTTCGTGTACAAGTGTCAATTCGCCAACCCCAACCCCGACCCGAATGAGACCGACATTGATATCATTGGTGAGAAGCGCTTCTTGCAGAAGGCCACCCCCAACACCAAGGCGATCTATCAAGAAATCATCACCACCGCTGTCAGCCGCACTGGTCCTGTGATTGAGATGTTCGAGATTGAGGGCAGCCGGGAGAAGCGCCTAGTCATTGCTTACCGCCAGGGCTCCGCTATGGGTTTGTTTAGCGCTCTGTCGGATCTGTACCACTACTACCGCCTGACCAGCTCGCGCAAGTACCTCGAGCACTTCTCCAACGGCATCACAATTATTTCCCTGTACCTG